GGAGCAGGTCTACCAGGAAGTAGGCCAGATCAGCAGAGCGGCAGACAGGACACATTTGTGAGAGCCGAGTCTGCGCTCAGAGCTGGGATTAAACAGCAGGCAGACAGATGCCAAGCCTCTGGCCTGCTTTAGTCACTCTCATCGGGTTTCTGAAAGGTCCGACCAAGGGTCAGAGTTCCAGCAAAAGCCCCTTGGGGTCCTTGTTAGTGACCCAGTCAGCTGTCATCAGAACCCACATCAGAGGCGTCATCCAGGGTGGAAAAGCAGGGCACTGACAGTGCGCAGTCCAGCTATGCAACTCCGAAGTCAGGGACCTGAGGTTGCCTAAGAGTGAGCAAAGCTGGGGAGTTACTTGGGATAACAGGGGTTTTTCCTGGGTAACAGTTTCCCATTTTCTACAAACATCTTGCTTCTGTGGTTTTACCAAGGTCCCTTGAAGGGTCTGTTGAAACAGGCTATGCCTGGGGCGGAGGTGGGGTAACGGTTCACTGCACCAGCAACTTATCTTGTCTTCCCACCATGCTGGTCCTGGGTAGTCCCAGAGTCCAGGGGCCCCAGACAGGTGAGGAGGGAAAGGTGGAGCTGTGTAAAGTGTCCCAAGGCAAAAATATGAGCTTTAAGCAGAAGTGTAGCAGGGAGACCTGGAGGCCTCAGGGAAGCAGAGCTGGTGTCAGCAGCACAGCCTGGCCTGGCACAAGCTGAGAATTACATACATTTAGGGAGGACAAGGAGCCATGCTCTGGGGACAGGAAGGGAAGGGGCTTTGAAATCGGGGACCACAAGAAGGCTTGGAGAGTTCCAAGTCTGCATTGCTGTCTGTCTGTACGACACATGGACCACTGCTGTTCCACCCACTTGGCTTCATGGCCATCTATGCCAGGGCCCTGAGCAAGGAAGGCCATGGGAACCTTTCCCTGAGCGGTGGAGCTCAGATTGAGCCATGCACCTGTGACAGCAACTAGTGACCCACAGCTCCCCACAAACCACAGAAAAGATAGCCAGCAGACCTCGCTGGTGGCATTCACAGCTTCCATACTTGCTCTGGAGAAGTGTGATCTCTTGTAAAACTGCAGTTCCCACCACCCACCTTTCAGCATACAGGCGAACTGAATTCCCTCCTGCCACCACGTCTCGGTGCAGCCGCAGTAACAACCACCAAGCCAGGCGTGACCTGGTTTCATGCATTTACTGTTTTTTTCAGCTGGAGCTTGGGAAAAGTCCAGACCGTCCATGCAATTTCCGTTAGCTGTGGTCATGAATCAGGTCCTGACACGGCCATGAAGGCTGTGTTTCCTGTGCACAGGGCATGGCCCGACCCCGGCTGACTCCTGCTGTGGACCTGTTTCTTCCATTGTACAGCAATGATGTACGGTCTCTGTGGGCTGCTCTCTGTCCTCAATTCCTCTTCAGTTTCTCCTAAATCATGACTTGGGTCAGAGCAGCTCTGGCTCTAGACAGAGCATTAGAGCTGACACCCACATCCCCCCACATGCCGTGCTCCAGCCGCGGGACGAGCTTACATCCATCATCTTCCTCTGCTCTTCTCGTGTGTCATGTCAGCCAACCCAAGGGCTGAAAAAGGGCATCTCCAGAATAAGAACTGCACCGCGAAGGGCAAACCTAACCATGGACTGTGGCCAAGAGGCACTCACCACACTGCAGTCTGTGGGAAATAGGGGCAGCTCAGGCCTGCAGCCAATGGCCAAGCCCCTTTCCCCTAGTTCCCTTCCTTCTTCCTTCCCCCTTTCTTCCTTCCTTCCTCTTGTCCTTCCTTCTGGCAGGCCAGAGATCGTCTCTTTCTCTCTCTCTCTTTTTTTTTTTTTTTGGTCTTTTTCCTTTTTATCGGGACCGGGGGATTGAACTCACGACTGCCTGCTTGCAAGGCAGACGCTTATGCCGCTGAGCTAAATCCCCAGCTCTAGAGATCGTCTCTTCCAAATCAGCTTGGGCATGGAGTGATCTGCTTCGGTGACTCCATCCGCTGCTCCCCAGGTGCCCAAGCTGCCCTCAGAGGGTTGCGAACCAATGGTCACAGTTTGCAAGCCTCTCCAACCCCAGCCAGTTCCCCAGGCCCTGCTGGCCGCTCATGCCCTGCACCTCTGTCCCCATTGGTCTGGCTGCCCCGTAACCCACATCCTTGACCCCAAGGGCCTGGCGCAGCCTGTCCTGGCCCTGCTGAAAGCCATCTGGTGCCAACGGCCTGGTGTCGCCCTAAGCCACGCCGTCACACACACGTGGTGGGCACAGGGCCTGGGTCCAATGGTTTCTGCCCCGACAAAGCCAAGAAAGGGAGGGGAAAAAGAAAGCGGGGGGGGGGGGGGAGGAAGAGAAAATAAGCTGAAAAAGACAAAGATGAAAAGGAGGGCGGGAGGGAGAAGATGGAAGGAAGGAGGGAGTAAGGCGGGCGGGGTGGTGGCGGGGGAAAGGGAGGCCGGACCCGGTTCAAAGGGACAACACAGCCAGAAGCACTGCTGCCCTGGGCTGTCCCGGCCGCCTCGGACCTCACGATGATGACACTCCTGAGTCCCAGCCGGAGCCTTCTTCCTAAGCCACCAAACTTGCAGCCAGACTCCCCGGGCTCCAGCACACAGGCCAACTGGCGCGTCAGCGCCCCCTGGAGGCGCAGGTGGGCGCCGCCCGCTCCCGACCTCGCTGCGTCTCTGTGCACACCTCTTCCCCTTGGCCAGAAAGGGCGCTCATGCATTCCGCGTCCCAGGAGAGCGCCTGCGCATAGGGCCCTGAAGACGCACCTGCTTACGGTGCTTTCTCCACGGGACCGCGATGCCCTGTGCTCCTGTCTCCCAGGAAGGTCTGAAACTCAGAGAAGCCTGCTGATTCGACCACTGTCGAATTTCTAGCAAGCTGAGACAGCTAGGGGTCAAAGCCCACCTCTGTGACTCCAAAGAGACACCCCCCACTCCCCATCCTCCACCCTCCCCCCATCCCCCGCACCGGACCTGGTTCCCATGGCTTTTCTGAGCAGGTCTCTGGGAAGGCCAGAAAGAAAACTAAAGTTGCCTCCTCTGGGAGTAGCTGAAGGTGGCAAACAAGAATCCCCACATGCGGGGCTCAGCCTCCTCCTGGCCTATGCCCGAGCTAGCCTCACGTTCTGTGCGCTGTAAAGAATCTCATGGATACCCTCTCCGGAACCCAGGAGGTGCGTGGCCCCACCTCATGCATCAGGTACACCTGGCCTTTCTCCTGCTCCTTGTCAGGACCTCCTGGCCCTACCTCAGGCCCCAGTGCACAGCAGCAGCATGTGGCCCTGCTTGGGCCTCACTGGCAGGGCAGCTGTACCGGCGTTCACACAAAGAGCTAGGCGAGCTCACGCCCTTTGGAAAAAGCTGGCTTCCCTGGCTACCAGCTCTGCCTACAGGTGGCACGGGATCCACTGCGGGCCCAAGGCAAAACCGTCTTCTGACTGGAACTTGCCCCCAGCACTTGCTGCAGGGCCTGTTTGAAAAGCTGTCCCAGCTCAGGGCACCCAGGCTCCACAACACAGCCCACAGACATCAATGCCACACCTGGCTTCCTCCACCTCAGACACCACCTGCCCTGGGGTGAAAGTGGTGGGGAAGGATGTGTTGGTGCTGACCACTGACATCTCCATTTCCATTATTTCTGGAATCGTAGGATGACGTACACAGCCTGTACTTTGTTCTGAGCCACCCAGGGGGAGCTGCAGTATGCTGGAGGCTGCGTGTAGCTGGATGAAAACTCAACCCACTGTGTATCAGACGTGAACAAGAGGAGCTTGGCATCCAGGCTCTGGGGACAAGGGCAGGCTCCAGGATTTACTGACCCTCTCAAACATCGTGTATCCCTCTATGGGCTACAAACCTGTGCCCTGCACCAGGAGATGCCTTTGCTGATCTCCATGAATGAACAGGTGGCCAGGCCCCACTGCCTGTGTGACCAACCCACCACCACAGCACACAGGGATGCCCCACCACCAGAGCCTGGCACCCCAGGAGTAACCCTGGAGCCAGTGCTGGTCCCTGTAGGACCCCAATGCCTCTCTCCCTGATGTGGTCCTCTCACTGACCCATGCACAGCGGTGCTGTGTGCTGTGCACTCTCACCCAAGGCTGGTGGCCCTGGGGACTCACATTAGTGTGCACTTCACAAGACTTACATGCCCCGCTGTCCTTAGGAAAGTGCTACTGTGGACAGTCCCAGTCCTCGCCCCTCCATCTATATAGAGGCTGCTCTCAAAGTGTTCTGCACAGGGCAGGAGCAGAAAAGGCAGCTACCATGCATGCGGCCTGGAGACACAGCCCAAGGGTTTCCCAGGAAAGGTCAGCACGAAGCAGAACAGGGGGCTATTGGGACAGTGCCAGCTGGTTAAATCTGGCTCACTTGAAGCCACAGGCCCAGAACCCTCTAGGGTCTCCCTCCAGACCTCTGGAAGTCCTTACCGTCTGCAGAAATATCTTGGGAAGGGAGAGAACACGGCGACCTTTCCCTGCCACCTTGGACCTCAGGGTAACCTCCCATGTTTACGGCAGTTCAACCAGAGGCAGGGTACCCACTGCCGAGGGAGACGTGATTTCCAGGGTCAGGGGAGTGCAGATACCCAGTGGAAGGGTGACAGCATCAGATGTAATTTACTGAGCAGTACAAAGTGGGCACCACAGACTTGGGTTATGCAAAGTATCAACACGCAGTAGAAACACCTGCTAATGTAACCATCAGGTGGTGAAGGAGCCTTTTGCTCCACAGAGTGAACACAGCACAGTGCATGCCCCGAGAACTGTGTGTGCATGTGTAGTGCTGGGGACAGAACCCAGGGAACCATGTATGCCAGGCCAGGACCAGTCACTGAGCTGTACCCCAGCCCATGCCCTGCAGGCCTTGTAGTGCAGCGTCACTTGGAGTGCGCTGTGAATTGCAGGACTCTCCTTGGACAGCTCTGGCTTTCGGGACTTTCCTGACATGAAGACAAAATGTGAAGACAGCTGCTAATAGTACAGCTTTGGTCCTAAATAAGAACTCTACCAGAAAGTTTAAAAAGTAGTTTGTTTTTGTGAAAATAAAATATAGTGCACACACTGAGTGCTTCTATATTTACAGTTTTGCATCTAGAAAAATCAGAGGGCTCAGTCAACACATTCTCTTCTACACAGTCCTGATTTTACAGCTCTTTTCTCTTAAAATTTTAACCTAAAAGCCGCATAGATGCTTTGGCTCACAATTGTGTGAGGCCTTGCCTCGAGGGACCCAGTCATTAAACCGCCCTCAGGTCTCTCCCAGCAGGCAAGCTCCTCCAGGCACAAGCAAAGGTCCTCTGCTGAGGCCCTGCTGCAGACCCAGACCCACTAGGACAGGGAGCTGCAGTTTCCTACATTGGTCTTGGGGGCCCCATAAAGGCACTGGCTCCGTAAATGACAAGATCAGCCCCAAGAAGCAGGGTGTGCAGGGCTCAGAAGGACCCGAATCCACTCAGAAGGACCAGGACCAGAGAGGGCTCAGCATCAGGCTTCAGGAGCAACTTCAATGTGCATTCTCTCCCTGCAGGCATCAAAAGTCAAAAAACCTGTGACCCAGAGTCAGCTTACAGATGGGGCCAAGCCCATTCTGGCACCCAAAGCCACCACAGCAGTAGGAGGAGCAGTACAGGAGCCGCGGCACCTGCCGGGGTCACTCTTCCTTCCTCCTCCTCCTCTCTTTTCTTTTCTCTTGAACCTTCTTCAGCTCAGTCATCAGATTCAGCGTCTTGTGCACCCACATAACCTAAAAAAGACCATGTGGCGACATCAGAACTGAGCTGCACAGCGGCAGAGGAGACCAAAAGGCAGCACAGCCTCGCACATACCACGATGATCACCGCGTTGAGCAGCAGTGGGCCCGAGAATACGATGGAAATGAACATCCCCCTGGAGTCGAAGTACTGGTATTTGGAAAAGGACCTGTTTTAAGACAGAAACCAAGATTTCCTGGGCCTATGTCCTCCAGCACCAGGTGATGGAGGAAGAGCAGGCAGCCAGGGTCACTAGGGCATGCACATCGCCCAGTGAGAGCTCAGACCAGCATGGGGCCCTGGCTCTGCAGCATCAGGCTCATGAGGCCAGCACTACTCCCAAGATGAAGCACTCAGGCTCAACACGATGGTTAAAGGAGCCTGGCCATGACAGCCAGGCAATGGCAGACAGGACTGGTCCGCAGGGGTCGCTCCCGAAAAGGAAACATGGACAAGCCTGCAACGCTGGGACCCTGCCATGTGCCTGGTGCAGCTCTGGGCTCAGCTGTGGACAGGAGCGCCAGTGGGCTGCAGCATCTCCTCTGAGGAAAGAGGCACTCCGGGACTTGCACACCTGGCCACCAAAACCCACTTCACCAGTGTTGAGGAGACAGCACAGGGTCATGACTCAGCAAGGACCCAGAGGGAGCACCAGCGAACCACTCGGTCTGGAGGTGGCAGCAGGGCTGAGAGGAGAGGAGCTCAGAGGCCAGACCCTCAGGCCACCAGCACCGATGAGCAACTGTGCTTTGCTGGTCACTCTACAGTATGATAGGCTATGACTGCCCTGTGCTGAGACCACTGCCCAGGCAGGGTGACTGCAGGGCTGGAGGAGCATTTGGGGATGGGGGTGACCCAGGAAGCTGACGTTACCTCCAGTTCATGGCAGCCACTTCATTGATGTACTCAGCGCAGTAGACTAAGGCCGCTAGAGAAGACAGAGCACACATTAGAACGTAGATGGCGAATCATCATTCCTTATGGAATAAACACATCCATTTTTCACAGCAGAAGGTTTAACACTGATATGACACAATATCAGAGCTTGGCGAGATTAACGTCTATCTCGGCCATATTGTAAATCAAAACTCTGAATTACAGAAAATGTGTGTTTAAAAGAAAGCAGGGAAAATGTGTGAGGTCCACAGCTAGTCCTTCCTAGTGGCCTGGCCTCATGACAGCCACAGTTCAGCCCACATGAAGCCACTAAGCTGAACCACGCCAGGATGAGCCAAGGCACTGGGGCCACCAACCCAGCTCACTGGCAGGTTATTGCTGAGCCATCCAGAAGAAAAGGGACTGCTAGCAAAGAGCTGCACGGTCTCCTCGACCCTGACAGGTCTTTCCCAGAACCACAGTCTTCCCAGGGCTGCAGGGCACATGCCAAAACTCTGGCCAGTTCAAAGGTGAAGCCAACTTTGCTTGTGGGAAAAGTCACCACCCTGGAGACAAAACTGAAGAAAAGACCCTCGGCAAATTAAAAACCTGGCACTCTAATGTCCAGTACTAAGCGGTCAGGTAGCCCTGGTAGAAACAGGCATACAACACCCGACCTTCCCAACACTTTGAGTCAGGATACATGAAATACATGCACAATAGGGTCTGGTTTTTGCCAGGGACCTCAGCAGTCCCTCTGGGAAATCAGGAATGCATGCACAACTTTGCGTTAGGGTACGTTTTTCTCTGAGGTGCTCGGTCTGTGACAGCTTATAGTACACAGAGTCACAATAGGCAAGGGGCCCATTTTGCTCACCCTGGACCCTGCATGTTCCTTAGGATACAACTTGATACAGACTCAGGGAAGGCAGGGGTGTAACAAGTCCAGCCACCCCTCATCTGCCCACGACTGTTTCTTGGACTCATACACTCAGCTTCACTTTTCTTCCTAAGGTCATTCCTTGTTCAGAACTCTTACCTGGCTCACGGCCAGATAAGTGTGCCTAAAACTAATGGGTTGTCTTTATAACCAAACATCTTTGCTGTCTTTTCCCTATCTGCATGATCAAGTGGCCAACTCTCGCCATCCAGCATATATGTAACACTGGAACCTACAGGCCGTGATTTCTCCAGGTTCTGACCCAACTCCACAGCATTACTGACTCCCACCTCTCGTGGAGTGGAGCCTTTTCCCTGACTTCACACCCTAAATGGAGAGCTATTCCGTATCTTTTCTTACTGCCACTGTGTCCAGTCTGTCACCCTGTACTATGGCTCTGTTTCTTTCCATATAACTTTTCTCAATCATGTCACAAAACTCCACCCCCTTCCCTGAATTCCTGTAGCCCTTATCTTTAAAGCTGACCTGGGTGATATCTTATTTCACGCACAGACTCTTTCATCCTACTTTTCATTTTCCTCCTACAGCAGGCCGTACAGGACTGAGCCCGAGCAGGGAAACATCTGTGTAAAACACAGTGTTTCTTCGTACAACTGGTACTGGGCATCAGCCCTGGCACACAACAGGCGTCCCATCATCTCTGTCAAATCTGACATCCTGATATTATAGTTTATACACAGAGCACCTGATGGCAGGGGCAGGAGGTGCTGTGACAATAACCTGCATATCCTGAAGATGCAGAATACAAACTCTCTCTCTCTCTCTCTTTCTCTCTCTCTCTCTCACACACACACACACACACTCACACACGGAAGACAAAGAATATATAGTCACTAGAGAGTGATAGTGCAGGGGCTCTGTTTGGTCCCACTTACCTAGGCTCAGGAAGAGACCGACCTGCAGTTGGTACCTCTGGGCTGAGAAGCAGGTGAGCAGCAGGCAGAGCACATGGAAGGCAACCAGCCCCAGGAGCCACGGTTCGGTCCAGTCTGTCTGCTGTGAAAACAAATCACACTGTTACACTCCGAGGTCTGGGGGTGTGTGGGAAGGCTGTGGCTCCTCTCTAACTCATCTGGTGCCCAGAGAACACAGCCCGGCCACCAAGCAACATGGGACAGGAAAAGGAAAAGGGGAGGAAATCTCCCCCACTGAATGCCTACCCACAGGTTCTTAATGATTCTCAAGTTTGAGCACACAGGACAGAGTACATCACCAGCTCATCCCTTCTGATTGAATAGAACCACGTTTTTAATCTGGGTGAAATCTAAGGGATTATCACCCCCTTAAAGACAGGAAGTTAAGTGACTTGCTCAAGTTCATGCACTTTGTGAGTCCCCAAGCTAAACCCAGGACCCTGTGAAGTTCCTTAGTGTGGCGGTCTTGGCCATATGAACCCTCCTCACCCGCGGGACTTGATTTCCCAGCCTTCCTACAGGTGCCCAGCACTCCAGGTAGTGCTGCAGGCCAGGTCTCCTGAGCTTCGCAGTGGGCACTAGATGTGCTCCAGGTCCAGATCCACCCATGGGATGCTCAGCCTCGTTCAGGCTGCTCAGTCCCTCAACACCCTTCCCAGAGCTGCCTCCACCAAAAGCAAGGCCTGGCCCACAACTGGGGTCTCGGGCCCTCTGGGACTCTTAATACCCGGGGTACCCCTACCTAAAGGCAGCTCCTGCCTCCTGTGCACCGAACACACGAAAAGCAGCGTGCAGCGACTTGTCTAGAGATTGGCAGGGTAAGTGATGCTGCCCAGCCCCAAACCAAGTGCTACACCTGGAGCTGGGGACCCGGAAAGCTGCTCAGGAACATCCAGGGTCCTCCATCCTCCTGTGACTTACAGGACAGTGCAGCGGCTAGACAGCCCCCCCACCCCCCGCTCCCAGCGCGCCCTATCTCAGGTCCCAAGACGAGCCCGCCCAGGCCCCGCCCAACACGGCTCATAGCCCCACCCCACCACACCCCCAGCCTTGATCCGGAGACGAGCCTGCCCATAGCCCCGCCCCCAGCGCACACACAGCTCTGGTCCCGCCACCGCTCCGCCGCACGCACCCAAGTCCCACGGCGGTCTACGCCGCAGGGTCAAGAACCCCTAGTTCCCCCTCGTGGGGTGGCGAGTTACCATGATCACCGAAGGGATGCTGACGGGGAAGTAGCTGACGGAGAATGCGGAAGGCATGGTGCCCTGGAAGCCAGCCCTCCCAACCGCCGCCGAGCCCTTCCGCCCAGCTCCGCAGGAAGTGCTTCGGTTCTCATCTCGCGAGATCAGTAGGGGCAACCAGACGGGCAGCATTGGATACTCTCGCGATAATCACCCTACTTTTTTTTTTTTTTAAAAAAAAGGTCAAATCTCGCGTTATGTGTGGATTAAATAGTGATAAATGACGCAAAGGATTGGTTTATGCTCCCAGACTTGATCAGAGGGCTAAAAGTGGGCTCTGGGAGGCGATCCAGGTTTGAGGACGCCACAGGCTGGCAGGCTGGCAGGACCTGTATTTGTTTTCGGAAAACTCAGCTCCGGGGTATCACGCGTGGGTTTCCCACGGTGTTTGTCGTTCCACGCCTACGAGGACAGCTTCCACGTGGGACGCCTGCCCCCCTTTCCCTCTCCGGGACCTGGCCTTTTGGTTTTCTGTCCGAAACTTTCCACGTTTGTTTTGCTCTTGCAAGTATGGCTTTTAATAAATTGTAACTTTATTTTTCATCGCAAGGCTCCAAGGTCCTGCTTCCCCTCTGATAGAATTTTCAGCGCGGCTAAAAAGATAGAAATATGAAATAAAGGTGGCCTTTTATTTCAAGATCGCGGAGAACCCCCCAACCACTTAAGTATGGCTTTCTCTCTGCGGGACACTTGGTGTGGGGGCATATGTGTAGCTTAGGTTTGGGGTGGAGCCTAAGGGGCATTACTGATGCACAGGTAGCCCATTGGAATTCATTTCGCCGCTGGTAAATTGCTTAGAGGAGGGGAAGGTGACCTTTCGCCTCCCAGCCTCCCACCGCTACAGCGTCCCCTCTATAGCAAAATCCTTTTACCCTGGAGTTGCTGTGCGCCCTCTTACTGTGACCTCGTTCATTCTTACTCACCCAAGGAAAGGTGTGCGAAGTGGGGAAAGCGAAACGTCCCTGACGCTGGGGTGCAGGAGAAGCTGGCCTGTGTGGCTCAGACCCCTTACCTGTTCCCTTAGCAGGAGCCTCGGGCAACACAGTTACTACTGTTGCCGAGCACCTGGGACTCTGGATGGAAGGAGCAATCCGCGGAATCTGCAAAGCTGAGCTGTTGACGGCCCCAGGCCTTATAACTGCAGGTGGCTCTCTGCCCCGGGTTTTTTTTGTTTTTGTTTTTCGTTTTTTATTTAAAGAGAAAAAAGAAAGGAAATAAAAAAAAAACAAAGCAGTAAAAGGGTACAAGTAATACAGAATTTCAAGAAAAAAAATATATTGTAAGAAATCACTAGTTAATAGGTTACATATTGTCTTCTTAGAAACAGTTGTCCAAATTATAAAATTAAAGCATATACAGCCCTGGGTTTTATAACTCTGGGGCTGCAGTACCCTCAGTCCTGGGCCAAACAGTGCTGGTGTGCGGTGTTAACCTTTCTGGGGCCCAGAGAACCCTCAGGGCTCTGTGTTCCAGCTCTGGGACTTGGAGGGCAGTCATCATAGCTGGAGGTTGTCAGAGTTCTGGGCCTTTAGTGTACAGCCCTCAGGCCTGGAGAATTCTCTGCCTTCAGCCTTACTGCTGGAGGCTTCAAATGCCCACAGCCCTTAAGCATTGCAGCTGTAAAGCTTGGAGTGTCCTCTGCTCAGCATTACTGCCTAGGGCTAAATGCCCACATGCATCCCTTGACTGTTGACTTAACTCTGGGGTTGTGATTCTACAAGGCCCTCGGTGTTACAGCTCTAGGGTTCTGTTTGGCCCTCAGCAGTACAGCTCAGGGGTCCAAGTGGCCACAACCTTGGAGTCTAATTTCTGTCTCTGTCACCACTCCCCTCCCCACAAGGATGCTATGAACTAAAACCCTTGTAGACTGGAGTAGTGGAAGAGGAATGCTGCTTATATACCAATAACAGGTCTGTGACTGATCCAAATTCAAGTTTGCTGATTGATCCAAATTTATGCCTTTAGATCCAAGCCCATTTATTGGCCTAAATTCAACTTGCTGCGTGATTCAAATTCCAGCTTGTTGAGGTTGGGACAGACATCTACCTGGAAAAGGTACAGGTCTCTGGGACCGCTGTAGGAGTCAGGAACAAATAATTTATGTCAGTAAGAGATGACTGACAGCTGCTATATGTAGGAGAAAATGACCAGGCTAAAATGAGGAATGACTGGATCAAACTGCTAATAAATCAGGACAGGTTCCATATGTAACAGAAGCCCAGCAATCAAAATTAAAAATTCCAAGGTTAAGACCATATTAGATTTTCTGGCCCTTTAAATTCACCCTGGACAATTCTGTCCTTTCACAAGCTTTAGAGGCCACCTCCTCTGAGCTTGTCCCTGCAGCAGGTGGTCCCTGAGGGTGAGAGCTGCAGATAAAGGCTATGGGGTCCTTGGCCCACCCACCCCTCATCCACCAGTGACTCGTGGGTGTTTTCACTCAATGGAGTGGACCCCAGATGTGAGATGTGCAGAGGAGGAAAGGTGGATCCTGCCAGTGTGGAGCTGCAGGCTGGGGCGTGGCAGACACTGGCATTCTGGTCATCTCCCTGTGTCTCTGTCCCCACCAGGTACAAGGGGTAAAGGAAGATGGGTGCACTCAGCCTTTGGGGTCTGTGACCTAGGAAAGCCAGTGGGCACCGTGAGCAGCTCGAAGTTTACTTATTCCATGCTCAGTGCCCACAGGCTCCTGCAGCCCATTAAGGAACTGGCCATATTTAGCTCTGAGCAAAAATAAAACAAAGGTCAAGTAAAATGAAAAGGCTTCCGTGTGCTTTGCAGATGAAACAAAAGCCGGAAGGTTAGATGGGACTCTTAACAGTCCCCCAAAGTTTCCAGAGGGTGGCACTGTTGGACAAAAGACGCTGGCATTGAGTGGGACACTGAGGACAGTGCAAACTCAGGATCACATCCGTATGAGATAGCTCAGGGCTATCTGGGCAAGCCCTTGGTTTCAAACAATGGGACTGTGCTGCAGGATGCACACTGTGTGTCCAGCAGGTGACGCTGTCTCATCAGTTTGGCCAGGGTCATCCATGCCTGCAGATTAGGAAGGAAGCAGCCCGCCCCCCACCCCCTTCCTGGGGGAAAAGACAACTGTAGCCTCTCAGCTTCTGGTGAACAGAAAGTAGCGTTGTTCCCACGGTGGGGCACAGTGGTCCCCCCTAGGTCTGCTGGACTTTGATCTGTGGAAAGATGTGAGGCACCACCCCTCTCTCTGATCAGGGCTGTGTGGGGCAGCCTTGGGAGGTTTCTGTTATCACCTCACTCCACACACTCATCCCGTGACAACTGGAAGGAACAGCTGCTGGGAAAGCCCAGGAAGGAGTCACCGGTTTTCCAACCTGCCCGAGCACTGGTGAAACTATTCCCACACTATCACAACGGCCAGGGTCAGTCTGCCACTGAAATCTCTCTTGGCCCTAGCCCAGATATTCATTACTGCCATGGAACCTGAAACTGGGCATTCACTGTAACAAGGTTTATTTTGCCTGACGATTCCGGGCCAAGGTGGAGATGCATCCAGCCGTCTGGTTGGCAGCAGTCAGCAGAGGTGGTGTCCCTTGGGGACAAACCAGTACTTGGCATAGCTCGGTATCTCCAGGTCTCTCTCTCACTCTTCTGATGAAGCCACTAGGTCTAGGCTGTGCCCTAATGACCTAATGATCCTCATGGCTTTCCACCCAGAAATGCCACTGTCAGATGGCGTCTCCTCTCTGCACCTTGCATCCTCTCAGCCTCCTGAGTGCTGGGATTACAGGCACAAGCCACTGCACCTGTATTAAGACTCTTATAAGATGGCTCTTGTGTCCTGGTTAACTGGAAGATATGTGTGCCACACACACAGGGACCAAGGCACCCAAGGACCAAGGATCTGACAGGACTTCCATACACACAAGCTTTGCACTGGGCTACAACCTAGCCCTTTAAAAAGAAATTTGCAACAGGGTATTGCTAAGTTGCTACATTGTTAGACTCCAACTTTCAAACCTCCTGTCTCAGCCTCCCCAATTGCAGGGATTATAGTGTAGGCCACCGAATTTAGCTGTAAATGTATTTTAAAGGCAAACTCCCAGGAGGAACATGTCTGGCAATGTTTACAAGGAAGGACAAGATGAGTGTGAGGTCATGGCATTTATTCATGCATGCTCTAGAATAAGCAGACCGTGATACTACATGTGCCTCCAAGGAGACATTTGCTGCAAACTGTTTTGCAGTGTCTGGAGTCTGTGGCCACCAGTCCTGATCAGGTGACTTAGTAGTGAATGAGTCTTCCCATCCCTTTGCCTCATGAAACTTCGGAAAAACACCAGCAATGTCCGACTTCACTTCTACAGAGCCTCAGGCTTCACACAGCAGAGTCACCTGACACAGGAGTCGCCCCCAAAACTGCTGAGATTTGCTGTCCTCTGCCACCTTGCCGGTGAGGATGTGGCAGGCTCCAGACAGGCCCTGCACTGGGCTCTCGGTAAGGCCAGGATTGCAAGCGGAGCTCGACTGCTACAGGCAGAGAGGAATCTGTGACCCATAGGCCGCTTCCTGCAGGAGAGAAGGTGGGGTGAGCCCGATGCCTCCCCAGTTCCAATCAACCTCAGGAATGGGCCTACGAGAGGGGCCCAGGTCAGGAGGGGGTACAGCAGGACCCCAGTTCCTCCTCTCTCCTTCCCCGCCCCACCCCTAGGTGAGCAGCTCATTTTGTAACTGGTTTGAAGAAATGAGTTACTTTCACCACGTTCTGTCTGCCTTAGTGATTCTAATTTGTCTAAATGTTTTTTAAAACTGGTTCAAGTTTTTGACAAATGTTTGTTCCTTTATAAATACAATCTGTACCAGGGAAGATGGGAGGAAGGTACAGAACTAAACAGGGACCGTGTCCCAAACAGCCTCACCTGAGTGCAGCTGGAGAACAGCTGAGCGATTTCAGTGATACCTTAGATCTTAGTGAGAAACAGCTTTGCCTGTTGTCACCTAAATGAAACGCAGGGGACCCACCTGCTCCAGGTCCAGAGCTGCGGTGCTGTGCATCGAGGTCCCTGCTTCCTCACACATCCTACATCCCGGCTGAGCGGGGATTTTCCCATCTCCCTCAGTGACTGGCAGCGTGGATGCTGCAGCGGAGCACGTCCTGTGAATAAGCACACATTGCCAATGCTAGAGGAACCCCAGGCTTGTGCCCGCTGTAATGGAAACAGGGGTGCTTCCTCTGCGCTGGAGTCCTGGAAGCTGCTCAGGGGCCTCCCTCAGATCCTGTCCTCAACGTGCATGGCACCTCAGCCCAGCGGGTACCGAGGCTGCAGCTTTGGTCAGGGCCAGATGACCACAGCACCCCGAGGAGGCAGAGGAGCACAGGACTAGAGAGTCCGTGGCACCCTAAGGCCATGCTGCCCTGGTTCTTGCTTTTAATTGTTGAAGAAATGCAAGCATCAGCTCATAGGGGCAGCCAGGGGACATGGAATTCTGAAATGCAAGCCTGCTCCTTAAACTCAATTTATTGATTTCTTCTGCAGGGGGGCTTTTGTCAAGTTGCACTTGCCGACCTGGACTGCGTCTGCTCTTTCTGGCTGACTTGACCTTGCCCCAGCTGGCTGAGGGAGTGGCCCAGTCTCTCACACTCATATGGAGGGCATGTTCTTGTGGTTCTACCCATGTGGTGGGGCAAGATCAGAGCCCTGCCTTTGCCTGGGACACTTTTTCTGCTGGGGGAAACAGGTCTTGGTACCTGTCCCAGGGAGAAGAGGTCACAGGTCTCCAGCAGGGCCATGGCCAGCTCACCTGCCCTTCCCAGCATTGCTGTGCTTTTTAATCTCATCCAGCTAAGTCATAGCTGAGGGTTGATTCGGTGTGGTTTTCTTTCATTACTGACAAGCGTGAGGTCCTGACCTCAATCGAGGGCTGAGATTAAACACTGCTGTAAAACAGACGAGCCCTGACGTGCTTGTCGGGTTTCCTAATGAAGCGGCACCTGCACATTCCTAGTGGCAGACTTTATTACATCCTCATTGCTTCTCAAGCCCTCAGGTCTTTTTTATATTTGCTCAAGTTTTTAAATTTTTATTTATAACAGGTCATGCACAGACTTGTTCACTGAACCTGTGGGCATTTCAGAGGCCCATGCAGTATCCTCAACCAGTATCCTCAGTTTGGGCTAACAAGCACCACCAAGTTGTACAATTTTATTTAATTACAGGTTTTACATTAATAATTAAATAATCAAATACACTAACTGAATTTATAAATGCATTCATAAAGGAGCTGCCCAACTGAAGCTGGCTGTAGGAAGCATTATGAAGTAATAATAGTTTTAAGTAGCAAAAGAGCTCAAAACGTTTATTTTTTACTTTAGCCTGAAAAAGGGGAGACGGGTTTTAAATCCTAAGGATTTGATGCAGACTTAGATAAAATACACTGCATGTATAAACTAACCCAATTCTGCTAAAGCTGTTACTGTGCAGAAGTGCATTCAGGAGGGAGCACTTTTACATCCTATTCATCAAGGAACACCTCAAATACTGGCTGTCTTCCCATGATGGGTCGAAAAGCTATTTGGTAACTTCTTGCTTATGTGTGATTTCTTTGGCCTGAGTATCTGTTTCTTAAAAGGCGAGTTTTTCCCTTGGCCATGGATTGTTCATGGATACCATAGAGTCGTAGTATTCCAAGACAGTGAACCTTCTTCTTAGCAGCGACAGCTGGGCCAGTCAGGACGGTGCAAGCTTGTGTTGCTGGGCAACACAAGCCTTCCCTGCACACTCATGCTCTACGCTAGGCACACACGAAGGGCTTTACAGGTAAGTAAGATACCTGTAACCCTTAAAGCAGCCGTGCAAAGTAGACATGATAGTGCTTTATTCACAGACTTGGGGACTCGGAGAGATTGGGGGCTCAGCCAGCAGAAGCAGGGCGAAGAGTGGGCAGGGAAACCCTGGCTCTTTGACCTCACAGAGGCCTCTGCACTGGCTTTCTCTCTATAGCCTCACAGTGCTGCACAAACACAGCCTGGTGAGGACACAAATCTGCAGCCGGAAGAAGCTGCCCCCTGCTGGGTGTTTAATGAAATTCTGCGAATTACAATTCAATGCTCAGTTCTATTGTTATTACCTCCCTGCATGGGATTGGTGGAAACAGCAGCTAAGGTTGTGTTATTAACTGTGCTTGATTTTACTTGTTCACAGACACCACCACACGAGGACATCTTGGACTTTTCAGAATGTGTCTAATAAGTGAGGACAACTATGCTTAACAAACATGACCTGATCTTTGTAGGAGTACATGTTCCCTGAAAAAAGCAATTTGACAAAAGGAAGTATACAGCCTCCAATTTTCAGGGAAACAAATGAACACAGAGTATTTTTCCTAGCTAGAGTGTTACAAAGGTGAGCTGCCCCTTTTTCTGTTCTTGACTCTCAGCATGTCCAGGAATGCTGTCCAGAGAACACGTGACAGTGTGAGTGTCCTTCAGAGCTGCAAATGCTTCTCTCCCACCAGCTGACCTGCTGTCCTCGGGGACAGATACACGTCGCTGGGGTTGCTGGATGCAGGTGTGTTTCACCTGAGAACAGAACCAAAGCCCACACTGCAGCCAGGGTGTGGCTCTGCGACTCCAGCTCCCTGGGCTCAGCCTGAGTCCAGGCTCACAGCACTGAGAAGCCCTGATTCTAAGGTACGGAGGTCTAAGGGGTTCATCGGCAGGCTCATGCCTGCACCGCATAGTAAACATGGCAGAGCAGACTTCCCATTAGTGCTGAGTCAGGATGGAAAGGCTGCCTGGGGCACAGCAGGAAACTGCCCAGGGTTCTTGTGATGGTCTCCATGTCACCGACAGGGCTCATTGTCTTTTGAATTTTTTTGGTCTTTTTCCTTTTTATCGGTACCGGGGATCAAACTCAGGACTGCCTGCTTGCAAGGCAGGCGCTTATGCCACTGAGCTAAATCCCCAGCCCCTTGTCTTTTGAATTTATAATGCACATTATCAGGTGGAATAACTGCTATGAAATACAACTGGGAACAGCAGAAAGGCATGCCGCATGGTTTCCTACACACAGAAAACGACAGAGTCACATCTCAGGAGCCCCAGAGCTGAAGACAATAAAGAGAAATTAGTGTCAGGGTAACGAGAAAGTAGAGCAAGGCAGGAACTGTACAGAGTTACATTCTCCGTGAACTAATGATGAACAAACAGGATTGGGATGAGTTTAGGTTGGAGATGTTGATCTAAGAAATCTGCACCAGAAGAAATAGAGGCACAGACAGAAATTTTCCACAGCCCGGGGTCTAACTTCTAAAATAGACATGGGCCACTGGGGAACCAGCTTTCAGAATGTAAACTAGTACAACCACTGTGGAAATCAACATGGAGATTTCTCAAAAAGCTGAGACAGAAATTCCATTTGACCCAGCTAGTTCCCCTTAGGTATCTTCCCAAACAATTTAAAGACATTGCAGTGCTCCATGCCTACCCATGTGTATAGCAGCTCATAACAGTTAAATCTGGGAAGCAGCCACTACCAACAGATGAATGGATAAAGAAACCATGTGTTTACACCCAACGGAGGACTACTCAGCATGAGCCATCTGTAAGAAATGGATGCACCTTGAAACCATGATCTTAAATTTTAAAAATCAGACATATAAGCTTAAACATCACAGGAGAAACCCAATATATAAATAAAGAGCAAAAGATAATACGAAGTAGACAGACAGATCCTTCTCAGATTCGAAGGAGATCAAGAGATGGAGGGAGAGCAGAGAAAAAGGGTGAAAAGGGAATTAAGATGTGCTATGCACATGCACCAGCTCCTCATGGGTAATATAAACATTATGAACTATAAACAAGTACCAATAAGAAAATAATAAAACCAAACTGGATTGAATGCATAGCACTAAAAAAATCAAATAAAGAAGTTGCACATGAAATAATTCAACTTGGTGAAAAGAATTTCAGTGAAACAAAGTATTTAAAATTGGGTATATTTTAGTAGTATAAAAAAGATTGATAATACACTTAATTGCATCACAGATTTTCAATGAAATACAGCAGTATTGGCATAATTCTGATTGAAATATTTAAGAAGAATCTTTTTTTGTTTTGTTTTTGAGACAGGGTCTCTCATGTAGTTCAGGTTGGCCTTAAACTCACTAGACAGCCCAGGCTGGCTGTGGACTCAGGTGATCTTTCTGCCTCAGCCTCTCAAGTGTTGGGATGACAGACATGTGTCACCACACCTGCCTTAAGGCTGCTTCATTCTTCTCCTTCTGGCCCAGGTGAGGGCAGCTATGGCTTCTTATGCTTTACACCACTGTTTGTCTTAATCCTTTCCATTGAAGGGAAGTATTGTGTACTAGGAAATGCATGAAAGCCTGGTTCTTCAGAGTATTGTGAAGAGAGGCAGCAGGGAGTGAGGGTAAACTGAGGCTCCTTCTGCAGCTAGGGTGAAACTGTGCCTGGGGAGGACTAGTCAGGTGGCTTATGCAGAGAACATGTAAATAACAGAAATCCTGGGACTGACTGTGGGACACTAAACTTCAGGGCCACTTTCAACATGGAAATGTAACCTCGGTCTGTGGAGAACTGCCACGCACACAGTGCTTTCCTCTCAGGTAAAACCTCCTGAGAAGCTCTTATCCCCATGAGGGAGCATCTCCACGCAGTAAAGGACTCAGCACCACTGAGCTGTGCCCGAAGAGCTGACAGCACCCAGGCTTGTGAGCTGTCATTTCACCTCCACTGCATCAGCACCACCCAGAACCCCAAGACTGTGGTGTCTAGGGGTTCTGGTGTCTACACTGTGGTGTCAAACTGTGGTGTCCACCAAGTCATCTACTACCACTGGCTTCGGAAACCCCAAGCAGCTCTGTCACTGGTCATGCCCAGAGGGGTGGGGTCTGCCCGTGTGTAAGAAGTAATCAAGGAGTACAGGACTTACCACCTGCAGATCACCGTCCAGGTGATGCCTGCCAAGACACCAACCAGCAGTGCCCCCAGGGTGAGGGAGACCCAGGATGCTCGTGGGAGCCTGCCGGAGTCTAACAGAGGAGGAGGAATTGAGTGGGGCAGCCTGGGCTCACTGAAGGGGGGGGCAAGGGCGGGCAGGTGGGCGAGGTGACCCCTGGACAAGCAGGGTTTCAGAGACAGCTGTGGGGCAGAGACAGGAAAGTCCTCCCAGCCCAGCCAGGCAGGGCACAGAGCACCCTGTATGAGACCTATCCCAGGGCCCCTGGACCCCAAAAGACTTTGGGGGTCTGGAAACTGGGTCAGGCCTCCCTTTGTCCTGAAGGAGAGTGTTGAGTGCCCAGGACACCTGGACAGACAAAGAGACGGTGGAGCTGGAGCCCTGTCCTGGTTCCCAATCGCAGGGAACACTGTGCTCCCCACCCCTGCTGACAGCTCCTTCACAGAAACAGCCTGCAGCCAGAAGGCAGCACCCACCCACGCAGGTCCTGGCGTCCTCAGCCAGCACATAAGGGTCGGAGCACAGGCACTGGAAGCCACCCTTGGTGTTCCTGCAGCGCGCAGAGGGGTGGCAGGGCACGCGTGCTGGGTCTGCACACTCGTCCACATCTGCAGAGACAGCAGAGGCTTGGTTTGGGGAGAGGGGCACCCTACCAGGTATGCTGTGCACTTGTGGCGGGACCGTCTCACCCCACTGGGCTCAGATTTACCCTCTCGTAGGTTTCCATGGGCACCATGACAAATCACAGCAAACTGGTGGCTCAAACATTGGTCCTCTCAGGTCTGGGTGCCGGAAGTCAGAAACCAAGGTGTGGACAGGAGGGTGCTGCCACCGACGGCCGGGGGCTGAAGGGCCCTCCCTCACCCACTCCAGCATCAGAGATCACTGTCCTTGCATCCCATTCGCACTCCACTCCACTACTGTGCCCCTGGGTCCCTTTCCCATCTCCAAAGGATGCTGGGCTTCAGATTAGGGCCACCCTGAGAACTTTACTACAGCTAGTGATGCCTGTAAGAAGGCACCCTCTGTGGTGCCAGGGGTCCAGGCTGCACCCACTCTCTGGGGGTCACAGTGCAGCCTTGGTGCTCTATCTGTGACCTGTTTATCCTCAGGGAAACCCTTGTCAGGGACCAACATACTCCAGTCTCCTCGGCTCGGGCAGCACTGGGCATAGGGGAGGAGCCCACCCTGGCTGGGTGACAATGCTCTCACAGACCGCAGGAACCCAGTCTGAGGCCGGCATGTCCACAGAGTTCCGGTTGGTGGGAACAGAGGGAGGATCTGTGCATTTGACTGGAATTGGGATTTCCAAGAAGAGCAAGACAGTGACCCCAGATCTCCACATAAATGGCTGCAGAGATGTCCTCTGCTCTCAGCATGCGCTGCTAGCTGTGCATTGTACAGATAGACACAGAGCAGCTGCCTGCTTCCCCTGTGCTGACCTCCAGACAGTAGTGAGAAAGCCCACTGAGCACAGTTTCCATCTGCCAAAACCCACAGCACTAGAGCTTGGAGGTAACATGCGTCCTAATTCAGTGCTGGATTTCCCTCTAGAATTTTCATGCGTGAGGATTTGAGTGCCTGAGTAGGATGTGAACCCCACTGACCTTTGCAGATGGGTGGCTGGGCATCCCATCCTTCCGGGGTGCAAGTGACCTGCTCCTGCCCATGCAGCTCGTATCCATGGTGACAGGAATACACCAGCACACGCTGCCCGGAGTCCTCGCAGTGTACGAAGTCCCCATTCTCCACCCTGCCTGGCAAGCTGCACCTGTCATCTACACAACAGCGAGGTCACAACGAAGGCAGCTGCAGAAGGACAGCCACAAACTGGTGTCCCAGGCACGGACCGGACAATGTCCCCTAAGATGCTCCAGCCAGGTCCCTGCACCCAAACTACAAAACATGGAGAGGGGCTGTTGGGGGGTAGGGATTGCTCTCCATATCCTTGTCTAGGATGGAAATGCAGTGAAGTTGCACACGTGCCATGTGTGCATGGGTGCATGCCTGTGTGTACCTGAGTGTGTACTTCTGCAAACAGGTCCCAGCCTCTGGAGGAGGCATTGGCACCTCACACCTGTGTGGAGCTGTGTGTCCCACAGTGTCAGAGGAGCAGGTATTGCATTGGGGTGGAGTAGGGGTGGGGTGTGCTGTGGTCTTTGCTGTGAGCAAGTGCAGAGAGGAACCCAGGCCAGGACATCCGCTCCGCCAAGCCCGGAGGCTCCCAGCTGGCCCTGCATCTGTTATGAGGCCAGATGCTGAGCACTGTTTGTGCCCTTAAGAAGCTGCAGTTTCATGCACTGTCCCCAGTACTGCTCAGGGCACCACCTGTGTCCACCTGTGGGTTCTGCACTACCCCGTGTGCAGACACAGAGGCCTGGGGTGCCTTGTGCAATACAGCACCCAGGGCCTGAGTATGGGCAGGGCCTGAGGCTGTTACTCCCATCTTTCCTGTCTGGGCAGGGGGAGGCTGGTGAGGGGGGAGGCCGAGCTAGGGGTGATGTGTCAGGGGTGCAGGGGTGAACACTGATGTTGGAGAAGTGCACACTCTCTGACTCAGCGTCACCTTGCAGAAAGGTCTCCCTCCATGCTTCCAGGTCCAGGCTGGGGACATGCTCACAGGACACGAAGTCCTGGGGGAACTGCACAGCTTGAAAGGCATCCCTGGGCACGTGGGTGAGGCCAGAGTTGTCGCAGATGACCCGTGCCAGTGAGTGCTTTGCCAACTCCTGCTGCTGTGCCTTGGTGAAGACTGGGCCATTCTCCCACCACAGCCTGCGAAGGAGGCACCGGTGAGCAGACCAATCCAGTTCAAGGACAGGGAGTCCCACAGGCTTCCCTGGTCAGGCCCGAGGGTCCCCTGCAGCCCCCACCTCCTGCAACTCTGGGACCACTGACCGCTGACCAAGGCCCACAAGCATTTAGTTCCCTTTGCCACCCAAAGCTTGCTTGGTAACACACTCTCCTTCTGTGTAAACCTAGGACCCCCAGGAATGGATTGCAGAGGTGATCAATGAGCAGTGAAAGGCAATTTGATTTTACTAGACACCTGTGTGTGCAATTAGAAACACGAGAGGTCAGCAATGCTTTTTATATTCTCAGGAAGCCTGTGTGCCTTTCACCTTGCACTCACCCAAGAAGTGACCCTTGGGCCCCCAAGCCTTAAACATGGTAGCCAGCGTTTGACCCCAGCCCTTCTGCCAGTGTGAGTCGTGCCATCTCGAGGGCACCCACCTGTCCCCGTCCCTCAGGGCCTTCATCTGCCTCCCAATGATGCAGGCGAACAGCGGTCCAGTGCGGGCCCCCGGCAGCAGGTCCTCCATGAGGCCGCCCAGCCACACATCGATGTTGTCTGCGTGCCCGTACAGGGCCAGGAGCCTGTCCACTATGCTGCTGTTGGCGACAGCCCCGCGCAGCTCAGCCGGGGTCCGCAGCCGGGGCAGGTTGCACAGTACCCTCCATGCGTTGTACCCTGTGCGGGAGAAGGAGCCGGGCTGCAGGCTCTGCAAGCCCCGGGTCAGAGTCCTGCTCCTAGGCATGCACCACACTGTACCTGCTTGACCTCCCACAGCATGGCAGACTCAGCTCTCCTTCTGGGAGAGTTGGTTTCACAAGCTATGGGGTATGGGTGGGGGGACACCAGCTGGGCAAGGCTGGGGGCCGGGTGGGGTGGGGCGTTCGCTGCTGTGTTCAGTACTTCTGTGCTCTACAGCACCTTGGTGCAGGCTTCACTCTGGAGACTGTCTGTGCCAAAGTGGCCCTGGATACGCATGGGGGGCACAGTTCCCTCCCAAGCACACACCCACATAGGGACATGTGCATGGGACTGCACACATCCTTGGCTGGCCGATTGCCCAGTGCACTGAAGACCTGGGGTGCCCTCCCCTTCTGGGCCAAAGAGGCCCTGCTGCGGTCCAGTGCTTGGCCTCTCTTGCTGTCCTCCTCTGCCCCTGACCAGTGTCCTAGCTGCTGCCTCTGAGTCCTCTGCCATGGCTCAGGCTTAGCTGGGCTTCTGGCTATGCTCTGGGCAGCTCCTGGAGGTTCTCATACCTGCCCCGAACTGCTTCCCTCTCTGTGACCCTCTGCCCCATGCCCCCTCATCTCTCCAACTCCCTGTCCCTCTGTCCCCCCATCCCTCTGTCTCCCTGTCCCTCTGTGCCCCAGTCTCTCCCTCCTTCCCTCCCTAGGTCTCCTCTGCCCAGCTCTCCCCACTCCCTACACCCTGCTCCTTGCCCTAACTCCATCCTGCCCTCTGTAGGCCTCATGCTAAGACCCCGCCTCCACTTCATCCTGTGCCCCATATGCAGTGGGCACTCAGCAAGTGTGGCATAAATGTATCCTGAAAGTGCACTGAGGATGGCAGGCAGCTGAACTCTGCAGGAGCCCAGTGGATGAAGTCCCTGGAGAGGCTGGGGCTGCCTCCTCTGATGAAGGAAGCAAAGCCTCTGACTATGCACAGCTCAGAGGCTGGCGGTGGGTCTGCAGCCAGAGTTCACTTTCCACCTGTTTCGCAAAGGTCAGGCTTCTAGCCCAACCATCACGTGTGCCAACGAGACATCATCAAAGGGGCCACGTACCTGGCAGGCCGTGGTCCCGGCCCCGCTGCAGGTTGAGTGAGGCCAGGTCCAAGGAGCCGGGAGTGGACAGCACAAACAGCCTCTCAGTCAGCTCCTCGTGCATGAGCTGCTCAGATACCTGCAGCTTGGCCGGCGTAGCCAGAAGGCCCCTCAGGATGGGATCCACACCACCTGGACAGGGCCACACACAGCTGAGTCCCCACTGTGCATGGGAGAAACATCACAGTGACTTCTCAACAGTACTGCCCTTTGGTCTTAAAAAAAAAAAAAAAAAAAAAAAAAAAAAAAAAAAAACACCTTTGTGCAAATTCTCAAGTCACTGTTTGTGATTCCTTCTTTTCAGAGCCCCTCGGGATGCTGCCCTGGCAGTGGATTAGCCACCTAGCAGGTGCTGACCATGCTGGGTACTGGGGACAACCTTTCAGGGTCACAGGGACCCTAGAAGCGGCCCTTATCTTGCTTTCTTTCCTTGGTTCTCAGCAGGAGAGACTTTCTGATCTTTTGCTGGATGCCACTGTGGGAAACAATGAGGAGCAATGATGTGTGGTGGCCTGGGAGCTGTCAAGGATCCAGGGACCCCAGTCGCCACCTGGGAAGATCTGAGGTACTCCTCACAGAAGCCCCTGACAGGAAGTGACCAGTTTTGAACACTTCAGACAGGCAGGAAGAACATGGGGAAAGGCACAAAAAGAAAAGATGACAATAACCCTCCAGAATTAAACCAGGAAATTAAAATGTCTTCTGCTTTCAAGAGTGCCTGGGTCAAATGGGGTGACTCTTGGCTGGGGAGCAGTGCAGTGCTTGGTGGTCATGCAAGACTGGCATCAGGGGTCATGCACTGTGATAAGAGGAGCTTCCTCTTACTCCAGTGTCAGCCACCCCAGAGGAGAGGCCCCTGCACCTGAGACGACTTATCCAGAATTCCAAAGAACTCCAGAAATACAGGCAGGGATGTCTCTGATGCACAGTTCACCTCTTAAGCAGTCTGGAACACGTTTTACCCCCAGGGACACTAATAACCCAGACAGCATCAGCCAAAAGAGCCTCAGAAACCCTGTGCTGGCGCCAGGGTGACCACGCCAGCTGCAGGACCAGGGACAGGTCACATCATGGCCAGCACAGAGGTCAGATCCCACCTTCCTGGATGAGCCTCCAGGGGTTGAAGAAGGCGTCCCCCAGCAGCAGCGGGGGGAGGTCCGGGTGGTCCTTGAAGGTGGCGTCCAGCCGCCTCGCCAGTGGGTGGATGGTGGCGTGGCCAAAACGGAAGGCAGCCGTGGAGAAGACATTGGACACCGTGGGGTTCACAGTGGGGTTATAGCCTTCATAGGGGCCCACATACTGCCGGAAGGCGTTGGGACCCAGGATCCTGGGCACGTAATCCCTCAGGGTGATGATCTATAGACAGGGAAGGGGTAAATACCCAAGGCAGAAGAGGCTTACAGTGAGAGCCAGGGAAGTGCCCCGCCCCGTGACGGCCCTGCGCTTCAGGTCACCCAGATGAGGAGCACTGCAGGGGGACACTGCCAGGTAGGGACAGGGACCCAGAAGTGCTGGTTGGGGGGGGGGCTCCGTAAGGTGAGGACGTGGAGCCACAGGTGCCCACCACGACCCCCCCCCCCATTCTTGAGGGGCCAGTGGCAACCTTGTGGGGACCCACTCAGTGCGCAGGGTGACCCCGCGGGGATCCATCCGGGCGCCTGGTCTCAACCATGCGCACCTGGTGCAGGGCGCCCACCACCTTGCGCGCCTCCTGGTATACGGTGTCGGCGCTCCAGTGCGGGTTCAGGGCCTTGAGCTTCGCAGCCAGGCGGTTGTGCTCGCGCAGCCACAGCGTGTGCAGGGCAGCGAGCGCCGGGACCTCGCTGGCACGGCCGTCCCCGGCCAGGAAGCAAGGCGAGCGGGTGGGGCCGGGGGTGCCAGGCGCTGGGGCGCAGGCGGCGGGCGCGCGGGGCGGCGTGAAGGGCAGGAGAGCGCGACCGTCATCGTGGTGGCGCGCGTTGACCCGGAGTCGCCCTGCCGCGTCCGCCCAGTCGCGCAGGTCCCGCTCCGCGGCAGGGGAGCTGCCGTAGACCGTGGACGCGTCCAGGAAGGAGGTGAGTGCGTTCACCTGCTGCCGCGCCGCTGCAGCGGACAGGTTGCCCGGGAATGCATCGCGCAGTCCCAGGCCACAGGCGGCGGCAGAGCGGGAGAAGGGCAGGCACCGGGGCCCGGGTGGGACGTCGGCGGGAAGCTGCGGAAAAAGAGGGGGACCCTATCAGCTGGCTCGGCCGCCCAGACAGCGCAGCCAGGGACGGGAGCCCTGGCTCAGATCCCGTTGCGTCTCCGGGCCTGCCCAGCCACGCCGAAGCCCATTTCTCTGCTTTGCAGTCTGGCGGACCTTCAGTTAGGGACGACATGTGTGATAGATGACAATCATGGATAACCTATCAAAATTTCTTATTTTATGCAAAATGGCACCAAAACCAAAAGGCAAGCAATGCTGTGTAACTAAGGACCGAGCTCTAGTACCCGCAGAGCATATTCCCACTCCATGTGCAGCCATGTGACAATGACAATGCAGGCTGCTCTAGCCACGCATTTGGAGCAGAGCTGGCAGCGGTGATGAGGTCATGGAATCACCTTCAGACTCCTCCTCCCAGCTAAGTGGTGTGTGGCTGACTGAATACAAAAACAGAACAACTTAAAAGTAGGCTGAAGAAGACAGGAAGGCTTACTTCCATTCAGTGATCACATGAAACACAAAACCCATGTGGCCCATCAGGTCAGCAGGTATTGAGTTAATGTTAAGGGCTGCTGGGCAGTGATCAGTGACAGCACCTTTAGATCCTACTGCTGCAGGCGCCATGGGGTGTCTGTCAGGAGACACCCCCCCCCCCAAGCCTGCTGAGGGCCGTGACCAAGGCAGAGCTGGAACAGCGCATGTGCAGACACCTGGTGTGGCCTGAACATCTGCTTTCCTGTGTATCTAGATTCACTGAGGCAGGCACTTCCTGCTGCGGTGGCTCAAACATCCCCATCCTGCAGAGCCAGAATTAGGTGAGGATAAGGGCGATTCCTCAGGCCCAGATGTCACAGCACCAGCCAGATGTTGGATGTCTCATGCAGCCACTGGGCATTTACCTTGGGAATAAAGTGCAAACCCAGATCCTGGCAAGCGTGAGGGTCCTTTTCTGGTTTTCACTGCGACTCAGAAGTTGGGATCTGCCTTAGACTCACTAAGTACTTCCCATCCTGTCCTTACAGCACAGAGATCCAGCTGGATCCCTGCAGGGGGCAATGGGAGAGTATCCTGCACACTTTCTAGTCCGGGAGACACTTTACCATTTGTGTATCAGTTTACAACATCACTGATGTTGCACTGACGTCTGAGAGTACCAGAGTCAGACTGCATTCGATGATACTGATTTAAATTTTTCTAAGACCTTGATGGTATGCACATCCGTGATGCACCCTTGCTCTAAGGTTAGGCAGGAAACATCACGCTCTTCCCACGGGGTACAGACCAAGGGCCACACAACAAGTGTGCTCCAGCCTGGAGGACAAAGTCTCTAGGTGAGACTTCTTACTTCATCGTGATTTTTCAAATGGTCCTGGTTCGTCTCCGAGGAAGAATCCAGGTGTTGGGCGCTACCTGTATGGGGAAGCAGGGATTCTGGTTCTCGCAGGTCTGCTGGCAGGAGGCGCTGGTGCTCTGCGGGGTGAGTGCTATGTCGTGGTCGATGTACTGTCCCCACGCTGTTAGGAGATCAGAATACTGATCGTCTTCGGTCACCACCTCGTTTGGAACTCGAATGATCTGCTTCGTTACTTCCCGCACCTGATGGGCAGAGCCCAGTTCATCAGACCCAGGAAGGCCCTGTAGCTTCCAGGAGAGGCACTGCGACCTCTTCCATGGGATTCCTGTCTAGGGTAATGGCAGCCCTGTTTCTGGTGGTGTGGGAGGGAGAGCCGAGCTGCTGAGCAGACAGACCTGAATGGGGCACCTGCCAAGAGGGGTGTAGGAATCACAGTGCCAGGACACTCAGCACTCGGGGCCCAGCACAGGACATGCAGGAGAGTCCATCCTACTTTCGGGAGGGCCCCAAGGGTGGCAAAATGGAGGGTGAGTGACAGGTCTCCGTATCCACTATATCCACTGATCCTCCTCAGCTTCTGGGGACACCTGTCCTCTCACTCAGCAGCACTCTGGAAAAGCCCTCTCTGCCAGGCCCGTCTCCATGGGACCACATGGTGATGGCCTGGGCAGCCCTGACACCGAAGTGTTCTCTGGGCCCAGTGCCTGGGGTCAGGTATCTGAAGGCTCCAGAATGGAATGGGACACAAGAGCAAATGGGCTGTATGCAGTGGTACATGCCTGTGACCTCTGCATCCTGGGAGGCTGAGGCAGGACAGCTACAAGTTTGAGTCTACCCTGGGCAACTTAGTGACTTAGTGAGATCTTGCCTCAAGAATAAATAAATAAATAGATAGATAGATCTGGGGGTGTAGTTCAGTGGGAAGGTCCTGGGTTCCAATGTCAGCATGGGGGGAAGAGGTTAACAGGCCAGGTCGGCCATTGGCACGGGTGGTCAGACCAGGGGTGACACGGGCCATGTTTGATCACAGGTACAAGCCTGTTTCACAGGCAAAGGTGCCCCCAGGAAGAATGTGTCTCCCTTGCTTTTTACCCAGGGAGGGAATGGATCAGTGACTGGTGAATCACCTGGTCTTCCACCTGATGAGGAAACAAATTCATATAAAACCAGTGAGGTGCACAGCCAAAGGAAAGATGGGAGAGGGAAGAAAACCCAGCTGCCAGCTTCTCTCTGCCCAGCTGCCTGACCTCCTTGGGTCCCTAAGGTCACAGTGACATGATTGTAGTTCAGGACCAAGGAATAGGAGCCCTGAGAAGCACAGGCTGGGGTGACGGGGTGTGGGGGAGGACGTGTCTGCACCATGGGGGAGCAGCCCAACCCCAGGGGAAATACCAACCGGGGGCAGCGGGAAGCCGTGGTACAGGAAATCGGGGTTCCAGCCCCGGGGCTGGCTGAAGCCATCTTCGTAGGCTGGGGGGAGCCATCGGGCCAGGGCAGAGTTGGAGGCGCCCCAGGTGGGGTGATCCCTGTGGGGAGGAAGGCAGGAGCATTAGACACTCAGGGAAGAGAGGACAGAGCCCCACAGCCCAGCATGCTGTGGTCCACACAGCTATTCCTGGGGAGGCCAGGCAGAGGTGTCTAGAATGGAGTGGTTTCCAGTGCCTGAGTCCACCACCCCTTCCTGAGCCAGATCACCTCATGACCTGCCCTCTGGAATCCTCCCCACTGTTGTTCATAGTAGCCTGCCTCGGCCTCCTTCATAAAGGCAGGCCCTTCATCCCTCCAGAACACCCTGGAAGTGGCACTTCCCAAGCTCAGATAGTGGCTGCTGCTTGCTGCAAGGAGTCTGTGGTCCTGTCCTCAGCAGTGGCTTTAATCCAGGCCCCATCTGTCCACCTGGGCACTGTGCCTTCTTCTACCTACACCCGATTCTCGAGAAAAATGTTTCTGCTAGAAGTAGGGCACTCGGGGACTTACCAGGAAGTTCTAAATTAAGAAGTCAGATGGTCATCAAGATAGTAGGCATTAACTTATAGGAATTAAGAATAAAGTCAGGCTGGCTGTGCCAGCACACATCTGCGAATTTGAGCCCAGCCTGGGCAGCTTAGTAAGATTCTGTCTTGAAAACAAAAAACAGCAAAAAAGGAGAACAGGCTGGGAATGTAGTTCAGTGTGAAGGCCCCGGGCTCAATCCAAGACTGGAGGGGAAAGAAGAGGAAAGACAGAGAAAGAGAAAATGAGAGAGGAGAGGGAGAAAAACTTAGGCCCTTTCTGAGAGTAAGTCTCATTTGTTTGATTTATTTTTGACTATGAGAAAGAACAGTCAACATTTTTTTTATAAAACACCAGTCTGAAGTTTTATTGTTCAAAATCTCTCTTGGCAAAAAATACATTTAAAATATATGCTAAGGAAAAGATGTTATTAATAATATTCCGATTTCTCAAACTACTGAGAATACTGGGAAACTACCTCTAAGTAGGAAGGAAGAGATCTAATGAAAAGTCATTTGCTCTGTGTGGGAGCACTTTCTGGAAACAGAAAGACATGTTAATGATTGGTTATAGTCCTTGTGAAAATCAGGTGCCTCCAGTTTCTAGATTTTTTAAATTGAAAAACCGATTTGAGTTCTTGTAGATAGTTCCACAAAAGCCATTTTACCAGTAACTCATCATATGTTAATTTCTTATGGATGGCAGAAGGCATCTTGAGAACAAAGTTCCTTTTCAAACTTCTGTTCCCAAATGCAAGTTCACACCACCAAGGCTCTGGGGTCCCTCAGTGCTCCGCCCTACCTGCCAGTAAAGATATTAGAGTATTCTGGCACAATAGAGAAGCAAAAAGTACAAAATGAAAAGAACTCAATAAACTCAGGTTTATTGAGTTGAGGACATGGAAAGGAACAAATATGGCAGTTGGGTTTTCTCCTTCAACCAAATCAGAGAAGCAGAGGGTTATATGACCTCTGATCAGAAGTGGTGCATGGGGTGGATAGTGATGATGTGGGAGGAACTGATTGGAATCTGTGTGTGCAAATAGGAAGGACAGTTGCAATAGGACTGAAGAAGAAGCAGGAAGTGGTAAGCATTTCCGCTTTGGCCTCCCACCATATTAGACTACTGCCATAATTGGACAGTAATTTATACTAGTGCAGGAACCTTTCAAAGAGGGGTTCCACGCAGGCCAGACCCCAGCAGTGAGGGCGGGACCACTTGCAGTCGTCAGTACTCCTTGTGGGGATACTGGGTGCAGACACCAACAATAGGTCATGCCATCGCCTGACACAGGACTGACCCCCTGCCCTCCTGCTCCTCAGTGAGTGAATTCCAACAGAAGTTCTCTCCATGCTCTTAATGGCTGACATGTCAGTGTTAATTTTGGTGATTTCATTAACTGAGTCCTAAGGAAGAGTGTAAAGAACAGTTCAGTCTTGAAGAAAATAAACATGCAGATCCTTATGCTTACTGCAAACTGTTAAACTACGAAATTGTGATTTATAAAATATAAATATGCAAAATATACATATAAGTTGATATAAATGTATAAAAGAAAGATGAATATAGAAAATATAAACATACTGGCAGAGCATATGTATGCCTTTCAAGAATAAAACGTTGTTATATTTGGAAGAAAAATTATAGACGAGTTACAGTACAAGCCTAAAAGATCAAAAAGAAAATAAGCGAGAATTTTCTGGTAGTAAAAAAAAAAAAAAAGGATTGTTTTGGGTGTGAAGCAGTGATAGTATCCGCTTTCCGAAGGTACCTGCCACACCCACACTGAAATAAGAGCATCGCGCCTGTCCCGTGGAGCCGGTGTGGTGACAGCCGGGTGGGAGCACTGCGGAGCTTTGCGGCAGAAGCATTTGGATTGGAAAAGTCGGGGACCTAGACGTTTACAATTTCCTGGCTGTGTCTGGTGAGTAGACACTTACAAAACATGAAAAATGAAGAGGAGCTAACAATGATTTTTAAACCTTTTAAGAGTATTTGGAAATAGAAATATTAAAAAGCCGGTAGTTTTATTACTAAATTATTGTCATCCTTACAGATACAGCCTTTCACTTCTGTACCTGGATTTTCCACACGGGAGGGAGAGACACGATATGCTACAGAGACCACAGGCAACATGGGCAACCAAGGGTTGGCGTGGCCTCCCAGGCCAAGTACTGCAGCATCCTTTCGCTGCAAATCTCACAACTGCGCGGAGAGGGGGTGGAGGGGTGGGGGGGGTGGTCAGCAGACAAGAGGCATCCATTGCTCTCAAGGTGCAGCTGTAACTGTGAAGCTTTCCAAAACGAGGGACAGTGAGCGGAGACGCCTGAAGGATTCATAGGCACTGACTGCCTGCAAGAAAAATGCTATTTACAGGACAGCAGCACACTGGCCAGTAGTCCAGGCTTGAGGCTATGATTGGTTCACATACACATCTGCTGATTGGCCCATATTTATATCTGCTAATTGGTCCAAGTTGAAACTTATTGATTGGTCCAAACTCAAGCTCCTGATTGGCCCAAATTCAAGGCTGCTGATTGATCCAAACTCAGTGTAATATAATGCCCTGCTAGAGGAGTAGAGACCATAGGACTTGTGTTAAGGCAAAGTGGCATGGAATTTATTGTGCCTGGATGAAGGCAGACAAAAGGAGAAAAGATCATCTATGGGAAACAAAGGGAAATGTCTCCCTTTTCTAGGGATTGAAAAAAAGCAAGGGCCTTTAGATGGGAAGATTTTAGTAAACATCTGTGTTCAAATATCTCACTGGTGGTGTTGCACCTCAGTGGACAAAGTCCTTGAAGTGGCTGGTGTAACTTTTCGGGTGGCTCCAGATTTCCCCACACCTGGAAGTTTCCTTGTCCTATCTTACCCTATGTATACGGATGGCAGCCTCCATACTGAGCCGAGCTCCTTGCTGCACGCAGCATCTCGCTGGCAGAAGGTTAGAGGCTGGTAGAGTCAGGTCCTACTCCTGCCTTACACTCAGGTCTCCTGATTGGTCAAAATTCAAGCCTGCTGATTCAAGCCTATTGATTGGTCCAAACTCACTTCGGTTGCTTCCCTTAAATTCCAGTCAGCCACAGGCAAGGCCCACAGCTGCTAGAGTGGCATTTGGGCAGCTGCTGCTGTCAGGGAGACAGCTCAGGAGGACAGAAGGTAGAGGGCCACTCGACATCTGCCCCATCTCTATGGAAATTGCAGAGCTAAGATCAGGACTGTTGTCATTTGTGGCATCCTGCTTTGAGAGCTGACTATGAATCACAGCTAACTGGGGCTTGGGGACCTGAGGGATAGTCACTGTGGGCCCTGAACTCCTTCCTGGTCTTTGTGCCATTCGGGGTGTCTTCCCTAGGCTTCTTCAGAACCTAGGATACAGGGGGCGTCAGCAGGAGTGTGGCAGGGAGGACGTGGGCTCCACAGAGATGACAGAGCGAGCAGTGAAACACAGGGACTGCTGTCCCTGTCCACACCCCACCTGCTGGGTTCATTCAGGAGCGCTGCCACCTCATACAAGGCCTTGCTGTGGGAACGCTGCCCCTTGGGGCTCCGGGGACACCCGCAGTTTCATTCAGCAGAGCCCTGCTACCCTCCTCCGGGGTATTAAGGATAAACACTGAGCTGCCTGATGTTTAATATCTAGAGTAAAATTTTTAAAAATCAAAGCATAGTTGAACAGACAAACATGTCAGTTTTATGACTCAATTCGTGTGGAAGGGGAAAGTAAGAAGAAAAGAGGCTGCACGGAGCCCCGAAAAGGTGAAGACGAGGGCAGGGCGCAGACTAGGACGGGCATAATGCTCTTTGGAAGATTTCAGCATGTATATTTCTATCCCACCTGCTATCCAAGAAACCACCTCCGACAGTGAGGCTGCAGCTTTTCCTAAGATGGCTTGGAAACGTCCCATCTCCTCGGGGTCACCTGCTGGGGTGACCTCCGGCTCAGGGCTTCCGCCAGATCCTGGCTTCTCTGGGAGCCCAGAAGCGGCCTTTGCTATAGCAACGGAGCATCGCCGCCATCCGATCCTCTTCCTCCCACCAAGGCAGCTAAGGCATTCAGAATAGACCAGAGCCACTTTCGCTCCTCGCTGCAGCTCCCTTGCAAGCCACGCGGGGCGCTGTCACAGAGCCACGGCTGCTCCACGCATGGCTGCTCAATATGCCCTCAGGTGCTGCCCAGGTGACCTCGGAACCCCTCTGCAAGACTCAGGGTGGGGGCAGGGCATGGTAATAGAGATAGGGGACCTTTACAGTGAACTGTGTCCCCAGCCCTTTTTAACTTTTTTTTTTTTTTTTTTTTTGGTCTTTTTAGGACAGGGTCACTATTGCTATGCAATCCAGGCTGGCCTTGGGCTCCCTTTGTATCCCAGGCTGATCTTGAACTTGCAATGATCCTCCTGCCACAGCCTCCAGAGTGCTGTGGGATTACAGGATTACAGGAGTGCACCACTATGCCTGGTTCCTTTATAAATTTTTGAGATAGGAGCTTGGTAAATTGCCAAATTCCCAACCCTGGGCTTGAATTTGGAATTCACCTGCCTCTGTGTTCCAGAGTGCTGGGATTACAAGCACAAGCACGCACCACCACATCCAGCTGTGATTTGCTACTGAAGTTCATCAGAAGCCTCTGTGCCCCCACCCGCGCCTCTCCTTCACCCCGAATTTGGGCAATGGTCCCCATCTTTTTTTTAGATAGTGTACTAGAGTACATGCCATCTTCCCTAGGCCCAGATCGGGGGGATTGCCATGGTGGGGTGGCAGGCAACCCTCCTTGGTGGTCCAGGCTCCAGGTTGCAGGAGAGGAGCCTCTGCAAACCATACCTGTTGTTGCAGGCGCCCGTGATGAGTCTGTACTTGTTCGCCAGGCAAGTGTTGGGACATTTTGGTGGCAGCATGTAAGGTAGGCAGCCAGACAGATTTGCAATCATGTTCAGCAGATCTTCTGATAAAATGTCTAAGAACAAAGAACAATGCTTCAGCGCTCTGCTCGAAATGGCGACAGTGAACCCTGCAGACACCCAGCTTCCCACTGCTGTCCCAGAAGCAGCCTTGCCACAGAGCTGGGGATCCCGAGGAATCTGAGTCAGTCTTTGGAGAAAATCTGCATTCCATTTTGAAATCTAGCACTCCCTCGTTTAATTCTCTTGAGCTTCTTTCTTGTTAGGGATGTAAAATGTTGTTTTGTCTTTTATTTTGTGATGTTTCAGATACTGGTCTGGGGTCCCCGAGCCCCAGTTGCAGGGTCACCTGCACCCTGTCCTGTCCAGCGGTACCCAGCTATCAGAGGACAGTGCACACGTGGCCTTCACCCCCCCCCATTAAAACTAAATCTAGACTTGGTCAGGTTTGCTAATAATTTACAGCTGTTCCTCTATAAACCCCAGATATTTTCCTTTTATTGATCTTGGAGTCTTTCTCTCCCTAAATTAGAGCCCAAGAAAGCAGTCTCTTTCATTTTTATTTTTTTGCCAATTCTGTCACTATTTATGTCATTCAACAAATCAAAGTAAGGGCTGTTTTGTTGTCCGTGAGTAGAAGCAATCACTGCTTCTCTTCTCAAGATGGTTTAAATAAATCTTTGGGAATAATACCATAAAACACTGATTAATCATTAATCAGATGCCAATGAAATTGAGGCATTCACTAAGAAAAAGCCAAGAAGGAATGCATTCTGCTTTCAAACAGAAGAGAATCAAGCAAGCTCTTCATAAGAAAGGCAACTAAGGTATATTAATGAGAACGATTAAACGAGACTCCAAACCATTTGCATTCAGTTCGGGGGGTGGAGTGGAGGTGGCTATGCCTGTCTCACAGCTGTAGCCCAGTGAAACAAATTCTCTAAAGCAGACAGGGGATCGAACCCACATAAACAACAAAACCCACCTCGGCAGAGCCAGGAGGCAGCAGTTATTACTGTGATTGAAGTGATTGAAAGGAACCTCTGGGGTCCTTTTACCTTTTTACATTACAAATGTTCTAGGTTGACTGTGCTTTCAAGAGAATAATTTTCAAACATGCTATAGGATGGGGCTCTTGAATTCTGCATCATGGCCTGGACCAGACACATCAGCCTATTTCCCCTAAATGTCTATACCCTGACTTGGGAAAATGGCCTGGAGATGCTAAAGTCCAAGCCAGGAGACCCAAGTCTCAGGCATTAGAGCATACCATACCCTTTGTCATTTTTTTCCCTCTCGTGGCCCTAGCCAATCCCACAACAAGACAGGACACCGATGTCCTTACCAAGATTTTCCAACCATGATTTGAAATGAGACTAGTTTCAGGTTGAGTTTGGTAGTATGTTTTGTTTTGTTTTGTTTTGTTTTGTCTTTTTCCTTTTCATCGGTACCGGGGATCGAATTCACGACTGCCTGCTTACAAGGCAGGCGCTTATGCCGCTGAGCTAAATTCCCAGCCCCATGAGTTTGGTAGTATGTTTATCATCCAGCACTCTTGGAGGCTGAAGCAGGAAGATTGAAAGTGTGAGCCCAGCCTGGGCAACTTAGCAAGACCTTGTCTCAAAATAGAAAATAAAAAATAAAACAAGGGCAGGGGCTGTAGCTCAGTGCAAATGCCCTGGGTTGGGTCCCCAGCGCCACCCCCCCACACACACATCCTATTCCTATATAATCATTTAAACTTCACTGTTGAATTTAGAGCTGAGAATTCTGGCTGACCCTGGTACAGTCGAATAGTTTGTTCATGACTCAGACCTAGATGAAGAAATCCTACATCTTGCACCCACCCTGTGAGGGTACAAATATGTCTCTGAGGGCATCTGTTGTCTTCCGGTTTCTCTGCACTGAATCTGCAGACCCTGACCTAGGAAACCCACTCCTCCTCATGGGGCCTGAAGCAGCCATCCACTCAGGTGGCCAGGACCCCATCTTTCTTTGTTGGCTGGCAACAGCCTTGGATCACCAAATCTGCCCCCACCTCCCCACCCCACCCCCAGTACCCCACCACCACCATCACCTGGGAAGGTGGGGCTGGGCTCGGTGGTGCCCTTTCCTGGCTAGAATGCTCCCTCCAGGGAAACATGTTTCCTTTCAACGTCATACCCCAAGCCCACGAGCTCCTAGTGGGTGGGGAGCTGACGGGAAGATGCCCCAGTCATTTCACACAAGAGAACACATCTGCTTCTCCCTGTCTACCCAGACAGCAGAGAATAAGAATTTGCCAGAGCAGCGGGAACCAGAAACTGGCACTGTTCTCAAGTATCTTGAAGAAGAGTTGCTTGTGTCCTAACCCATCCTGCTTGTTTTGGCCTAGAAACACCCCCAAATGCCAACGGCCCCCTCCCAGATCAAGTGCACCCTCCCTGAGCTTCGGGGTACTGTGCTCACCCAGAGGAAGCTGCTGCCCCGTCAGCCCCAGCGCCTGCATGGAGGCTTCCGTGATTTCTGCAGCCCGGGAAATTGCTCTGCTCGATGGTTCAGGGAACTTGGAAAAAGCCAGCAGCTGAGATGAAGTGACATCCCTCTTTCTGAGGTTCCTAGGCGTACGAAGAAGATAGAAAGGAATACACACACCGACGTGGCCACCTGGCTCTTAGTTATCAGTTAACTGGGCATCGGGTAATAACAGTGATGAAAGCCTTATGACTTCTCCCCACAGGGTTCTGGAGTCAGTGGAGGAATGGGACACAGATGTTAGATGATGTAGGGACATGGGCAAAGGCCAGGCCCAGCGGGATGGGGGACTCCAGACACCTGTCTCTCAATGGCTGCCAGAGCTGCAGCACTGTAGGGGGGGTCTCAGTGCACCCCAAGAAATGCCTGGGGTACCCTAAAAACAAGGCTGGCCATGGTCAGAGCAGGCAAGGTTGGAGTCAGTGGAGGGTGCTCTATTGAGAAGCCCTCCCTAAGTGACTCTGTACTATCCCGCCAGCCTCTCAGGGATGGGGTGAGACTCAGTGACAGAATTCAGTATCGCAAGAGCAAGGCAGGGCCATGACTCCATCACAGCTGACACCCAGGAGGGGCCTCAGAGCCCCTGTCCCTTGCTCTGCACTAAGTCTTAGGCAGGAGGGTTGTGCTTTTGGCTTTTGATCAGAAGTTCAGTCTCTTTGAACCATAAAGTCTGGAATTACACAGGTCGGATCAAAGTGGCTTCACTGTTTTGCTAAAATGAGCACTGAGATTCATTTCATGTTTTTTTGACACAGGAAAGTAACTTCATCCCCAAGAGCCAGGCTCTCCGATGGGGCTGCAAGCAGCTGAGGAGGTGATAGTGAAGAGTGGGGGGGGGCGGTAACGACGTGGACCATGGATGACCAAGGACTCTGTTTCCCCTTCCCTCAGCCAGGTTACCTCTGCAGGGAGGCGTAGATGGCCTCGTCCACCGAGCGTACAGCAGCCTCCAGCATGCTACGAACCTGAGAGTCTCTGGTATCTCCTGCAGAATGGAGCAGCGTGCAGTAAGAGGCCTTAGTCGTGCCTGTAGCTCTGTCATCTCCCTCCAGTCCAGCAAGGGTAGGGGCAACTCTGGGGACCAGGGGGCCCCTGCACCCCGTGGACATGGTCCCTAAGATGAAGCGAGCCTGGAACAGGCAGGGATGTGTCTTCACTGTTTCTCAGTTGCTTGAACTGCTTCTTGTGACCCTGAATAGCATTCTGAATATTCCCGTTCATACCCGCGTCTGCCTGTTTGTTTGTGCCCTTCATGGAAGATGAACTCTTTGAATACACCTGCAGTGTCTGAGATCAAGGTTGTCAGATTTTATTTTGTCAGTACTTAGACTGCTAGGCAGGTCAGGACCCCACCTGTGGGTCCAGACAAATGTTAGGAAGGTGATGGGGACCCCTGGAGATGAACCCTGCTTCTGTCACTAGGCCAGCTTTTCTGTATCCAGGACTTCACTGAAAGAAATGCATTTATTCCTACAAGGACATAGACTATGAGAATGGTACAAGCATTGAATATCTACATTGAAATAAAAACTATTCTATAAAAGGTAAATCTCACCCTAGAAGGTGGTACAGACCTGCAAGCCCAGCACTCTGGGAGGCTGAGGCAGGAGGATGGCAAGTTTGATCAAAGCCTGGGCAACTTAGCAACTCTGTAAGATCTTGTGTCAAAATAAAAATGAAACAGGCTGAGGATGTAGATTAGTGCAAAGATCCTGTGTTCAATCTCCAGTACAAAAAGAAAGGAAGGGAGAGAGGGAGGAAGAAGGATGGAGGAAGGAGGGAGAAAGGGCCAATCTCAACATTTCTGGAATGAAACATCGCGATACACTGATATTCCAGGGAACATGCCAAGTCCACGCAACAGCCCTGCCAGGCTACGTGATGATGCAGCAGCCACTTCCTAAACACTTTCTGATAACGGGGGCCCAAGAAGAGACAGCGTGGCCAGAGGCTGTAACACATAGGACCCTAAGTTCCAAGGCTGAGCGATGATGCAGGGCCCACTGCGGGGGAACACTGCCAAGGGTGGGGAGCTCTCTGACCTTCTTCCGGCAGGGAGGCCTGGGTTCCAATCCCATCTGGGAGACCCAGCAACCCCAGCCCTGCCGTGTGCCTCCAAGTCATCATCTAGGAAGTGAGTACGGTTTCAGGTCCAGGCAGTGCCCTCAGCCTCCAGCGCCCTCTCCCAATCTCCTCTGCATGTCCCCTGTCCCATCCCCTCCCACTTGTCCATCTTCACCTTGAACTTCTCTTCCGAGCCCTGCCCTGACCCTCCACCTGGCCCGCGCTCCTCCCGTGAATGTTCAACTGAGTCAAGTGGCACCAAAAAGCTTGCGTGGCCTCTGCCCATTCCTCCCCTTTCATGGGAAAGGCTCTTCGGCTCCCACGTCCACCCCCCGAGTCTCGTGGTGGAGTTGGGGCCGAGATGTCTTCCCCAACAGACCTGTGAGTCCTGGGTCCATCACAGCACCCTCAGGTCCCTGCTTTCCACAGGGCGACAGCAGCTCCTTAAGACAGAGTTCAGGCCCCTGCCACCTGGTCACACCTCTTTCCAGGTTTCAGGGCACCAGCAGTGATGCCCAGTGTCACCCTCAGCAGGTGACAGTGCCAGCACCAAATCTCCAGGTCAGTCAGGTGTCGCACAGGATTTGCTGTGGGCCATTGTTCATGTATCTTGCTTAAGCTTCATCGATCTCATATCATTTATTCCCTTCGTTCTTTTATTATCAAACATTTCACGGAATTTCTTTTTTCTTTCTTTCTTTCTTTTTCTTTCTTTTTGGTACCGGGGATCAAACTCACAACCTCATGCTTGCCACACTGGCACTGTGCTGCTGAGCTAAATTCCTGGCCATCACTGAATCTTTAAAGAAAAGCTTTAGATTATTATTGGCCTCAGACCTGACCCACCTCTTCGCTACACCTTCAGCTCAGACCCCACATGTGCCTGGGGGCACAACTTCACCTGCCACCGCTGTGTGATACCCTTCTATTCAGCCTGTCCCCTCCAGTTTATTTTCCAGAACTGAACATGGAACCCAAGGGAGGTTGACTCAGTTCCTAGATCAGGGGCTGTCGCCCCCACTCCTGCCTCTCCCTGAGCGACTGCACCGTAGGAGGTTGATTCTGCTCCTTTAGGGAGCAGTGAGCCTCCAAGTTCCCCCAAGTTCATCTGTGGCACATGAATGAGAAGGGATCCAGGACGCTATTATACGAGAAGGCACTACATTTCGGATGAAGAAGGAAGTTGCTTAACTCTACCAGTGTTTATATACATGAATCAAAACTGAAAAAGAAGCCCAGATCTTCCCCAAGCCACATGCCTCGCCGGGCTCCTGGGCTTTACCCTTGGCTGACTCTGAGCAAATCTGAGGTGCTTGGAGCCAAATGTAGGGCCAGGTTTTGAATGTCTGTTTACTGAGATCCAGTGAACTGGAAGGATGCCTGCCAGCCTTCCTTTCTAAACAGATCCCCCTGGCCTGGGCGTGCCTCCTGCACCCTGCTCCCATTGTTCTGTGCATCTCCTTTTCTGCTCAGGGCAGCAGCCTGCTGGAGCATTTGCCATGAGCTTCTGCACCTGGCTCTGGATTCTGCACGAATGCTAGAAACGTGTCTTAGGCCAATCTGATACAGAAGGACACAGCGCTCCCAGTCCCTGCTGTGACAGAGTCCTCCAGAAGGGACTCATCTCGCATCTCTCTAGAGATACAGTGGCCCATGTGTAGGATTTCTGGGTAACAGGAAATGCTTATTTTCATTTTTAATTCTTTTTATTGTGGAATTTTCAGATGCTGAGTATTTTCTCTCTTTGTGCTTGGACTCTGGTGGCAGGGTCGTCCACATAGTGGGGAGAGGGTGCCCAGACCCTGTGGCACAGGAGCCGTGAACCCCGATACACAGAAACACCAGGCAGCGTGTTTGCTGCATGCACCTACGTTTAGTTGTGATGCAATGCAGCTGATGAAAATTATGCTTCTCAGGAAGTTTATAATACTACTTATGCGGTCCCAAATGAGCTAATGATTTATTGTCAGTTGGTTAAAATAATTATATAAACAAAACTTCTTATACTAAAAAAAAAATGTTAAATGAAAACACAGCAGAATCTTTGCTGCACATGAGAAACTACAAAGTAAACAAGCACTGACATGGCCTCATAATATCCCAATGAAAGGGAAATCTGTCCCACATGGTAGGGTTATAAACAGGGCCACCAAGTGCTTGGCACAGCAGGAGTCACAGGCTGGGCGTGGAGGATGGCCAGGGCTGAGCCCAGCAGCCCCTACCCAACAGGAGCCTGGGCCTGGGGTCAGGACAAAGGGGACAAGCTGAGCGCAGTCCTGCAGGGGGCCAGCACCCCACCAGTGCTCAGCCTGAGGAAAGCTCACTTGCAAGGTTTGTGACTTTTCTTTTTTAAACAAAGCGTAATTATTTTAACCAATGGATTTCAGTAGGTAGCTTTCCCAGGCTAATCTCACATTATTAGCACACTGATTCCAAATATACACTGAGGATGTTAATGAATGAAAAACGGAGAAGGAACAAAGCAGAAAAACACAAAGAAAAAATATTCACATATATGAATGCGTGAAGATGAGATTATTGAGCCAGGTGTGGTGGTAGCACTCAGGAAGCTGAGGCAGGAGTTTTATCACAAGTTCAAAGCCAGCCTAGGCTACAAAGGGAGATCCTGTCTCAACATGTGGATCAAACCAAGCAGAACAGAAGCAAAACAGGTAATAAAAGATCCTCAGAGACTTTCAGGAGTTACCATTACATCTTCCCTTTGCAAATGGGAAATGCAACTGTCCTCCCAAGGCCAGAGGATCGAATTCTGATTGCTACTCACCCCAGAGCAGTCCTTTGCCTCTCAAGACGAAAGGGAGGAGAACTCCAGTGCAGACCACGAGCAGCGTGACGGCCACAAATGCACCCGTCCTCATCCTGAGGCTGGATCAGGCAACACAGGGCACAAGCTCCCTATGGCTGCAAGAGGCCAGCTCAAAACCCGCCCCGCCACTGCCACTTGGGGGTGCCTGTGCTCGCCCTTTGTCAGGGGCACAATGGGGTGCTGGCTGGACAGACCTTGAGTGGGCACTGACTTGAAGCTGGACCTGCCCCGTTTGACAGCTCTGTTGCCAGCTATCTCAGTAACTACCTACTTTAACCCAAGATTGTGTCAAACAGGGTGACGTTATGAAGAATAGTTACTGGGAGTAAAGGAATCTGTTTCCCCTGATACATCCACAAGGGACAGGAACTCAGAGTAGGAATTTAGCGTTTATCACAGTGGTGAGTCTGATCCCCAGCCTCAAGTTTCTCACAGCCCTCCTGTCCTCAGGGATTGCAAGAACCCAGAGCCTCCACACAGAGACGTCGGGGCAGCTCCTCTGCCTGTTTTGCCCGGGTTTTCTGCAGCTGGCTTGGAGGTCCAGGCCTGGAGCTCAGGGCAGCACGACCAGTGCGAGGAGGGATGTCTTGGGAATGGATGCTCCTGGGCTGACCTAGCACAGTGCCTTGAGCCCCTCGGACTCCTGTGCCATTTCCTGATCAATTTCTCTAGGGAATGAAAGCCCAGAGCTTGGGAACCAGATCTCTTCTCCCTTTCGGCGTCAGAGACCCGCGGGCAGCCTGACTGCTGGCCATGGCCATATAAACTCACTCTCCACACCGATGCCCACGCCAGTTGTTGGGAAATGGGGTGGCCGCAGGATGCTCTTGCCTGTCACGGTCACACCAGGCTGCCCAGGGTCCCTGCCGGGCAGAAAGAAGAGGCCGATTCACCGAGGTCAGCAGGATCCCAGCTCCTGGTCCTCCTGCAGCCTCCGCTCCTCTCAGCGGGAAAAGAAGATGTGGATCCGGCAGTGCCCAGTGGGCTGGGTGCTGCCCTGTGCCCTGCGATGTCCCCGGTGACGCTGGGCCACTGCTGCCCCCGCGCCCTTCAGGTCCTTGGAGCGTGAGAAGTGCCGACGCCCCTCTCACACGGGGCCTCCGGAGCCTCAGCACAACTGTGACCGTGAAAGTGACCTGCCGTTTGACGTCAGGGGACTCACCAAGGGCCTCCTCGTCTGCTCTGCGGAGCGGGAAGGACGCCGCGTTCCTCTCCGGAGCTCTCCAGAGTTCCCTGTCACCGTCTCACCACAGGGTCACACTCCCCCAAGGGACCCAGAATGTCTCCAAGCCCAGCAACCATGAGAATAAACAGAATCCTAGACCTAGGTCTTCGTGCTCGTGGAACTCTAACGCTCCACTTTTGGATCTCCAACTGCGCGTGCGTGAGGTGCCCCTCCATGAACCCTGCGGTGCAGCCCCAAAAACAGGGATTTCAAACAGACACAGTCTTCTTGGCTTGGGAGGCATGTGGTAGCTGCTTAATTATTTTTACTCAACTTAAGTGACTCTAACGGGCAATAGAAATATCAGTGACTAACTATAGTGGAATATTGTGCTTTCTGATAAACTCAGTTTTCTTTTTTTCTTTTTTGTTTGTTGAGACAGGATCTTGTCATATAGTTCAGGCTAGCCTTAACTCAGCATCCTCCTGTCTCAGCCTCCAAAGTGCTGGGATGACAGGTGTGTGTCACTATGCCAGGCCTAGACTCGGTTCTCTATTGAGCGTTAAAACCTAATGCTTGGAGAAATATGAACAAGTACCCACCTGACTTTTCTGAAATCTACCATTCACTCACCAGGCTGCTTGACAACCTAACAATAAAGTATTTGGGGAGATTTATAGAAAGTAAATGTGACATTCTCAAGAGGAAATCCAAGAAGGCACTTCAGCCTTTGTTAGGAAAAGACACACAAAGGAATCTGACTGCCCTGTCGGCTGTGAACCAGATTAAAGGTGCGAGCTCACAAAAGGCTTTCAGGGACCTTCTCGTTGTGTGCGCTCCTTCTCCTCAGAGACAATGGCTCTTCCACTCAGCGGTCACGGCCCTGCTTTCCTGGATATGCCCTGAGCACAGATCGAAGCCCATGTGAGCGTCGCGCGCGATGAGCTTTGGGGTTTCGAAAGGCACTTTTAGCTGTCCTGATCATCTTTCTGGGGTTATCTGGGAAGCAGTGAAGGCAGAGCTCACTCTCATCAGCACAAAAGGAATGGAGCTGGGAGAGGGGTTGCTACCTGGAGGGAACACCCTACAGTCTTAATTATTACGAAGTTGTCCAGGTTGTGCTGGAACTTGGGATCCTCCTGCCTCAGCCTCCCAGGATGGTAGGAGAGCAGACATGCACCACCACAGCTAGCTACATGTCTACATTTTTATATGTTGTATGTGGAGCCTGGGTCTAGTATGAAAAGGGTGGACAGTGGGTGTCTTGTCACCTGTTTTATAAGAAATGGCTGTTGGTTAGGTGGGGTGGTACACACCTATAATTCCAGCACTAAGGGAGGAGAATTACAAGTTCAAATCCAGCCTGGGCAACTTAGTGATTATCAAGACCCTGTTTCCAAAAATGTGTGTGTGGGTTATCAGGTGATACAATGCACTGTCCCCAAATGAAAGACTATAAATGTTTGTTAACTTTAAAAATTTTGGACCTGGAGTTTAGCTCAGCAGCATAAGTGCCTACCTGGTAAGCATGAGGTTGTGAGTTCAACCCCTGGTATTCCCCCCAAAATTGTACATTCTTTAGAAAAAGAATTGCATCTCCCCCATATACATTACTATCAAATCTCCTTGGGAAGGTATTATTGTTATTGTTGTCCAGTAAAATTACTTTTAAAAAATTGAAGTTTTAAATAAAAGCAAAATGAAATTTCTTCTTTCCAGTGCATTTTGGTTTTGTGGCCCCAGGGAGCAAATGCAAACCTGCTCCTTTTGCTATGGGCATCATCTCTGGGCAGGAGGAACCAGAGGGCAGTAACACCTCACTTTACCTATTCTGTGGGGAATTCTGGGGAAATCCCAGGCCCTGTGGCTGCCAACACTCCTGTTAATAGGAGGCTTGAGTTAAAACAAGAGAACAAGCATCTGCCGCGGATGCCAATGGCGCAGGGACAATCACAACATGCTGATCCGAAGTCTCAGCTCCAGAGGGAGCCTTAAAATGTTGAGAGGAGTCAGGGCTGGTGATGCACATCTCTCCTTCCAGCACTCTGGGAGGCTGAGGCAAGAGCCCAGCCTAGGCAAGTCATCAACTTAGCAAGACCCTGTTTGAAAATAAAAAATACAAAGGGGTAGGCAGTAACTCAGTGTGAAGTCTTTGGGTTTAGTCTTCAGTCCTGGGTGGGGTCGAGGGAGATTCTTAGAAGGACTGATGTAAAATACATGCACAGATGGATAGAGGTATGGCTCGATAAGAGGACGAGCTTTCAAACATAAAAGAAATGATTATAAGCATGTGTCATACTAGAAATGCGTCCTTTCTCCCCCAGAACAGATAATGGATGTCCAGTAACAGTCACGATGATGGCTGAGATCTTCATGGGCAGCTGACCTGCCAACTGCACTCAGCTTCCGGTCAAGCCATCTGGGACATGGTACACTTCCAGGGCACGGCACACTTCAGGGGCACGACGTACTTCCTGAGCTTCCGTATTTTCTGCTCTTAGCGTCTCCATCATTTGCAGCCTCGAGAATGAGTCCCTCACCCTGGTTTTCCCCAACCATCATCTATCTCTGCTTTTACAAGGAAACTCAGGAATTCCAGTAAATTGCCCTGAACTACAAAAATGGAACGTGCCCCTTTCTACAGGTCATAAACAACATGAGGAACAAGGAGGCTAAAACACAAGCTGAATCTGATGAGTGTGGAAAGTATTTAAAGTTCACATTAGATGGGTCAGGTGCAAAGTGCTCTGCACTCCCATTAGCACGGCTTTGCCTACACGAGACCTGCACCCCGGATTCAACAAGTGAGACTCAGGATTGCAAACTAGCAATGTGTTTTATTGGTCTCACAACTCTGGGCTCGTTATAAAAATCACACAGAGGTGCAGAAAGGTTCATATCTTAAGAAAATAATTTTAATCTTCAGTGCTCAGCAGAAGCCACTCTAGCTGCTGTGCAAGTATCTTCCAGTGAGGCTGTGGCTGTCCAGAAACGCGGGGTCCAGGGAGGCCACTTTGGAGGCCATGAAGGCATGGACACAGTGCAGCACAGCAGGCAGGTCCTGGAACTCCAGCTCCTGCAGGAGAAGGGCAGATGCGTGTTACAGGTGTCAGAGGGGAATGTTGCAAAAAATAACAAGCTCTGGACTTGGGGAGCCCAAGAAAGATTTTCCAAGAAAGTGAAGACACATACGGAGGTGAGTGCAGTAAAGAGAGAGATAGGGTAGCAAGACAGGACAGTGACTGTCAGTGTGGACACCCTGGGTATTTTTACACTAATTTTGATTGTGGAAACTGCTTGTCTTCTCGAGCCCAGACTATGTCCTCAAGTGGCTGGGGCTGAAGCCAGACCTGTGCTGTGATCATGGTGTTTACAGCTCCTGCCAGTGCCGTGGTGGCACAGTGGCATGGCTGTCATCACCACAGATCTGTACTATCTGTGACCTTACAGGGCCACCATGTATTCACTCTGGCTGCAAACATGCTTCAGGCAGAAGATCATTTTTGGAAAGACTAACACAGCCCTGAGTGAGCCTAGAGTAAGGACCACAAAGAGGCAAAGACCTGGGTTCTCCTTGCTTGCATTTCCATGCCAATGTGGAAGACAGAAATGATGTTCAAGGAGAGGGTGATGCCCCCACCTAAGAAAGGCAGAAAGAAAACACAGTGAAACTCCTGGACTCTCACTTGCCCAGCTCAGGGATCCTGAATCATATTATTTAAGAGCAAAAATGACCCCAACTGGAATCATCCTTTCCCTACAAACTTCACACAGTAAGTCCCCGTGCTGAACTAACAAAGTGACAATGGGCTTTAAGGCCCAAACAGAGGCTATGCTGCTTCTAAAGGTCGGGTTGCTGCTGGGGGAAGCAGTTTTGCCTGCTTGTGGGTTACAAAGAGTTCCCATTCTGCCTCTCATCCTACCTGGCAGAAAGAGGGCATTTAACACATTCTCCTGATTAGTCACTCCTTCACCTCAGGATAACAAAGTTCTAGTGGGACCAGGAAAGATCCAGTTCCCTTTAACATGCCTGCTAGCAGGCTGACATCCTGTTTCTTGACTTTCAGCAAATGCTAACCTGCCAAGAGGACCCTGCAGGGATCCCTTCCTGCTGTGCTTGGAGCTTGCCCTTCCAGTCATGGATCCAGGCCTCCTTTTTCTTTTTCTGCCAACTTGCATTGCAGCTCTGCAGGTGAAGGCATTCTAATCTCGCTGGATACACCATCAGTTCCCCCATTTGACTGCCTCTGAGTGAGGACAGGGGAAATGTTCCAGGTCTTCAGGGGCACCAGTCCAAAAACGCATCCAGGTCAGCAGCGTCACCTGCCCTGTCATTTGTGAAATTCAGGAGCTGTCCACCCTGTGTCTGATACTAAAACAAGCTGGGCCCACGGATTTCCCCACATCCTGAGACCACACTGGAAACCTTGATTCATTGTGACTCTTTCTCCAAAGACAAAAAAACCAAATCACTTTCCAGAAGAAACACAGGATTCTTGCAAACTTGACACAAACCATAATCCAACTTCTGTATGTTTCCAAATAGTAACTGCTGGCCTTTGCAAGGGGGCCCTTGGGGAAAAGAAGCCATGACATCCCCTTGTGTATGCTTTGGTAGCTTTGTCTGATGTATGCAAACTGGAAATTGTGATACAAGTTTCCAAGACCTATCTAGTAGCTGCACAACACACTAAATCGAGAAGCTGATGGCCACTAGCATTGATGGACAAACCCAAGAGCGGCAGCAACTGTCTCTAGTGTTGCAGGTTGACACTGCACGGCCAAATCCTGGAAAGCTCTGGCAGAAACAGAGTGAAGGGACACCACCAAGCCCACACGAAACCTCAGGCAACAGAGCTGGAGTCCAGGGATCCCAAGGAACAACAGTTGGTGAGCTCTGTGTTCAGGCGGGCTGTGGATTATGTCTTCAGTTCTGTAATGAGCAGGAAAGAATGCTCCCTAGGGACAGCTCTTACTTAAGAAAAGCAAAGAAAAAACCCACAACATTTTTGGCTTTTCATTGTGTGAGTAGAAGGCCAAGGACCCCCTTTTCCCATGCCTGGGACCTCTGGGAACTGGCAGGTTCAAACCAAGCCTGCAGAACCTCCACTGCCCAGGCGGGGATGCTGGTGAGAAGGACACAGGTCCAGTGCATCCAGCAGGGCGGGACGGCCAGTGGTCCAGGTCCCCACACAGGATCCCTGACCCTGACAATGGAAAGGGTAGAATGGCTTCCTGGGGGCCAGACAGGGACAGAGCCAAGTGACAAAGCCTCTGGAAGCTGGAACTGCCAAGAACATGGCTCCTCCCCTAGTGCATCCAGGAGGAACCAGGGCCTCCACACCCCGACCGCAGTCCCACAGGAGCATGGACACGTGCTCCACAGCCACCAGGTCCTGGTGATTTGTTACTACAGTGACAAAACCAGCACAAGTGACATCTCCACCTCATCCGAGGTTCTTCCTCTGCGCTGGGAGGGCTGGATTGGGACGCTTCTGTGGCTACATGTGTGAAGAGATGAAGATGTTACTTTGAGCAGAAGGAACAGGGCTTTTGCTTTGATGATGGTGCCAAAGGGAAAAAAGATCTGCGAAGGAGAGCACTTCTCCGAGTACAGGAGCCAGGAATCCCACAAAGAAATAAAACTGAGGAGCTTCTGGTGGACCATGGCTACATGCACAGCAGTTCTGCTGGCGGACCAGATGCAGTTCTAAAACACTGCTTTGAACAAATAAATCTTTGACCCTGTGGCGCTTTTCACACGTCCCACGCCATGTTTTGTTCAGGACGTCGTGCAGATCCTGACATGGAACGCAGAGCAAAGGATCCTGAGTCCCTCACAGTGAAAGCCGCATGCTGCTGTCTCACCAAGGCCTGACCCACTCAGCATGACGCGGCTTCGACTCTGACCCACTCTGTCCCAGGTACGGGAATGTCAGCAGCTCAACGCTGACTGATGCGTGTCATTTGGGGACGGCAGGAACGTTTTCCTCCCCGGGACATGGAGGAATCTGTGATGTATCAGGCAGTACTTGATGTCCTGGTCTCCTCCCACGTCATGAATTTACTGATTTATAACACATTTGTTAAGCACACACAGGTATGGAACTTTCTGCTGAGGATCAAAGCTGGGGGACACGGCTACCTGTAGGAGGCTCCATCTCAGGAAACCTTACAGTGCGAGCCCCGTACCAAAAGCAGCAGGAGACGGCTGTGGGACCGGGGTGAATGCCATGTTCCCCCATCACACGCCCCAGCCCTTATCCATACAAGCTAAGCCATAAAGGTAACACACTCAACTCAGCAGTGCAGCAGAAAGGTAAATCCTTCACTCACACCAAGGCCAATATGCTCCTTTCAGAGAAACAGAAAAAGGAAGGCAAAAAAAAAAAAGTACTTTAAGAAACACTACAATCGCCAATTTCCAGCCACTGGAACCACTGTGAAACCGGCTCGAATTCCTAAACCGTGTCTCAGTTTCGCAACTGGTGTGCAGCGTTCTTCTCTGGGTTTTCAAAGCCTCAACAACCCCCACTCCTCCCACATTTCCAACTTTTTTGGCCTCATTCCCCAAGCTGTGTTCCAGTCAGTATCAAAGCAATTTTAACAGGACAGTAAAAGACTGGACAGTTCCTGGTTACCACTTGTTTAACTGGAAAATTCAACTAACAGACACATCATCTTCTGTAAAACTCCTGGTGAGCAGATAGATTAAAGTAACAAAAACTTACTATTTATAAAGACAACATTTGGCTCGCATCCAACCTTTGCAATAGCTTTGACTCTCAACTTAGAATTTGGTTCTGAGCTCTTTGTTTAAGAAAGGTGTTGACTTCAAGAAAAGGAAAAAAAAAAAAAAGAATTCTCATGGCTGTAACTTTCCCTGTCCTCTTGGGAGCTCTAACAAATGTGGAACCTCGGCTGGTAAAGATCACTTCTTAAAACAACCTATGTGGTTTATACCCTGGGTGCTATGATCCCCTTCTCCTTTCTGGATCAGATGGGAAGTCGCCTCATCCTCCTCGGGGTCTCTCCTGTCTCATGCTGAGGCTTTAGGGCTCCTCACCTGTTTAGACTCCTCCAGGCCCACAGGAGTCCCTAGCCCTTGCTCTGCAGCCAGGTAGCCACTTGTCCCTAGCCAGATCCCTCGGCTCATGCCCTGTGCTAGTACAGAGAGAACCCAGACACCTGAAGTCTGAGGAGAATAAGGTTGGTAAGGTCAGGACTTAGGTCTGTTGGGATGTAGCCACCTGTTACGGTGGATACATTGTGTCAACTTGAGCAGTTTAGAAGTTTAAGAGGCTGAGCAGGGAGCCAAGGTTCTTACTTTGTAAATGTCTTCATCCTATGCAAGAGGAGGGCATGGAGATTTTGTGAGTGCTATAGGCCCTGTAGAGGGTGGCCTGTGTACAATATAAGGGAGGAAAAGAGGCTTGCTCTGCCCTCTTTTGCTTTGGCTGCTTTTGCTGGCAGTTGCCTTGAAGTGTTGTCCCGGTTATGGACTGAAACCTCCACAAACTGTCAGCTAAATAAACCTTTCCTTCCTTCATTTTGGGTGTTGGGAATTTTGTCCCAGCAATGAGAGAAGAGTAATCAAGATACCACCTATTTTATTCTCACATCTACTTGAAGCCAAGTTGTTGTATTTGTAATTTTGCATCTTCCCCATTGGTTGTTTTAACATTTAGCTCTGGATCTATGGCTGGGGGATCCATAACTTCTGGGTCTTTCCTTCCTTTACCCACTCGATTGTAAACTCACTCAACAGCAGAAAGAAGTTAAGTCTGTTTAGAAGCATATGCTGCAAACTAGTGTGACACCTGTCAACTCTGTTTGGTCTAGGTTGCCTGATACCTGTAACCCTTTTGTGAATGCAGGTCACCAAAGCCTGGCTGACTGCTGAAGAGCAGACAGAACCTCTAACCAGAATGAGCAATCGTGGCTGGATGAAGGACATTTCCGAGGCTGAGTAAGCAATGTCATGTTCCCAGAGCTGTGCCCAAGGACAACAGTACTCTGCAGAAGCTACCAGGGAACCCTTGACACAAAATCTGCAGGGCCACAGTGACATCCTAGGCTTTCACACAGAGTAGGATGAATAGGGTGACAGGTATGACACAGGACAGGTGACACCTCATTCCCTGCCTTGCCACAATCCTCAGTGATTGGTCAAACCAGCCCCAGAGGAAAGTTCTAACTTCACCCAGGCTGGCGAGGTCAATGCAGGTAAAATTCCAAATAGGAAATGACTATAGGAGTCTCCCTCTGCTCCTTGCCTGTCCTGGGTTCTGGCTGTCGGTGCCTTGTCTCCCGGCTCCTGTATCTGGTGACATCACAGTACAATGAATGGGAAGTTACAGTGAGAGTCCTTTGACTGAATGAAGAAGTTTGTTCTTGATGTCACAGACAAGCATCAAATCCTCAATGCATTTCATACAATTCTTCCACGAAGTATTGAACTCTTATGGATTTCCTGCTAACAGTTACTAAGAAACTTGTGATATTTCAGTAGCCTCAAATGACCAGTTTCATTGATCACCATCATAAACTACTAGAGCCACTATAGAGGAGACAGCGGCTGTCTTGCATGACCTTTGAATGACTTTTAAGGAAGGCTCACACTTTAGGACTGGCTTGATTGTGCCCATGTGGACATTTGCACACTCCCTGTTCACGTCTGTGTATGTCAGTTCCTTACCTTCATCTCGATCTGCTTGGTGTCTGGGTTCTGAAATAGCAGCTTTGCTCGAGTGTTCCCGTCATCTGAAGACCCCTTCAGCTGGGAGAATTTAAATCTCCAGAGCACCTTCTGTAAAGGAATAGAATTAGTGATTCTCAAAAGAGAGCTTATTTATTCAAACAAAATCTGTTAATGGTTAAGAAACCTTTAGATAAAGGCCATCTTCTATAGCCATCTGGTCTACCTCTGCATGGAAGGCATCAAGCCCCCATCTGCTGCTGGTCCTTCTGCAGCATCTGGCTGTCCCTTGACTGCCACCCTAGCTCCAAGTCTCAAGGACACATTACCATCTACAGTCCTCATTCCTCTGCCTTCCTCAGCTTCCTGAAAGCACCCTAAGATTCTCATCCTTTTTTCCAAACACCCACTGTCAGGCCTGGGCCTGGCGGACCTAGGGGACACAGATGGCAGACCAAATGAGGACTTAGTTGTGATCAGCACCCCCTGAGCCATGGCTCCAGAGCAGCACTTGCCTCAGGCTCTGAGAGCCAGCATGCTGCTACACATGGGTCATGCCACCTATGTCACCACCACAAGAGTCACTCAGCAATGAAGGTGTCTTAGAGACAAGAGGCTCATCAGGCATTCCCATGCTAACCCAGTGAGGCCGAGGTGAATGACCGCTTAGCAGTGTCTTCTCTAAAGGAGTCTTTTATTATAATAAATCTTCATCTTCCCAGGAAAATTCCAATACAAAAAGGCAGTTATTTTTAGCAAGGTATAGGCTGAGTTTCTAGGAAAAGCATTTTTTCAAGAAATAAACATTTTTTCAAAGTGTCACAGAGGATGGGGGTGTGGCCAAAGGGAGACATTTCATAGACACCTAAGTCACACCTGACCACTGACTCTTTTATTCTGTGCTCACTCTCAGACCTCAGGACTCATGACCACATCTTTCTTTCCTTTGCACTGAATTTAAGAATCAGAGCCACTGCAGTTGAAGGTAAGCATCAAAACAAGTGCCCTACCACTGAGCCACATTCCTTGACCCTTTTATTTGTTTGTTTAAATTTTGAGACAGAGCTAATAATTAGCCCAGGCTGAGCTCAAACTGGAAATCCTTTTGTTTCAGTCTCCAGAGTGCTGGGATTACAGGTGTGTTTCACCACATCTGGCTTAGAACAGACCTTTCTGTCAGTCACTGGGGCAATGAAGGAAACAGCAGCAGCAAACAGAAAGGCCATCACCAGGGATGAGCAGTGGGGAAAGGTGGCCGACCATCACATCAGAGTCCCGTCTGTCCCCACAGCTTCCCACTGTGGTCCACACCTGATCCCACCCCACAGTGACTCAACACAGCTGAAGGCTGGCAACACCTGGGACCATCATGCCTGGTGTTACCTACTCTCCAGCTTCCTGGGAGGAGCCTGTGGTCCTGTGGATGTCACCATCGGAAGCCAGAGAAGTTCTGGATACACAGATTTGCTGTGCTCCTTACAAAACACAGGACACCCAAACCACCCTGGGAACAAGTGTGTGGTTCGAACTGGGTTATGGAGGAAAAGGCTCGAGTGTGGTCTCCCTTTGCATAAAGCAGCATTTTCCATAGTGCCACCAGCAGCTGTTAAAATACCTTCTACACAAAGGGGCAGAGATACCTGTGCGAGGGACCTGTCCGCTCCTTGAGTCCCAGGTCCTCAACAGTGACTGTGTTCGGTGACTTCTCAGTGTGGCTGTTTTCAGAAAATGCCTCCTGGTGAGAACCACAAGCCCATCCCTGGCTGGATCCTGTGATAAACTTCTGATTATATTCCACAGCCCTGGCAGACAGAACTTTCATCAGCTCCTCCTAGTCTGGGGTTTGCTACAAAATGGTTCAGAGGCCGAGGGTGCCATTAGCATGGGTGACAGCCTTCAGCCTTGTCCCTTCCTGAGCCATGTTCAGTGAATGTGATGACATAAAAACCCCTGGGAAGACAGCGCTCTCTTAAGTTGTCTGTCCACGTATCCGGGATTGGCCGGTCTCCGCTCTTCCTGAAATTTCCTCCCATGTGAACACTGTAGAGGAATTTTTCTTTGGAAAAGAACATGGTTTCCACTGCGGACATAATTTCTGCATGTTCTGCCAGAAGGCGTCTGGTTAGTAGCTTAACTTCATGACCTGGGCCCTTCTTAAAAGAGGACTGGGTCACTGGAAACACAGGGGGACTGAGGACATCCCACCCTATGAGTAAAGGCTGAAAGAACCCCAATTTTAGTTCTCAGTCTTGGAAGACTGACACAAGTTCTGAGGTTTTAGGAATTAAAGAATAGGATTAAAGACACCCTGTGTGACGTGAAGCATGCTGGTGGTTCTGCTGTAAATGATCATCAATGCTCACTTCCTTGTGATGAAGATGTGTTTTTAAAGTCCTGGCAACAGCAGGCAAGATTCAAATCCATCGTTGGGGCCAGGAGCTCCTTATTCAAGCAGTGTCCCTTCCCGGCATTTCCTGGGGAGCCTGGAGAACCCTCCTATTCTGCCCATTCAAACAAACCAACCCTTTATTTGCTTTCCTACAAGAAATGCAATTCTCTTTCTTTTCATCACGTCCCAAACTGGTCTTTGTGTTTCACCCCAGAGGCCTTGACTCAGCCCCATGGGAATAGGGGGTCCCAGCCAAGGGAGGGGCCAGGCTCTGGGAGTGTGGAGCCCAGCTTCAGGCTCACATGACAATCCAACATCCCCGATGGATGTGGACATGAAGCTGTGCTCTTGCTGCTCTGGGTGGGGAGCACTCATCCAGAAAGAAAGAAGAAAATCTGAGATAGGAGGCAATGTGCAGGGTCTCTGCTCAAAATGCCCCCCATTAGTCAGTAATATGGGGGCACTCCCCTTGGCTCTAGGGTCTACAGGAGCTGTGCTCTTCCTGTCCCTCCAAATTATCCTGTATCGTCACCTCTTGGTCGCTGAGTCTCCCCATACGGGCCATCCCTCCTTCCTTCTCCAGCTCTGCCTCTGTTTCTAGCTTCTCTCTTGTTTTGGTTTAATCATGACAGAAACAGGACGTCTGTGAGACCAAACAGAGACAGCTAGAGAAGATGTGAGGCTGAGTGTCCCAGCCCCCAGTTGGATACGGCAGATGAGTGTCTTCCTCTGGTTAGCGGTGTCTATTGTTTCTGGCAGCTAGAGCAGGGTTCTAGTTCAACCTTGGTTAATGATATTAAATGCAGAATTAGTGAGTGGCTTCTCCCTTGTTACATAAATGCAGGCAGTGGGTCGTTTCCTGCTTCAGTCCTCTTGATTGGTGTTGAACACAGTCAGTTGGCAGTGGGTGAACTGGACTTGGTAAGGACTGCGTGGCTTTCTTGGGTAAGCTCAGAAATGGGGAATTTTCAAACTGGGACCTGTGTGTGCACCTGAGGTTAGACCTGAGTAGATACCCAGCATGACCATGTGGGCAGTCAGCAAGATCCGAGTCACCGGGGTAACTTCTGTGTTTCCCTGGTGCAAGCGCGCCAAGCCAGGGGCTCAGCTGTGCGAGTCAAGCCCGCACCTCGGAGCTGCATACTAGCTGCAAGGCACTTCTCACAGGCCTTTGGGCAATGTCAGGTCATGGCTCAGAGTCAACACACAAGCCGTCTGACTCCATGGCGCCGTGCACCAGTGAGGTGCTGATTACCCAGTATGCGTGAGCACTGTAAATCCCATGTTTCTATTACAAATTCTATAAACACTTTCAAATGCGGTATGTGTCTCCTAGTGGGAAATACCCTAGCAACTTTTTTTCTGCAAGTAAAACCTCAGTGGCCTTTGTGAATCTTCTAGTCCCAGAATTCTGGAGAGGAACCAATTTCTCGATCTAGCTCAGGGTTTCTCAGCCTCTGGGGTGGGGGGGGTTCCTGTACACTTTGGTGTGCCAAGCAGCACCTTCCTGGTTCCCTACCATAAGCCCTGATACAGGAGAAATGCCCCCTAAACCAGAACACAAACATGTCTAGATAACTCCCAACATCCCCTAGGGGCCGCCCTTATCCTGGCAGAAGCCTTGGCTCTCCCAGAATGGAGAAGGCAGAAGCGAGGGCCCATGTCCCACAAGGGTCAGCTTCAAGGTACTGGCTGCAGCCCTAAGCTCAAGGGAGTCGGCACCGAGTTTCTTCAGATGGACCTCCGATTTCAGGGGCTTGACAAGAAGCTTCACTCAGTGCAGACAGGACCCCAGCAAAGGCTGAGGCTGTGCTTGGACCCGGCTGTGATGTCAGAGAAAATGCAGGCAGCAGAAATCCCATGCGCACTGTGGTGATCGCAGCCAAGCTGGTGTTCAGTGACTTTTGTGGGGGGATACTATTTTGGCAGGATCCTTTCCTTTCTTTTCCTTTCCCTTTCTTTCTTTGTATTTTTTGTCTTCTCCTGTCCTTTCCTTCCTTCTTTTTAACAAGCTCTCACTATGTTGTCCAAGCTGGCATTGAACTTGGATCTTCCTGCCTCAGCCTCCCAAGTGCTGGGCATAGGCGTGCACTACCACACCTGGCTGAGGTCATTATTTGGGGCCAAATTCTAGCCTGAGGCCCTAAATACCAGACCAAAATGGAGCCACTCTTGCCAGGTCCCACACGGTCTCTAAATCTCCACATAAAATCCCCCAACAGACCATATTTTTGTAAAAACTGGAGATTCACAGCAACCAATCAGAAGAGGCACTGGCAGCCTAAGGCCTGGAAATGAGGGTGCTGCTATTTTAGCCTCTGCCATGAACGCAGTAGAGTCTGAAACAACCTGTGCTCTGTGAAGAAGATACCACTCAGTGCAGTCCTGGCCCTAGAAGCTCGTCAGATCCTTAATCTCAGTGAGGTGAGGTTCCACTCACTGACAGGAGCATCTCTCCCATGGGGGCTTTCCCACTGTATGCATGCTCTGGCAGCAGGAAATGGAAGTCATCTGGGTCTCTGCTCCTCCAACATGTCTGTGACAATGAGGACTCGTGCACAGTGAGGGCATTGCCTTCACTTGCAGTGGCATCTTCAGACCAGGGACAGCTGGACTCCAGGTCCCAGGACCAGCGCTGGATGTACCTTACCATGTATGTGGGTACTGGATGACAACCCTGGAAATGCCCAGGTTTGAAGCCAGCAACAGTCAGTGTTTCCTTTCAGAGGGTTTATTTTAATGCCCTGGGTCTTTCCCCTGTAGGGGCTCAAGGAAACCCATACTACGCCTCCTCCTCCCCCATCTCCACCTCAATAGGAACCATAGTCACCAAGCACCATCCAGGCAGCTGGCACCCTGGGGAGGCCGTGAGATGCACCCCCAGTGTCAGCCTGCACGGAGCCCCCATCTTACCTTCGTCTTGCTGTCGAAGCAGGTGAATCCCAGAGCAAAGTCCACAGTGAAGCCCAGCTCTTCCCCCTGCCAGCTGCACATGTATGTTTTCGACTAGAAAAAAGCATTCATTCTGCAATCACATGAAGAGTTCCGTCTAGCCAGGCAGCTACCATATTAACCCCCTCAGTCAGAAGATGGGTTTTTAAAGTCCAAATGTACAAAACGGGGCACCCCAAACCCCCGTACGAGCGTAAAGATGCCCAATCTTGGGCCAGTCCCTTCTTGCTTTGTGGCATTAGGTGGATGTTTCAGCTTTGCAAAGGCTATGTCCAGGCAGGCACTGCTTCACTAACAATGAATGAATGTGACAGCCCCAGAAAACCTGTGCTCCCCAAGCTGTCCCCAAACGCACGGTAGACCTTGGAATGCCCTGTCCGCTCACTCCTCACTCTGCCACCCTCAATGCCCCCGTACTCTGTACAGAACCCCAGGACCGAGGGTGGGCTTGGGTGGAATCTGATTATATTGATGATTTTAATTCCAAAAAACCTGGCCTCCAAAATCCTATCTGAAAACAACCAGGTAAACTAAAGTTTCATTATGCTTCATGCTCATAATGAAAACAATCTAAGACTTAATTGTGTAATTAAATGGGAGCGTCCGGTAGGGAATTGATAATTGTCTTTTAATGAGTCCCATAAATCTAATCTGAGCACTGCTTAATATTTCAGTGACTTTCTCTTAGCTCCTCCTGATTTATTATTTTTTCAGGAGCAGCAATAAAACATCTTTGTGGCATTCCACATGGTATTATATATCCTCTCAGGAACAGCACTGGATTAAAAAAAATTCAGGACTGGGATTTCTTTTTTTTTTTTTAGGACTGATATTTCTTAAAAGTTTATCTTCAAATTAATTTTTATTGTTTGAGGAAATTATGTTTTGCACAGTTCAATGAAAAGTGCTTTTAAACATCAATTCTTTAAATTTCCAAAAGAGATGAAATAGCAATTATATAGACACCAGCAAGACGAAGGTCCAGTGGTGTATTCATGGCTGCTGGGTATTACTTTAAATCCCATTGCCTACAATAATGCTGCTCAGATGTCCATGGTCAGGTGAGCTTCCAAGCTGCCCACTACTGGGGTAGAAATGTGTCCCTGGTATGAATGCAGGACAGGGCCACTGCTCAGGAGTTGTCACAGAGGAGCTGCCAGGGCAGGAAAATGACCATTCCTGGCCATAGCAGCGAGTGGTCAGCGTCACCGACCTGGAACCTCTGAATCTTCTGGAGACCTTAAATTCAGTCTTGAACTGAAATAAAACCAAAGTCAGCATATAGTGGAGTTTAAAAAAAAAAACTAATGAAACAGACAAACAGAGATGGCAGGTGGAGAAAAGAAACCTGCTTCGCAAATCTCCCAAGAAAGCTCAGGCTAACTGCGTCTGCCCTGGCCAGCCCTGTTCCAGGGACCCTGGACCTTTCCTCCTCTGCTACTCAGAAGGCTGCACATTTCAGTTAAAAGATGTGACCCACAGAATGGAAACTCTTAGGAGAGAGAACACCACAGTGGGTTAACTGTGAGGTCATCCTGGAGAAGTCACACAGTCCTTCTGAACCCAAGCTGTCTCATTAGTGAAAGGAAATCAGCATTTGCTCTTAGACCTCGTTTACAGCTGAGTAACTGTGCAATTGCACGACACCTGGAATATTGATTAGCACGGACGTCATTCTCACAGCTGCCCTGCTGGCTGTGTGTGTATTACAGTCCTCGATTTGCAGAATCTGCACTGCTGTTTGCGGCACTGTCTCACAAGGTTCATGGAAGGATAAAAGAAACAGCCGAGCCGTAAGTCCACCTGGCCAGCCCAAGAGCCACCAAGCTCATTCCAAAGCCAGATGCTGAATCCTGGAAGTGTTTTCTGCAGGATCCATGTGGGCACCTCAATGCCTTCTCTGTCCCCTGCAAGTGTCAGGACTCTCTCTCTTCCAACTGCCAGCTGCTCCTCAACTGTTCCTACTAGAAGGCTGCCTCTGCCTGCCACCTGGAACAAGTCTCTAGTTGCAAGTTAGAAACGAAGTGGTCACTGCAGTCTTTGGAAAGAAAGTGACACAGGATGTCCTGCTCCTGCAGTGAGCAGCCCCACAGGGAGGCAGACATTTCCTGTGCCTCTGAGCAGGTCCCTGAGAAGAGGACGAGGGGCAGCCCCAGTCCTCGAGTGGGGTAACAACTGGGAGAGTGCAAGGGGAGCCGGTCTCTGTGTCCCCTGGACCTGAGGGTGCAACGTTGCCACACAGACGAACCCAGGACAGCATCAGTGAGGCAGTCACAGCTCAGTCCATCCCAGAGCCTGCTTGCACCCTGGCAGCTGGTGTGCAGGTGGGGGGCACCGGATCTGAACATTAAACAGGCCCAGTGTGTGTAACACAGCAGCCATCTGCCCCTGTTGAGTTCAGACTTCCAGAGTGGTCACCACCAGGCCAGCAGTGATCCCAGGCCTTTGGTGACACACTCTCATTTGTCCCCTCTCATGCTGGTTTCTAGCAGTAAACGGGGGTTAAGGTTCCCACTCTCCATCCATGATGACCAGCGAGGATCCCCCACCCTGAACTCTCCAGCCAATATGCATTTCAATTTAGTGATTTATACACTGCCCTGAAGAAGGGAGAAGCAATGTAGACACACAGGCTGTTCTGCTCCCCTCTGGACTATAACAGATGACATTAGATCATGACATGCGCTCCCTGCAGGTGATGGTTCTGTCCCGGGAAGCAGAGTCAGAAGTCTCACCTCCTGGTAGGGGATGACACCAGGTAGAAAGCGCCCCAGCCCCGTCCCCACCTGAGGTGCAGACGCTGGTGCAAAATCCCCGTGTCCTCCTGCGCCACACAGTGGCTCCTGTTCCCCAGTGCACCTAGTGCAATGCAATGCAATGCAAACAACTACAAGACGGTACCGACGGACTCCTCCCACTCGTGGTCTGTTCATGCTGACATAACTGCTCCCTGTATCCTAACCGATAGGCCCTGGGTACCATGCACCAGCTCACCCCGGTCCTCTGCACCTCTAAGAACGTCGCTCTCTGGAACGCCTTCTCCCACATGGCCAGCTCTGCACCCAGCTCTACCGTGAAGATATGGCTCCTCCCCTGGCCAGCCAGGAGGCTGAAGCAGTGTGGCCTCTGGTCCTCCAGGTCAAAGTCCCGAAGCCCAAGATAGAGATTGGCCTGCAGCCAGTAGTCATCCATCACCCAGAACTGAAAAACAGGCGGATGGGAACCAGGTCAGAGCTGCAGGGCTCAGGCCTGACTAGAGACCCACTGCCATGCAGCAGTGCTCTGGGGAACAGGTCCCTTTCCCCCGGTGGCAATCACACTCATCACACCCTGCAGGCATGATTCACAGCAGCATATTTGCAGTCACTAGATGATGTCCGACCTCTGATTATCAGTCCCTGCTAAGATACTGGTATACACACCTCGATTTTCTACATTCATTTTAAAGATAGACGTCCTGATATTTCTGTACTCATAGTTAACATAAAACCCACAACCAGCCTGGCTGCAACAGTGCAGATCTGTAATGCCAGCACTCTAGGAGGCTGAGGCAGGAGGACTGGAAATTCAAACCCAGTGTAGGCATCTTAGCAATTTAGCAGCATCCTGTCTCAGAGTAAAAATGGGCTGGAGGTGTGGTTCAGGGCTCTCGGCTGCATGAAGTCTCTAGGAATGACAGGTCTCAGGCTCCCTACAGAAGACTCCAGAGCAGGACTCTCACTCAGGCAGAGTCCAGTTATGTGAGTACAAAGGTCCTGACCAAAAACTACAAAGCGTCTCACAGCAGAGTCACCGCGGAGAAGACACAGGCCAGCCAGGTCCGGTCAGTCAGTGCAGCAGTACCCCCATGTCCTCAGCCCCAGGGACAGGAGCAGGGAGCAACTCCAAGCCTCACTGGTCACAGTATCAGTGAGGGCAGCCTGGGTATCCCTGGCTGTCACCACTGTGAACCATAGTTGCTAGTTGTGGGCTTTTTCTGTCTCTGCATCTCTGTGTCTCTCTCAACTCTGTATTCTTTGTCGTTGCATCTCTCTCTGTCTCTCTCCCTATCTCTGTATTCCCCCTGTCTCTGCATCTTCGTCTCCACCACCTCCAGTCTTCAGCTCCTGGCTCCCGGCTTCGGCTCCTGCACCATTAACTGTCACCCAGTCTGACAAGAGCTGCTTCCCTGCAGCCCAGCAAGGGGCGGTGGCTGGGAAGGGCGCCCCCTGCCAGCAGGGCCGGGCTCGGCTCAGCATTGTGTTTCAGGCCTTGGTGGGTGCCTGGCTGCAGAGCGCGAGCCCACCACTGCTGGAGGCACCCGGTGCTCCTCCGGTCGAGGCCGGGGCGGAGCAGCCCCTGCGACCTTCCTGCTAATACCACCCCAGCCTGCGATGCCCAAGGACGGGCTCCGCCTCCCCCCCCCCCCGAACTCTCCGATGGGGGCTCCTCTGCCTGTTTAACTTCAGTGCGGTTTGACTCCAGCTATAATTTTAGGAAAATTCTGCGGCGATCCTTGCTCTGTGCACTGGGATTATCCAAGCAGCCGCCCTAGGGAGCACAGAGCCTGTTAGGAGTCGCAGCGTGGGTCTCGCACACCCCAGGGGGCGCCTTTTACAGCAGCCGGAGAGGCGCTTTGAAACCAAGCGAGCCAGGGGCTGCGACTCAGGGATTTGCTCCCAGCACTGAGAAGCCTCGCCCCGCAGTTGCAAGAGGAAGCAGCGGGAAGAATCTAGGGAGGCGCGGCAGTCCTCTCCTGAGCCAAGCGTGGGCAAGGTCAGCTTCCCTGAACGTGCAGACTGGAATTTCCAGGTCAGGACAAGGCCTGTTCCTCGCCGAGGAGCCAGCAGCTGCCTTTAAGTCAGCAACGGACCACAATCAAGGCTAATGAGTGCAAGTTCCCCATCTACTTCATGTTGAGCCCCCAGCGACCTGGGTCATCAGAGTCACTGCATTTCTGCTGCTCTGGCCTTGAGATGCTAGAAAGGACAGCGCCCAGGCCACAGGGTCAGGAAAGGTGTCCCAGTGGCTCAGAGAGGTGCTTGTAGGGAGCACTAAGCTGTGGCTGGGACCCAGGGCCATTTTCCCACTCAGTGAACAGCACTCACACAAAGAGAGCATTACATACAGTGATATAAGGGTTTTCTTTTTATCATTCTTTTTTTGTTGTTGTTCAGTCCTAAGGACTGAACCCTGGCCTTTGCACACAGCTGCATCTGCAGCTTTTTTTTTTTTTTTCCACAATTTTTGTCTCAGGAAGCCTAGACGAGGCTCAAACTTGTGATGTTTTCGCCCCAGCCTCCTAGAGTTCCATGATCACAGGAATGCACCATCCTGCTTGGCACAACTCTCCCATTTTACAGAAGAGGAAACTGAGGCTTACTGACACTGAGTCTCTGGTGCCTGGGCTTGAACCAGCCAGAGGACGGCTGTGTGTTTGGGGCACTGCACTAGGTCTCAGGTTCCTGCAGCTGGGACCTTGACTCAGCTGCACCAGAAAGGCCAGGCCCATGTGCTCTGGTCTCCGAAGACTGGCAGCAGGAGCGCCAGCCTCTGCTCCATCCCAGCAGACCCCCCACCATCACTACCACTTTGGTGTGAGGCCCCTGCTCCTCCAAGGCTGGGCTGGAACAGTGTGAGGAGACTGTCATTTCTTTCCCACACACTTTCCTTTCAGGTTCTAAGTCCAAATTCATTGTGCAGCTTTGTATCATAAATAATTCTCTACGAAACCAGAGGTTTGCCAGGACTCCTCAGGGAAATCACCCTGCACCTCCGCCTATGCAGCTTGGTGGCCTCTGCTCTCATAGACCCAGCAGCCCATCAGCCCAGGGCTGAGCCACCAGGCAGGAAAGCTCTGCAGACTCTTCCTGGGGGACTCGGGTTACCCCTACACTGCTATCCCACAGGACAGGAAGACAGGCCCCCAGAGACTAGGAGACTGCTTCTGCAGCAGCAAATTCACTAAGTCAAGTGACCTGGAAGTTTGGTGCGACTTTTAGGGAGGAAACTGCCCTTTATTAGTCACTGAGGACCCTTCCTCTAACAGGATTGGGACACTTTTTGTTAATTATTCTGGTCAGTCTAGTTCAGACTTAAATAAAAGCTTTTAGCATTCAGAGTTATACTTGAGTGTTAAAAACATCCTCAACACGGCATAAGCACCTGCATTGCAAGTGTGCAGTCGTGAGTTCGATCCCTGGTACCGATAAAAACGAAAAAGACCAAAAAAAAAAAAAAATTAAAAAAAAAAAAACATCCTCAACAAAAGCAGCAGCAGCAAAAAAGACCAATGACAATGACTAAAGTTCCTGGAATAGATCACTCTATTTGGAAATATTAAAGCATAATTCCCCCCCCCAAACACACACATGTACATACTGTCTATCCATCTGCCCATCCCTCCATCATCCATCCTTCCATCTCTCCTCCATCCCTCCAATCCCCACCCATTTCTTTATCTACCCAGTCTTCCTCCACCCTCTCCATCCATCCATCATCCATCCATCCCTCCACATCTCTCTCCATCCATCCATCCTTCCACTACTCCATCCCTCCATCATCCATCCTTCCATCTCTCCCTCCATTCCTCCATCTACACCCATTTCTTTATCCATCCATCCACCTGCCCATCCCTCCCTCCACTGCCCTCATGATGCCCAGCACAGTGACCATCCTAAGGGTGGATTCAGAAGGGCTTCACAATCCTTTGCTATTTCATCAGTCCACAACAAGGTGGTCACCCCACTTTGTAAGCTGAAGGCACCGAATTTCTAGTGAAGTATAAGCAGCTGGGTGCACCCACCTTGTGAACTTTAAATAGCACCTCACAGAGGTTATAGACGCTCTCCGCCTGCAGCCAGTCTGCTGTGCTCACCTGCAAGAAACATATGAGGGGTGCATAAGGAGAGGCCAGTGCCCTGAGGTGCAGGTGAACATTCACAACCTGTGTGTCTCCAAACACTGTGAACCCTCAGCCACCTTCAGTTACGGAGCAGGCTCAGCCCAAGAGCCTGGTGGATGCCTGCCTGTGAGGGCATGACTCAGCATGCCCAGCTGTGATGTGACCACAGTGGATCCATTATGGAGATAACTACTGGCCAGGCAGTGACTTACCTAGGATACCCCAGGGGGCAACAACTGGGGAAATCATTTTAAATTCTTTTTACACTAACTTAAGGTCCAATATTAAAGTAAGCGTGGAGGGTTTAAGATGAGCTTGCACGTGAATGCAGATGCGTCTCTGAATCTGCCAGGGTATGAGAGGGCTGTGTTTACAGCTCCGCAGGGCTTCTTACTGCTGAGTTCTGCTGCGGAAATGAATAAAAACTTCACTAATTACTTGCTGTTGTTGAACCTGTTTTTGATTGAGCTGACCTATTGGAGCTCACAACTATCTCAGCAATAATGACAAAGGAATTCAAGTTGGGAGGGATGCTTTAGGATTCGCAATTAATATTCACATATATTATCTCTACTTTAAAATAATTACTGTAGGAAAAAGCTGATACAGTCCACAGTATAGCCAATGTGGATTTTTTTGCTACAAGCTCTGCCCTTAGTCTTTCAAGGAGTAAAAATAATCAAACTTCACTGTATCATGACTTGGAGGCACCAAAGCTATTCCACAGTTAATCGGTTGTGAATTCCACGTGATTCTTTTATCAGAGAAGATGCTGGAGCCTTGGTGGGCATTGCTGAGTCACCATGATGAGGGTGTCCCTGATGCAGGCATCAGAAAGCAACACCAGCGTGCTGCATTCCGTCTGTGGTCTGTAATTGCTCCCAGTCCAGCTCATTCCCACAGTGATTTAAACAATAAAACACAAGGGGAAAGCACAGCTTAAAGCAAGCATCGTGATTAGGGTACTAACCAACAGGCAGATCCAAACCCCAAGGGCTCAGGACCCTTCCAAACCTACCAGCTGAGCTCAGAGTCGGTGCCACAGATCCCCAGCCAACTCCCGAGTCCCTGGGACTGAGTCTTATGGTCCCTCCCGCTGGCAGAGCTGGGGGACTATTGGTATTATTGGGAAATAAATACACAATGAGCACCATTTTGACGTTCCCATTACGGCAATGCTGCTTGTCTAAAAAACTACAAAGAATCTAAATCTAAAGAACCCCTAACGACAATGGCTAAATGCACCATCCAGAGAGGTCCTCCCTCAGGAGCTGACTTGTTGCTGTAAATAGTCACCATACATATTCACTGTTCCCATCTTTTCAAAATGTAGTGGTATCAGCGTTATCCCCCCATCATCATTTCTTTCAGGAATAAAATTCTCATGACTGCTCAGCATTTCAGTGTGTGGGATCTATTGTCTTCACCAGCACAGCCTTTGGGCTGGACACTGTAGACAGCTCCGAGGTATCAGCCACATTAACAGAGTTGTGACTGGTGTATTCAGAGGACTTGAACCCTAGTATTCCACTGCACTGCATACATGCTTCCTCCCTAGTCTGCTTTGGAGTCCTACTCTAAGTTAAAGCTGGCACCCTGCCTTTTCTAGATTGTGGGATTCACCTGTCTCCTCTCCCGGGCCACTGTGTAATCCCCCAGTCTGAAATGACCACAGCCACCTACCTAGCTCACCCTGAGGCAGACTGCTACATCACAGGTCATAACCCTGACTTTAACGTCTGACAGAACTAACCACTGGTGTATTAGGAAGGACTTGACATCCTCTGGAACTTGCACAGAGGCTGGGTCTCAGGTGACCCCAGACCACTGTCTGAGGATCTGCTTCAGACCAATGTCCTTGGAGAGCAGGCCATGTCCTAGGGGGACTGTGAGGAAACAATGCCACAAAGAGCTACAGCTGCCGAGAGTCAGGGAGAAAGAAAGGAGAGAGGAAGTACAGTTGTGAACAGGAAAACCGTATTTGCAGGGCAGGTGCACATTTGCTCACCCATTCTCCAGGCAAAGAATGCCTTTGTTCACTGCCTGCATCCATCCAAGGGCTACGTATGATCTGTACATTACAGGGAGTGAAGGGAGGGACCTGGCCTGAGAATCTACAAGTATTCCAAAATAACTTATTTAAAAGTTTACACTTATCAATGAAAATTTGCAATATATCACTGGCCTCTGTCTGAAGGTCGGACACATGAGCGTTGCTTTATTTGCTTCTAATGGCCAGAATTCACATGCAGGTTCATGCAGTTCTTTAAATGATAAGCCGTCAGGCAGGGGCTCCATAATACAGTTTTGGGAGAATGGTGTGGTTGGGAATTGGAAAATAAAATTATAGACAAGAGCATTCAACCTTACATTCATAGTATGGATTCTTCTAAAGCAGGCTTGTTGATTTTAATGGAACTTGGAAGTGGGAAGAAAAAGATATTTTCAAAATTTCATTATTGGCTCCTCAGAAATGTCTATAGAGAAGGGTTCAGTTTAGTTCTGTCTATTTTTGGATTCCCCAACCACACAACTGATGTGCTGAGATCAGGGCTTCCTGAAGCCCACCTACCAGCCAGCTGAGCATTTCACTCAGGAAAAACTGCAGCATCTTAACAGAGCTAGAATTGGAAGAGAGGACCGGATCCCTGAAGGAGTCTGGAGAGGAAATGAGTGATTAATTCATAAACAGAACCTTTCCAGCCATGTCAGGGAACAGCCCCAGGTAACCTGCATCTCTGACAGGGTAAGGACAGCAGCTTCACTCCCCATGTCCAAGTCCTTACCGGAGGAGAGCTGAAGACGTACACGGAAGAGCCCTTCAGGGCCAGGAACTTGGATCTGAGGGCCTGGAGGGCGTCAGGTCCCTGCAGTCTCTCGTTTACCCAGCCCATGTGCACCACCTGCAGAGGGAAACCTTGGAAGATTAAAAACCAGGTCTTAATGAGAGGTCTGAGGGGCACACACCACACACATCAAACAAGCAGGTTCCCACCGCTCTGCCACACTGGGAACCAGAAGATGGGAAACCCAGATCCAAGCCCAAGGCTCCAGGTCACGCAGACCCAAAAGAAAGGTGTGAGGTAAAAAGTGGCTTCACTCTGGTTAAATACCCAGAGTTCTCTAAGGGCTGGGTTCCAGCCAGGGCTCTAGATGGGCTCAGCTGAGGGCAACATGTCCTTTTAAAAACATAGCACTGGATTGCACTGTACCAGGAGCTAGCACTTCAGAGTGTTCTATGGGGATGCAAAAACAGCTACTTACATTTTTGGGACCTATAGTAAACATACAAGTTCACATAGTGTACAAAAATGACTGAGTTTGTCCTCACAGTTTAACTTCCTAACATCCATTAAATAATACAGAAATATTAGACTCTTATGCCTGACATTGAAAGGTTTTAATCTCACGAGATGAAACACAAACTATAAAAATCAATCTGACACAAACACATGACAGAAATAGCAATAGGAGAACTCGATGCCTAACATGCGAAGACACATACATTTTTAGTAAGTAGCTGAGGAATTTAATTTTAATTTTCTCATTTCAATATTTCAAGAAAAAGGCAATTCCTTAACAGAGCCATGGTGCGTGAGACATTTAAGATGACACAGCTTTCCCAGCTTTCTTATTAAATGGCACCGTCCCCACACACAGCATCGGATGTGACCCAGATGACCTTCAGGTCTGTGGTCCTTGTGTCCAAGCACAGGAGGGGGAGCTCATGAGCAATGCCACAGCCCTGGGCATGTTCCCAGGGTCCCCTCCACCAAGGTCGGATTTACCCTGAGGGTTCCCACTCGTGCCTGTGGGAGGTCCGCCAGGACAGTGCTCTGAGGGGAGTTGACAGACAGTGTGACCAAGGCCGTGGATGGGGGATGCAGATGACCAAACATAATCTTTTCATGTTGCTTCTCAGCCTGTCCTAGATACACAGAGCTGCACAGATAACCCAGATCTTTCATGGGATCCTGTGCATTTCTCACGGGGCTTTTTCTTCATGTCCACAACGACAACAGAGTCTGGTCACTCTGATACGTTGATGGTGTCCTGATAATGCAGTGATTATTCTAGGGACGTAGCTCTGCGCTAGAGCATTCGTTTAACCCAGCAAGGTGCTGGGCTCATTCCCCGTTACTGAGCAAAAGGGAACACAGTTGTATTTCATGTGTGACCCTGGACATGAGCTCTTTGTGCATCATCAGTGGAAACAGAGCACTCCGTTTCATGAGACGACTGTGAGAGTTCAGTATTGTCCCAGTGTCACCAGGAAGGGGATAAGGAACACACTGTTCAGACAGCATCAATGCTCTGCAAAACCCACCAACCACAGTTCACTCCTGCACATCTGCTGGATTTGAAGTCAAACTCAAAGATATTTTACAAATATTGCAGTGACTTCTTCCCCTCTTGTCTGGTTGGGTTGGTCCAGGTGGGGTTGCAGAGGTGCATCTTCATTAGTTGGTGGTCACACCAGCAGCAACACTGCTGTGAATCAGAAAATGTGCTCCGCCTCCACTGCTAAAACCTGCATGTTTCCAGGCAGTTTCATGGATGCTTGATTCTTAAATCAACATGAACTCAACATACGATGACTGAATCCCAGCTCTGCACTGCAAGGCACTAACAATCTGCATAGGTTATTTGATAGGATTGCTTTTTAGCACTGTCAGCCAAAACAGCAAGCAGCCAGGACAGTGTAACTGAAGACCCTCAGGAAAAGACTCCAGAGCTGCTCCAGAAAGCAACAAATATGATGGGATGAGTACATGGGAAAAGATGTGGGTCCAGCTTTAATCTTCGGCATGTGTAGAGCCAGTTTTTCCAGCACCATTTATTAAAGGGCCAATCTTTCTTCCAGTGAATGTGTTCGGCACCTTTATAAAAGATAAGGTGGCTTTGTGTGTCTGCAGTTGTTTCTCCATCTCCTAATCTAGTCCACTGATCTTGGGTCTGTTTTTTTTCCACTATACACTGTTCCAGTAGCTTTATAGAATAATTTCAAGTCAGGGATTCTGATGTTCTCATTCTTGTCTTTGCTGCCCAGGATTGCCTTGGCTATTCTAGGTCTCTTTTGGTTCCATATGAATTTTAGGATTGTTTTCTCTAATTCTGTGAGATATGCTATTGGATTTTTGATTGAGATTGCACTGAAACTGTGTAACAGTTTTGGAAGTATGGTCATTTTCACTGTACTGATTCTTCCTAACCAAGAGCATGGGATCTCTCTCCATTTTCTAGTATCTTCCTCAATCTCCTTATTCAGAGTACTGTAGTTTTCAATGCAGAGGCCTTTACATCCTTTGTCGGATTGATTCCTAGGTATTTCACCTTTTTGGATGCTATTATAAAAGGTATTGTTTATTAATTTCTCTCTCAGTGAATTTGTTATTTGTGTACAAGAAAGCTATTGATTTTTCAGTGTTGACTTTAGCCAGCTACATTACTGAATTTGATCATTAAATCTAGAAGACTTTTGGTAGAGTTTTTAGGGTCTTCTAAGAGTATCATGTCACCTGCAAATAACAATATTTGAACTTCTTCCTTTCCTATCTTTATTTCCTTTTATTTCTTTCTCTTGTCTAATTGTTCCAACTAAAGTTTCCAGGACTATGTTGAATACCAGTGGAGACAGTAGACATCCTTGTCTTGTTCCTGATTTTATTGTGAGAGCATCCAGTTCTTGTCCATTTAGTTGGCTGTTGGTTTATCATAGATGGTCTTTATCAGATTGAGATACAGACCAGTGATTCCAATTTTCTGTAGGGTTTTTAAATGAATGGGTGCTGCAGTTCGTTAAAAGCATTTTTTGCATCTATTGAGATGATCATATGATTTTTGCCCTTGGCTCTATTACTATGGTGTGTTACATTTATGCATTTATGTATATTGAACCATTCCTGCATCCCTGGAATGAATCCAAGTTGATCATAGTGTACAATCTTTTTGATGATTTGCAGCAGTCTGTCTGCCAGTATCTTATTGAGGATTTTTGCATCAGTGTTCATTAGGGAGACTGGCCTGTAATTCTCTTTCTTAGTTGGGTCCTTCTCTGGTTTTGGAATCAGAGTAATGCTTGCTTCCAGGAATGAATTTGGGAGTATTGTTTCCTTTCAATTTTGTTAAAGAGGTTGAGAAGCAGTGGTATTAGGTCTTCACTAAATTTCTTGTAGAATTCAGCAGTAAATCCATCAGGCCTGGGCTTTTGTTGTTGTTGTTGTTGTTGACAGGTTTTTAATTACATCTTTGATTTCATTTATTGATATTGGGTTATTTAGGACTCTTGATTCAGCTTTGGTAATTCATATATATCTAGGAATCTGTCCATTTCTTATTTTCCATCTGGTTAGAATATAAGTTTTCAAAGTAGATATAGATAATTTTCTGGGTTTCTACAGGGTCTGTTGTGGTTTCACCCTTTTTATTCCCAATTGCATGGATTTGATTCTCCCCCCCCCCCCCGCTTTTTTTTGATAAGGTTGGTTAGGGCTTGTCAATTTTATTTAAACTTTCAAAGAACCAATTCTTCAATTCATTAATTTTTTTTTAGTATCTAGTGTGCTCATTTCTGCTCTGATCATTATAATTTCCTCCCTTGTACAAGCTTTTTGCTCTTCTTTTTCTAGAACTTTGAGGTTCAACAGTAAGTTGTTTATACATGCTTGCTCTGTTTTCCTGATGCAGGTATTTACTGCTATAAATTTCCCTCTTAACACTACTTTCATTGTATCCCATAAGTTCCAGTATGTTACGTTGTTGCTATCATTTAACTGTAATAACTGTCTAATTTCTTCTTTAATTTCATCTGTGACACACTGGTTGTAGGGTATGATTTAATTTCCATGTGTTAATGACATTCTGTAGTTTCCTTTGGCATGGATTTCCAATTCATTGCACTGTGGTCTGATGGTGTGCAGGGGATAATGCAATTCCTTTGCATTTACTTAAGCATGTTCTATGAGCCAGTATGTGTTCTATTTTGGAGAATGTCCCATGTGCAACTGAGAAGAATATGTATTCTGACATTGTGGGGTAGAACAGCCTATAGACATCTAGTAAGTCCATTTGTGTGAAAGTTTGATTTAATTCTAATATTTTATTATTGATTTTTGTCTAGTTCATCTGTGTTTTTGCAAAAGTGGAGTATTGAGGTCTCCCGGTACAATTTTATTAGGGCTTATTTGATTTTTCATGTTCATTAGTAGTTGCTTTATATAGCTGAGTGCACTGTTATTTGTTGCATATATATTCATGATTGTTATCTCTTCCTCTTGGCTTGTGCAGTCCTCCACATCCGCTGCTCCTCTCCACTGCTGTACCTCTCTGCAGAGGCCTCCACGGTCTCCAGCCACCACGGTCACTGTGACCATGCGTCCCCAGATTCCTCTCATGCAGTAAGTCCAGCTCCCAACAAAGGAGCCACCAGCTACCGCCTTCTTCTTCATGAAATTTTTACTTTTACTCTTTCTACTCTCGATGGGCTTCAGCTCACACTTCAGAGTCTTCCCAGGTCCCTGGGACCTATATCCCTCCTTCTTGTCTTCCGCATGATGCTGAATTCCAGCTTCTAAACAGTGACTCTCAGAGAGGCTGTTTTTTCTATTGCTTCCTGCTCTGCCATCTTCCTGGAAGTCCCGATACATTTTTTAAAGTTAAAGCATTCACTGTATTTTCTGATCACATCACATATTTCTTTTTGCATTATCTTTCTGCTTTCTTTTGCTTGGGATTGGCACTTTTGGTAGCTGTCAAATCTTTTACCTTCTTCTCATTTTGTTCATTTGTTTTTTGGCTACATGCCAAAATCAATTCATTGTTCAGAGTAAGAAAAATAAACCCTTTCCATGTTTGAAGGACCCTATAACATAGGGCCCCAAAACACACAAAGTGTGCACATTTTGGAGAAAAATGTGACATCACCCTCTTGGGACAGCCCCTCCAGATGTGGCCAGGCTAATTCCTTATCTGCCCGTAGCCATGTGTCCACCTTGGAATTCCCAACACACTGACTCAGATCTCAGAGACATTCCCATTGGCCCAGCCGTGTTGTGTAAAAGAAGAACTCAGCTTGCCCAATACCCTATCTTATTGTATGGCTGAAGAAATGAAAGCTCATTAGTTAATTTGCTGGAATTATACCCCAGACAGGAGTTTGGTTGTGATTAAATGTGGATTTCAGATGCATAAGGCAGCTAGGACTGTGTCTCATAAACTGTGTCTGATGCATTGTAGAATTTCTCCCAGGGCCACATCTGAAGCCTGCCAACAACCATTCGCTTATCATCTGGATCCTGGGAGCTCCTCTCCTCAGAAGGTCCTCAGCTTGCCTGGTCTGTGATTTTATTCTGCTCCCATGCATTTGATTCAGCAATAACAAGAAGGTGGATTCCAAAGTGAAGCACAGGCTTGACTGCAGACTGTGGAGACCTGAGTTGTTCCACCTGGATCGAGTTCCATCCCCATGAGCACTGTGGCTTCCAGCAGAATGGGCTTCCTGTTGTCAGGGTCTTCACTGTTGCCTGCAGCCAATGACCATGAATGCTCAGCTCCTATGGTCACTGCAGTCCCTGGTACGTGGCAGAGAACAGTCCTCCCCCTCAGGCATGGCCAGGGTGGCAGAGGCCTGCAAGCCTGGAGACACCTGGAGTCTGGCCCTCTTGGTGGAGGCTGGCTCGCCCAACACGGGTTCTCACGGGACGTTCTGCTCATTTGCACTGTGCAGACAGAAACCCAGCTTTGGACAGAAAATGACTGACATGCTGTAGCAGCGGGCTGACTTGCTAATCCCCCAGCAAGAAATAAAGCAAGAGGTGACATCCATGTGGAAGCCACAGACAGGGGTGCACACTTAAGAGGATAGGATTATGGAGCCTTCTCCTTCAAAACCACAAGGGGCAGCAGGGAAACACTGCTTTGCAAGCCTTTGAAGATGTTTATGGAATTGTTCCTCATAGCTGACCCCTCACTGAGCTGCATAAAACTCAAAGAGCTGCTCGGTTCCGAAAGATATTTAAAAAAATATTATATTTAAAACTTTTCTTAGTGTCCCATTGTATCTTAAAATGCTGACCAGAAGTATTTAATAAAAACACAGGGCTGATTTCCTATGGTTCTCAGTAAACACTTGATGGGCAAAGACTTGCTCTGTCACATGGTTTCCGTCTTGAAACCAGATATTCTGGGTTCTGAGCACCATTTAAAGAGTATTTGTGTCACCATTTAAAGAAAACTGAGCATATGGTTCCCAGCTTTCTTGACTGGACACCATAATGCAGTTTCCTAAATCTGTATGTAGTATAACTGGGAAATCAATGAGCTGTTTCAACAAGTGAGCTGTCGCAGGCCCTCCCATTACAGCTCAAACTATGACTTTATTAAATGGAATAGTACAGTGGCTTAAGCTTTACTAGTCCGATTCTGAAACAACCTGATTATAACAGAGTACTGCTAAGTCCTAGTACAGCAGAGCTGGTCAGTGGGCAATCTTTGTATTAGAAAATCAGGTGTGTAGCGAGGCAACGATGTGACAGGATTGGCTGCTGTTCCTGCTAACCTGGTCTTGGGAGGAACAGAGGACCAAGGGGGTCAGCCTTCCCGAGTTTGGGGCTGACCAGATCCTTCCCACCTGCATCACCACCTGCTGAGTCTAAGGCCTCCTATGAGCAAGACATCCTCTTATGCTATATGAGAAAATGTCCTACACATACAGGTTATGGGTGATACATCGTGTCAACTTGAGAGGTTCAGAAGTTTTACTGCCAGACTCAGCAGGGATCCAGGTTCCTTACTTTGTAAATATCCTCACCCTGTGCAAGAGGAGGGCATAGAGATTTTGTGAGTGCTACACCTGCCCTGGAGTGGGGGAGGGGTGGCCTGTGTACAATAGGAAGGAGAAGACACTTGTTTCCTCTTTTTGCTCTGGCTACTGCCTTGAGGTGTTGCCCCTGTGCCATGCACCCTGCCTTAGAGCCAGCTGATTATGGACTGAAACCTCCACAAACAGTGAGCTAAATAAATCTTTCCTTCCTTCATTTTGGGTGTCAGGTATTTTTTCCCAGCAAGGAGAGAAAAGTAACCAAGACACAAGTCCATCAGATAACCTTCAACCCACACAATCACAGCCGCATCACGAAGTCCAGATTCCTTATAAAATATAACTGCCAACCAGTTAACCATTTATCCACAGCAAGCAAGCACCATCAGAATTCTTCTCCTATGTTATTTTCACAGAGACAGACAGTTCCAAAGGGAACACTGGAGAAGGGACCACCCAGTTCAGCCTGGGAGTTCAGTGTTCTTCTACCACAATTTCCAGTTCAAATTTCAGAAAAAGGGAAGCGATTGCTTGTGGAGCCCTGTTGTAATAGTCAGCTGAAAATCCAAGTCCTACCTGGTCGCCAGGAGAGCAGCATTTATTTGCCATCTTCATCTGCAGAGAAAAGGCAGCATGGAGTCAGCGCCACAGGAATGTGCAGGGCAGGAGCTTCCTACCTGCCTAACTTCACACCCACGCTTAGAGAGCCATTTCTTCTGTGACTGTTTGTCCTCTGCAAACCAAACAGGGCTAATTATAAGCACAAGGCAGCAGTACTCCCAACAGCAGAAGCTCAGGATTTGTGCACATCCCCACGATTTCTTCTCAGACATCAGCCTCTTATGGCAGTGTGGCTATGGGACAAATGGGCTTGCATTTCTATCCTAAAGTGAGACAGAGTTTCTGCTCTACACAGTATTAGGCAACCACAGGGTTCACAGTTCACATTAGTTTCCCTAAAGCCCCGACAGGTCAGTGCTATTTTGGGAAACTTTTGTTTTGTTTTGTTTTTGTTTTCTGAGACAGGGTCTTCTTCTTCTTTTTAATAGCACTATTTATTTATTTATTTGATACCAGGGATCAAACTCACGACCTCACATTTGCCAGGCAAGCACTGTGTCACTAAGCTATATTCCCAGTCAACAGGGTCTTCTATGTATTCCCACTGGCTTTGAACTCACTGTGCAGCCCTGGCTAGCTCCCGACTCACTGTGATCCTCACGCCTCTGCTTCCTTGAATGCTGAGATTACAGGCATGGATCACCACAGTGGACTTATGTCACAAAATTTTACCGATGAGGAAGCTGAAGTCCAAATATTGTGCCCGTATTTCTGCTCTCCTAATCTGCTCTGCTGGGTAGGGAGCAATCTATGGAAATCTCCTGAATAGAGAAAGCTTTGCCCTCGGAAGCATTTCTGCAATCATCAACTTCTTCCACAGGCCCAGCTTTGGAACTCCCAGTGTCTGCATCTGCAAACCAAGCCCTTAGGGAAAGGCCTCACTGATTAGCTGTGCAAAGGGCAGCTCTCAGGCTTTGGGGTGGAAAGCTCACTCATCACTCTTTCCCCAAGGTTCCAAAGTGTCCCACTCCTGTCCGCGTAGCAGTAGGCGGAGTCAGGTGGTGGGAAGGAGCAGACAGCAGGGCACAGGCGGCTGCAGTTTGACTGTGCCTCTGTCCCAAGTCGCTGGGCTACCCGGGGCCAGGCCGGCATGGGATGCACAGCCAGGGCCAGGGAAGGGGTAGGGGCAAAAACGAGGGCTCCCAAGAGGCTGAGGGGCCCAGGCCCAGGACTGCTGCATTCCGGGGTGCTTCGCTCTGCGTGTTCCTCCCCCATCCTAGCTCTTGTTAGTCCTTTCTTTTTAAAAAGAAAAAGATAATCCTATTGATTTTGGACATCAACTTAGTACTTAAGAACACAGAACTTTTTTTCCTGCCCAAGATATCTACAGTAAAAATTTGAGATGTTATATTTAGCTAGCTATGCCTTTTTATAAATTTTAATATTTCAGGGAAATTATATTTTTATCTTGTTTCCCTAAATAAACATTTCACACTGTATCAATGCATTTGGGTAAACTATACATATACAATACATATATAATTGCCCCATACAAACATTGCTGTGTGTGTATATGTGTGTATGTGCCGAGAGAGAGAGAGAGAGAGAGAGAGAGAGAGAGAGAGAGAGAGAGAGAGAGAGAGATCTGGGAGGTCCCCAGTGTCACCCTGCACTGCTGTATTTGGAGACACCTGAATGACCTGAACTTTAACTCTTGCGGTCAGAGAGGAGGTCTACTGAACTCTTGCACTCACTTCTCTTTGCAGCTCCCCCTGGGGCAGTGGCAATAGGGAGACCTTCCTGACCACCCACTCAGAGGGGCTTGGGGAGGCAGACGCATGCTCACACTCTGCAGCATGAGGAGGCCGATGTTGGTGGAGACCGCACGGAGCCAATCGCCACAGTCCTGGGCTGTGGAGAACTGGAGGATCCCAGAGCGCACCCCACCCAGCGCCAGCACCTCGAAGGCGTTGGACCTGCAGGAAGAGTGGGAAGGGCAGCTTCAGTGACCACAGGCAGCCAGAGTTTTGTCAGGGCGGGAAGCGCCTCCTCCCCCACCCAGCCAGGTCCTGATGATCGGGGCCTCTGTTCCCTGGAGAGACATCACCACCCAAACTGCAGTCAATGACTCAGGGGTTGGGCTGGCTGAAATGCAGGTGGAACCTGGGGTTTCCTCTCTAACAAAAGCTGTTCTAATTGGGTGGTCACAGGGGAGAGCCTTGGTCTTAGTGAGATTCTGGAGTTGCTCTTTTATGGGGGACTGTGTTGTATTCTTTTGAAGGCCCCTTGCCTTGGGGTATCTAAAGCTCTTGCTGCTGAGGATGACCTGGCACCTCAGCCTTGACACTAACAGACCCAGGGCTCCCCATCTCCCTTCTCCTGAGGCCTCCCTAGCTCAGCCATCAGGAGCCTGGAGCAGCAGCAACCACTTCAGTCTCCAGCTCAGGAGTCAGTTTCCCCTCTCCTGCAGTCCTTTTAAGGATATCAAATGAGCTGAAGACTGCATGTCACAGGGGGGCGGCCCACCTACATCTACAGCAGCTCAGCCCTGAGAGCTAATTCCTGGAAGCAGCCTGCACATCCAACAGCAGGCAGATGGGTAAGGAAAATGTAGGGCCGACACATTAGTGGACTAGAAAGGAAAATAAACGTGAGATTTTTGCAGGAAAACAGATGCATCTGGAAAACACAATGCTAACTGAAATAAACTAGACACACAAGCATAAATACTATGTAGTTCCTCTCATCTGAGTAAGGCAAAGTACTAATAAAGAGTAAAAAAAAATGATTGACAGGAGAAAACCAAGAGATGGATCTTTTGCACACGGGAAGCTGCCCAGGAGACCAAGGTCGAGGGGATGTGGGAGGGTAAGGTTAGTAAAAAGATTTAAAATGTGTCATGTGCTCATCCCAAACACGCACAGGAAATGTAAACATTCTATGTCCAAAACATGAACTAAAAAAATAATAATAACACTAAGACTGAGAAAGGAAGAGGGGATTTAGAGACTGAAGAATGGGGATTAAAACGGAATTCAGCGGTGTTACACACGTGCACCTGCTCCCCAAGGTGCTGTAACCTTCACACAGGCAGGGTTCAGCTGCTATTTATACTCAAGGAGCCAAGGCACAGGGGCCTGGCCAAGAACACAGCCACCAAACCCTCCCAGAATCCACAAACAACACCTGCAAGGCCAGACAGGGGGCAGAGTTGCAAATTTTTATTTGCCAAAATATCTCAACTCAAAAACTAAATTACAAGACATGTACATACTCAGCGGACTGTGACCTCAGCCTGTGGAAGCAAAATTATTAGGGCAACCCAACATCAGATTAAACAGAAAAACGTCAACGTGCTCATCCTAAATATGGTAACAGCTGAGGAAATCCACATTCTAAACGTGGAGGAAGGGGATGTTTTCTGCCTCAGTTTCCCCAAACTATGGTGACCAAGGCTGACTTCTAAACTTGTGTGGGCCTGCTGAGCTTGTGTGAAAATAGAGGAGCCAGGAACTTCAGGGACATTGAGGAGACTGAACGGGCTGGAACTTATGCTGCAGGTGAGTGCAGGTGGGCAGGGCATACATGTGGGCTCTTTGACTTCTGGAAAGAGGACATCAGCATCCTGGGCTAGGGGGTGTCATCCAGCTCATCCAGACCCTGTGTGTTCCTTAAGCACAACATCCCTCTGCCTTTGGAAAGTACACACACACACACACACACACACACACGCACACGCACACGCACACACACATAAACACACACACACACACACACCCCAAGATTCAGTTTCTGCTCAGTAAACAAATGTGAGTTTTCTGAACTTTGTTTTGTTTTCAGAGATATTTCATAAGTAATAGAAAATATTTCGTGCCTTTGTTTTTAAGAGCATGATCAAGGGTATTGGAACTAATAAGCACACACACATAGCCTTTTCTTGTGATGATAAAATAGCACTCTATAAAAAAATCTACATTTATTAAAAATGCACAGCTAAGGATAGTGTCAACTTCCCGAGCACACGCAAGCAGCCCTCCTCTCCTATCTTGGGAAGGTAGTAGGCTGCGTATCTCCTCAGTCCAGAAAATCGAGCTGCTGCGATTGTTAAAGGTATTACCAAAAGGTTACAAATGTGTTTAACCCAAGCTTGCACTGCAAAAGCATGACACATTTTCCACTCACCTCCAGAGATCACTTTACAGGACAAATGAAGTGACCTGTAACAAATTTGAGATACTCTAAATCCAGCACAGAGAAATACATTGATTGTCTATATGAATAAAACATTGTAAAAGATCAAGTAGCTAAATCCAGTGGGACTCTAAGACCTGCAGTAGAGTTTTTATAACACTTTTGAGTAACAGAATTTCAGGTTTATCCAATGGTTACACAAAACAAACACAACAAATCCCCGTGTCATGTCTCAAGGGTCGTGTCCTCAAAGGAGCTGGATTCTGAATTCCTGCCTGATGGTTTCCTCCGTGGACAGTGTACTTTGAGTTCCTGAAGTTTTCACCTGTATCAAGGAAGCCTTTTACCCCTGTCTGTCCCTCCCAGCTCTGCTGGGGCTGCCTTTCTGTGACATACCATCTACAGTGCCTTTCTCTGTGGAGCGTTCAGCCTGTTGGGCTGCCATCTGGGGCTGGGTAGGGCCATCAAGGTCACTGTGTTTCCACCTGCTGAGTGCAGGTGGGAAGCTGACCCTCCTGGGGGACACTCTGGGTGACCACTCCTCCCTGAGCAACACAGAACACTGCAGTTCTCAGATGCTGATTCACCTTCACATTAAAACCCGAGCTTGGTGTGATGGCACATTCCTATAATCCCAGCACTTGAGAGACTGAGCCAGAAAGATCACTGCAAATTTAAGACCAGCCTGGGCTACAAAGTGAGCTCAAGGCCAGCCTAAACTGCATAGTGAGATGCTGTCTCAAAAAGACAATAACAACAAAAATCCCAGTGACAATGCCAGGATCCCTTTGGTTTCCTCTGAGTGAAAATTGATCGGCCTCTCTGCCACCCTGTGTCTGATCGGCAGACACGGTGGCAAACTCTTCATTCAGTGAGTAAAGGTGCTGTTCACATTTCTCGTTTTTCAACTATCTTTCTTCCTTGCATAATAAATATGTGACATCAATCATGTTATCATTTATTCACCATGATCTTTCTACTGTAGCACATGGACTTAAGACGTCAGGCAGTGGTTTCTGAGTACACTTCCAAGTGTGTGTTCTACTTCCAGCACCAAGGACAACTGCTGTCACTGGACACCGTGCACCCGCAAACTAGGCACTGTCCAGGAGTGTGTGCAGCTGGAGCATGGGTTTACCAGCTTGAGGGCCACAGATTTCCTCTGGTCGCTTTTGTTTTCCCACTTCCTTTGGATATTGGGCAGGACAGATATTTGCAATAGTTTCTTTGTCCATATGATTATTAAATTCTGCCCTGAAAAGCCTTTGGCAATGTTTTCTGGCTGGAATGTGATCAATGTTACAGGCTGAGGGGAAGGGGGATCCCCAAAGCTCCATGTCTCCCTCCTCCTATTTCTGCCTTTGGACTATACAGGTCTAACAGATTGCAAAGAATATACACACACTTTTCACAACAGGACACACAATCCCAGGAGTGTCAGAGTCTCAACACTTTAGGACACCCCAGCTGCATGCTGTCCTGTGGGTGTGCACAGCGTGCTGCAGTGCCACACAGGGATAAAAGCCCTAACCTTTCTGTCTCCAGAGTAAAGTCTCTGAGGACTGGGAACCAAGAATGAAACAGCATCCCTCCCAACTGCCAGCCACCAGTTGTGAGGCTGTGGGGTCCCCTGACACACCCAAGAAGGATGCAGACTGCCTGCCTCAGAGAGGGACCCTCCAGGGAACACCATGGAACAAGGTTGAAAGAACAACAGCAGACACTGTCCTGCTGCAAAGGGACCTGCGCATGCCCAGTGCTAACTGCAGGTGTCATGGCTTCAGGGCAGCCTGGACCTGCACTTGCTTCCCTCCTCCCTTCTCCAACCTCCACCTGCAGGATGGAATGACCATGGGTCCCTAAGGCCCACGCCGAGCCCAGAAAGCCACCCACCTGCTGAGGGCCTCCACCAGCACTGTGCAGAAGAAGGCCCTGAGATCTGCACATACACTAAGAGGAGGATCTCATTCTGAAAATGGTGTTAATGTTTAAACACGATGCTATCTTTTGCAGAAACACATCAGAGCACTTAGCAGGGTGATTTTGACTTGTAGTATCACTTGGTAAAATGTGCTGATCTGCATTGTACACACCATGCAGCCCATCTGGCCCTCTGCGGACGTATTCTTCTAAAAGAAGATGAATCCCACCAAAACAATATTTCACTGCAAGTGACAAAATTTAATTTCACTGTTGTTCTCAAAACTATGACACGTGCGGGAGTTAAAGGAGCTTTGTTCCCTTATTCTCCTTCGCCTTCCTCCCCGTCGTAGAAAAACACAAAGCCAGTGATTTCTCCATCTTCCCCAGGCCAGCATAAGATACAGGCAAGGAAAGGGTTGGTTTGAGTGGGGAAATAAAGATAGGGCCTCGCACGAGAGGATAGAGTCAGCCAGAGGGATTGGGACGATGTGAACACTTGGCTCCTTGTCTCTTCCTTGGGGGAAAATCGCTCAGATCTGAAATTTTACTCTGTTCTCACCTCAGTGACTGAAACCCCGCCTCTGCTCAGGGGCCCTCACAGCTGCCACACCACCTCAGAAGCATGGGTACCAGGCCAGGTTGCCCATCATAGGCCCCGCAGGCAGAGCTGGCTCCAGGGTTAGGGTTAGGTGCTCCTCCTCCTTCTCCGCCCCGTGCCCAAGATGTTTCTCAGGCGTCATCTAAGTGTCCTTGTTGCTATGATGATGTGGACATTCAGCAGGCCCATAAATGCCCCTGATTTTAAGGACAGGCCTCTTCCTCTATCTTATAAAACACACCTGCCCTGGTTTTATACGATCCTGGAGGATCCAATGCAGACCCTAGAGGCCTCACTCAGAGCTTTCAAAGGCAATGGAAGGCCCTGAAAACACCAGCTTTCCAAGGAGGTTCGAGTGAGGATGGATTTCCCCGGGGGGAACCCTGGTTCAGTCTCTGTGGCCAGCAGGATGCAGGGCAGCCTCCCAGATTCCTCAGCACACACCTGTGCCCTAGATAAGGCACTGCTGGGGAGTGGTCACTATGATCAGGTCACCTTGGATTAGGGCAATGACAGAGGCAGCCTGACCTCATCTCATGAGCCCGTTACCTCCGGAAATTGAGGTCAGACAGAAAGAGCCTGAAAGTCGAAGCTCAGGAGATGCGACACAAGGGAGGTAGAGAGGACCTGAATTCCACTGCCAGGGTGAACCTTCGAGATGGGACCAACCCTGCTGCCTCTGTGACCTCAGCCTCCTCAGACGCTGAGCAGGACACTGGCCCAGTCAGGTGACCTCTGACCCTCTGAGAGCCGGTGGCCCTTGTCTTGGGTGGCTGCTGGTTTGCACAAATGTGTTGCACGATGGAAAATAGATAAACCTTTAATGCAAACTGGAGCCTTCTGCACAAGCACTGCCTCTTCTCCAGTGGTCTGTGTTGGTATTACACAATTTCCACTTTACCTGAGGATCCTGAGAAACCCAGTTCCAGAGGGATGAGAACAGAACCAGTCTTCCTTGCCCCAAGAGGCTTTGGGCCTTAAATTAGTGGAAAAGAGCTGGTTCTACCCACATACCCAGTCTTTCAAAAACAAGCTTTTAGCAAGCAAGAAACCTCATCCACCCTTGGTCCAGTTACTCAGAAAAGACCAGGTGGCCTCACAGACAGCACAATCAGAGCCCGCATGTGGGACCCTGTAATAACAGTAATTCTGCAGTCACCAACGTACAGGGATGCCTTGAGCCCCAGGTGCACTCAGGCAGCGGGGGTGAGGCCCGAGAAGCCCATCACCCAGGGATAGCACCTGCCCTGCCCACCAGGGCAGACCAGGTGGGGTCCTGCCACAAACCCGGAAACCAGTCTCGCTCCCAAAGGGCGTGGCCATAGCTGCCAGAGCTGGTGGGTGGGGGCCCTAGGCTAGGTCCTGACCCATCCATCCTCCTCCTGTTGTCCCTGCTCCCCAACCCAAGACTTCTACCAGCCAGGGGCACCTGCACCCCAGGCTGACCTCGAAGCCATCGAGGGACCACAGGGCACTGGCGAAGTACACAGCCTCACCAGCCCCCCTCCCCACGATGTCACACACCTGAGGCTTCCCATGCCGGCTTTGTACCTGGAGATCCGAGCCATGGAGAGGGGAACGGACAGGGTGTCCACCCAGTGCTTCTCGTACTTTGGTTCATCCACTGTGGGAGAGGATGGCAAGGACGGCGCCTGTGCAAAACAAACGGGAGTCGGGGTCAGGAACACGGGCAGGAGCCGATGTGAGCAACCCAGGGAGATGGGGAAAATGCGTGAGGAGACTCCTGCAGGAGCAGAGGCTACTGGGTACCAACTGTCAGAGTCTTCCCCCATGCTAAGGGAGGAGGGCCCGAGGAGCAGAAGCCACACACACAGTATTTGAAAAAGAATCACAGCATGGGAGGCCATACCATGGGGACACGCGAGTGGACAAAGCTGGCTTGAAGGTCATCAGCTTAGAGCAGGCACAGGGCCAGGTCATGGGGCAAGATAACGCCACCACATCCTGGAGGACTCCAGGTCCCACGTCACCACTGGCCACTGTGTCCCAGAGGACGCCAGGTCTCAGGTCACATCTGACCACTACATCCTGGAGGGTGCCAGGTCCCAGATCATCACTGGCCAGTGGCAACGACCCTGAGATCCACCCAGCAGGTGCAGCACTATGTGGAAGCCAAGGCACAGGACAGTGCCCTCCTCAAGGTCACTGCAGGGAAGATATCTGGGAAAAAGCCTGAGCCCCAGAACAGGGTGCCCCCAGACAGGACACCCCTGCTTCCCGGACAGCTTCAGGAATGGGCTTCTAGGCAAGAGGACCTTTCACAGTGCCCATTCCAGGTCCTGCAGGGAGGCTGAGGACCTGGCTCACCAGGAGCAGCAGGTGTGGACTCCCCAGCCCCCACATGGACACCCCGAATGGCCGAAAGGCTGAGACAGTGATCTCTCCACTTATAACCTTTGGGTTTCAGGATCATCAAGGTCATGCCCTCCGTGTAAGGTAGAGCCTCTAGACAGGCAGACTGGGGGACCTTTGTTAATGGGGTGAAAGTGGACACATATGTCCTGATGCTGAGTCTTAAACACCTGTGATTCACCACAGAACAGCTAAACCTGACAACATGGTTTGCCTCTGGAGGCAGAGCTCTGGCCGCCTGGACTCACACCGATGGAAATGCAGCACCCTCCTCACAAGGCAGGAGGTGTCAGGTGAGAGCAGAGATACTCAGGGCAGGACACTCAGGGAGGAAGGAGCCTCGGCTGGGGGCCTGGTGAGTTCAGATCCAATGCAGGGCAGGAACTGCACTCGCTTCCCATGAACCACTTGCCTTGATGGCTGCGTCTGCAGAGGCTGCTGCCGACCAGTGTCCTACACAGGGGTGGAGTGACAGGAGTGCCCCAATGACCAGGTGAAAACTCTCCCTCGGGGTCTCCCCTGGCATCTCTATGTGGGGCCCCTGGCCCCCAGAACCTGGTTCTGATGCAGAATGTTGGGCTTCCTCTTGGACCCAAAGCGGAAGCCTCTAGGAGGAGGGAAGGGGGGGGGACAGAAGGCTCTGGGGATCTAGGAGGCCCCTCACTCCCAAGATCTGGGCTCCCCCAGTGGTCTCCAAGCAGGGCTGGGCGGCCTCTAGGCATAGATCCCAAAACAGCACCTGCCTCCCTGGAGGTCACACTGGGGCAAAGAAGCCTCCACCGACCTTGGAGACCACTGTGTGGTCACAGTAGGGCCAGGCAGGCTCCCCCACAACAGACTGGGTGAGTGGGCTATAGGAACACCAAGTCCGGACCCCCACAGCCCCCCACGCTGTGGGAACAGATGGAGGCACCCAGTCATCCCCTCACCTGCATGTTCCTGAGTAAAACCAAGTCCCGTGTGATGAAGAATGCATCCTGCCAAGTGCTAATGATACAGTGGAATTGGATTTGCCACCTTAAGTTCTATCAGAAAGTGTCACACACCAGGAGGCCCCCCGCCAGACCTCTGTCCTACATTTTCAATCAGCTACTGAGCTTTAACAATTATCGTTCAGAAAGTAGAAAATAGGTTTTATTGGTGAAAACAAGAATGTGCTGACAAGAATGATAACTATTAGAAATGTGCTTCTTAAAAGCAAAAAGCCATGCAACATCCATAGATTGGAATCTTTTAGTCTTTTCCTGCCCTAGGAGGCGCAGCGATGATTCCTTAGGCTGAAGTGCTGGGTCCACCTGTGGCAGCCTGAACATTGCCCTCAGAGACCTGGGAAGCCAGATCCTGGTCCCAGAGCCCAGAGATGCTAACCTTGATGGGACAGAAGCCCTGACTGTGTCAGGGATCTTGAGATGGGAGTTTGTCCCAGACCATGTGGTGCTAATTGCCAGTACCTCTGTCTTTCCAAGAGGGGCCAAGGGAGTGGCAGCGAAAACAAGGGGCAGCCCTTGAGGATGGAGGCAGAGATGAGAGAGATGCAGCCGTGGTCAGGGGGCATCCAGGGAGGCAGGAAGGCCCTCACTTTCATCCCAAATGACAAGAGGACATTGCTGTGGTTTTAACCCCTCGAGTTTATGGTAACTTATTACAGTAACCGCAGGAAACCAATCACCAATCCTAAGCTCTGTGTTCCTTGACTGTATGTAGCCTTTGATTCTGAGCCCTGGCTGGAAGCGAGCTCTTTGCAGGCAGTAGAGAGCCTGAGCACAGCCAGGCTCCCTGAGGAGTGGCAGAGCTGGGCCCCCTACGCGTGTTCATTGCGAAAGCTATCACAGGGCCCTGGCTGGGAGAGCACCAAGACCTGCTCAGTGAGCTACTTCCAGCCTCCCCACCACTCTGAGCCCAGAAGCCTGAATCATCCAGCAAGCACCAATGTGCCCATCTGAGCAGGCATCCTCAGGGGCTCTGCTGGCTTGGAGGGTTACTAAGATGACCAGAGGGAAGTCACAATGACACAGTGCTGGCACGGCATGAAGATGTGTGGCAATGGAGCTGCTGTTCCTGCTGCTTTGTAAGACCTCTCTGATTCTTCTGCATGGTGCCCTCCCTGCATCCACATCCCAGGAATTTACACAGAAAGCCTCTCACCAAACTGGGGCACAGGGAGGCTGGACACTGAAGTCCCCACCTAGACAACAACAAAGACAGAGGAGTGGCTTGCTTGACCCCCCAGAGCCCTGTGTTTGAATTACTAATGCACAGCCCACAGCCCAACAGCCAAGGGGCAGTGACGTAACATTTAACACTGATTCATCCTCATCCCGTACGCTTTGCCATTGGGGTCCAACCTCCAGGAAGCTTATGCTTTGGGGCACCCATGAGCAGCGCCTTGAAGAACCTGCAGATGCACCATTCACTACAAATTTCACACCAGCTTTGCCAAAACACACATTTATCTTCACAGGCTGCTGCAACCAGCATAAGAATTCATCACGACTTACTGCAGACTGTGGCCTGGTTCTGGTTATCATTCAAACCCCAGTAAATGCATTTACAGTACTGCATTCCTGGAGAAGGTCTTCTCATCCTTAATGCTTCTGTGTGCTCTGCTGAGTACTCTGTACCACCTGTCACTGGGGCTAACACACTAGCTAAAATATGCTCTCACTTTTCAGATTAGAGTACTCAAAGATACCACTTAGGATTCCACAGTGGAACCCAGTATCCAATATACAGTATTTCAGTGCACCCTGGGATTGATAGAACCTCTTCTGGGTGTGTCTGGGGGGTTTGTGGAGGTGTGACGCCCGGCCCCTTCCTTTCTGGTGCTGCTCTGCTTCCTGGCCATCATGAACTAAGCAGTTTGTTCTACCACATCCATTCACCAAGATGTTCCTGTCTTGGAGCCAGGACTAAATCCCCTGAAACCATGAGTCAAACTAAATCTGTCCTTCTGTACAATGAGTGTCATATACTGAGACCCAGCAGTAGAAAAGCTGACTGGTAACAGCCACAACCCTCTCATCCTTCAAAGGCCTGCTCCAGCCCCTCGGTCCACTCTCACCCAAGCAGGTGAGGGACCCGGGCACTTTCCTGGAACACACTGTCATGGTCAGTACAGAGCACCAAGCTGGATTCTCCATCCTCAGCAGAACCTCCCAAGGCAGAGAAGAGCAGAGCTGGATGGTGAAGGGTAGAGACCCATTCCTGCACCACAGCCAGGGGTACCCTGGCTTCCAAGAGCTGCCACCTGGTCAGCACCAGATCTGACTGCAGGTTTCCCTCCAAGCAGTGCATTCCGTGTCCAGGGTGACACAGGCTGACAGCCTGCATGCCCCCGGCCTCAGTGACTGTGTGCCTGGACACTTCCGGTCAGAGGAGCAGGGGCTCCAGGCCTGGTGCTGAGGCTGCATTGGAGGTCACCTCGGGAGGACCTGCTCCTGAGCCCAGGCACCAGTATCCACCCTGCCCCTGAGATGCCACACTTTGTCACCCAGAATTCTACAGCTGCAGAGTAATACCAGTACCCACTGTGGTCGGTGCCATAGTGGCTTTTATTAACAGGGAACAAACCCAGCCTCAGGAGTGAGGTCATCCCTTAGCAGATCACAAGCACAGTAAGAATTCTCTGAGGATGACAATGTTCAGAGACGGGCAAGAGTATTCCTAAATGGTCTTCACCTGACCAAAGTGCAGGGCTAAAACAGCTGTGATGGCCAAACCAGGGACCACACTAGCTTGACCTTTAGTTAAGAGCCCTCGGAATTTTCTAAACTACCAAGAAGATTATGGGTCAACACTTCTAGGGCTTAAAAAAATACATGGGTCTCTAAAAATCACATATTTCAGAAATTCAAAATGGCTTAAATAACTATCTGCAGAACAGTTTTAGTCATTTATCAGTGCTTGCTACATGGAAAAAAGCACCTAAAAAGCAAAGATGAAAAACGAGTTACATATTAAAGCATCCAACATCCTTTTTCCTATGGTTGAGCCTAAATTGTGCTATGGTTAAACAAACCAGGTTAATAAGCACTAATAAAATATACCTTTTAAAAGACTAACTATTGACATGAGTCATGAATTCTTGGACATTACTTTTCGAAGTATAACTCACATACAAGCCAAACAATTTCTAAGGATCAAGAACTCTGTTAAACAGCTCAGGTGAAGCAATGATTTTAAGTTTACACTGCATAAACGCAGATGTTTTTCCCGGGCTCTGCCTGCAGCTGGGTGAGGGGTCAATCACTGGTCTGACTGGCTAGGATTAACAGCAAAGCTCTTTCTGAACTGTGGAGAGGATGCTAAAATCCTCTTCATGCACTAGGGCTCTGGGGGTAATGATCCTTTCGCTGAGAGGGGGGCTGGTCTCACCATCGGAGTTTTATAGAAATCCTCTAAAAATCACCTTGGCATTTCCTGCATGCAAGGCTACACTGAACAGGGGCTTGGAATTTGGCCTTGGACTAAGGGTCACGCCTGCGTGTGGAGCCATAACGCATGGCTGGCCGCAAGCCCCACCACGAGCACCCTTTGGGGTAGGACTTTTGGCAAGTCCGGGTCAATGGAGCAGCATCTAACTAATCCACTCAGGATTCCCAAGCCAGTCAGGGACACCCTCGAGTGTCACTGAGAATGCACATACTTACTGCGTGGCTGCAGTGTCCGTTCAGATGCAGGCCGCTATCAAACAGGGGTGAAGACGCCCTGCTGCTGTGGCTGCTGGATGGTGCTGGGGACCCTGTGAGGAAATGAGAGGTGTTGGCAGCTTGTATATGAGTCACTGCTGACTTTGCCATGACCACCTATGGGGCTCCTAAGCACAAGGAACGCCATTACCTAGCGTGGGGTCACCCTGAGGACACCTGTGGCACTGTGGGCTGAGCTTCCAACAGGGTCTTCCAGCCATGTGGAGACCAGGCCTGGTCCACAGTGAAAGGCGCATCATGTGGGAGGAAACAGCCCTTCCCAGAGCCCTGCACTTGTGTCCTGCCATGCTTTGGTCACCATGCCTAGCAGGGCTCTTCCATGATGGGTTATTCGCAGACTCAGAAAACCTCCGGGTCCTTCTGCTGTGAGTGGAGACAATGCCCACAAGGGACTCATGGAGTTTCCCCAGAGCCCACAGCAAGAGGTTCCCATCTGTAGGCAAAGTGGGCTCTGCGAGCATCATTTCCCTGCAAACTCCAGGCTGCCACCAGAGCTGCCCAGCTCTGCTAGGCTTAGGTTAAAACCACGATGCTTCATGGCAACCCTGAGTTATCACAGGACACAAAGGGTTCCTGCCATTCCCAAGGCCCCAAGGGCAGTGCCCCCAATCATCTTCTCTCTGGCATCATCAACTGAGTGCTCTCCACGTCACTCAGCACCTGGCGCCTTCACATTTGTTCAAATGCAGCACAATCACAAATAACCAAGCACAGAGGGTGAGACAGGGATGAGGTCCCACAGAAAGAGAAAGCACTGAGGTGCAGTCACAGTGCCAACCCTGCCCGGCCCCTGCAAGGGGTCCTCTGAGCTGCAGACTTTGTCACCAGCAGGCCATGAATCATGACAGCGCCAGGGCCTGTGGCAGAGCAGCAGGGCCAGACCTTACCTCCACGCCTTGCAGGGCTGAGATAGGTGAGATTGCAGGGCACAGTCTGCCAGGCCACACTGTCCTTGTGCTGCCCTCCAGGGATGCAGTTGGGGACAAGAGGACTCAACAGACCCCACTCTCCTCGGCTCCTCCTCTGCACAGGATGGCCATTGGCTGCCTCCCACCATGTGCTGCCCCTGAGCACTGACATCTCTGCAACACTTTGCCAAGTCCCGAGGATAAAAGAAGCTCTGAACAGGGGTGGGGCCTCCGGGGAGAAAGAGCCTACTGATCAGCAGCATTCAAGACAGCTGAGGCTCCCCTCTCTGCCCCTGGATTGTTATGAATGCATCCTGTTGGATGCCCAGCATGACGCCCAGTCAACCCAGGTCCCCGTGACCTCCAGGACAGAGCACTGTTTTAGAAACAGCACCCTCTCTGCTCTTCCAGCACTGCAGGGGTCCTCTACCTCTACTTGCTCTGGCCAGCACCTGCTGTTCGTGTGTCTGTAATCAGATTATCACCAACTTGAGAGCAAGATCCCAACATTTTTAACAGCCTGCATTTTCCTCTCAAAAACTCCCTGGGGTGACAGACTCCAAGCTCAAGGAGACATGTGACTTACAAAGGGAACTGTCTCAGGTACTCTTCTCTTGTTGCTGAGACAAAATACTGATACCCAAAGTCAAAGGGGGACAAGTCCATTTAGTACACGGCTTGTAGAGGTTTCAGCTCATAATCGGCTGGCTGCAAGGCAGCAGCGGGGCAGAGAAGCAGCTCACGGTGGCCGAGGTCAGCAGAAGCAACCAGGAAGGGAGAAGATGAGCCTTTCTCTCTCCCTGACATCGTGTCTGGGCTACCAGGATGAGTGTGCTGCCAAACCAATCAGCGGACCAATTTAGGAACCCAGCATCACACACTCTAAATCGCAACAGCCCCACCTATGACCACTTTGTGGAGATACCTAAACCCAAACCAGAGGGATGGAGAACAGGTGAATACGTTTGAACTTTCAGACACAGGTACTACACTTTGATTCATTTCTTACTGATGAATGGGTAACTTTTAATCTATACCTCAAAAGGGAAATTTGACCAGTTACAATATCTCTGATTTAACCCGGGTGTGGTGGCACATACCTATGATCCTGCCACTCCAGGAGGCTAAAGTGGCAAGATTACAAATTCAAACCCACTCTGGGCAATTTAGTGAGTTAGCAGGATCCTGTCTCATAGAAAAGTAAAATAAGATAAAAGAGCTGGGAGTGCAGTTCCATGTGAAGGCTCTGAGTTCCAGTCCTAGTGATTATAAAGATAGGAATGGCACGCACAGGCACGGGCTTCTCCTGCTGTGCAGCAGTGACACTCAGTGCACAGAAAAGCACTGGACCCCGAGACAGCAGAGGCCCTGTGCAAAGCGAGCTGTGGGCCACACCATACGGGAGCTGTGCCTTCACAAAAAGACCGAGAATCCGAGTTAAGGGAGATGATGTCTGGCGACACGGGCTGGATCTCGAGAGTTCTCTGAGTTCCCTTTAATCTGATTCCTTAAATGCAGGGCTGGATGCAGTGTGCATGAATCTGTCATGAGATCCCCTCCATCGCCAGTTCTGCTTCTGGACAGACACCGGGTCAGGCAGGGAGGTGACCCAGTGCATGGAGTCCAGTTGGGCAGAAGCAGTCTTACCTTTTGGGTATGCACTTCACCTGAATCTTAGGAAAGAATACAGCAGTGCTCTCTGTCTCTATCTCTCCTTCTCCCTGTGTGTGTTTTATGTGTGTGTCCGTGTGTGTGCACACACGCACGTGTATATGTATGTGTTGAGAAATGGCCTCACTATATGGTTTAGGCTGGACTTGAACTCACCATGTAGACCAGGCTGGCCTTCAACTTACTGAAATCCTCCTGCCTCAGCCTCCTGGGCTGTTTAAATGTTTTTAGATGCTAAGACTAACACACTATCTTAGAGGACAAACCACACAAAAGGAGAAGTATTTCTTGAGTTCCAGGAGGAACTCCAGCACATGTGGTCTGCTCTCCAGCCATACTGGCCACCCTCAGCCTGCAAGCCTGGTTGCCCCGAGAACCTGCAGTGCTGCTGCCAGCCGAGCTGTCAGGGAGACACAGCTGGGGGAGCCTCGCTCCACACAGGACATCACGAGTAGCTCCAGGGTTACCCACTCCCCAGCAATGGTGGCAGCCCAGGACCCCCACTGGACTCTCAGGGCACTGCACACCTGCCTGAGGACCACAGGGCCGACCCAGTAATCATGAGCCCCTGTAACCTGGCAGCTTCTGCTGTGACCTTAACCCTAAGTTCCGGGTTCTGAGGCTGATGGCCCTGGGAACCTCACCATCTCCCTGTGCCCTGGGAGTCCCTGACTGCAAGAGAAGGTACAGTGGCCCAAGTGAGCATCCCTGGTCTGCCTGGCACAGACACCAGGGCACACATGGGCATGGCCTCTGGGGCTCACTGAGTAGACAGGACTTCTGGGAGATGCGAGATATGAGTGTGAGTTGGAGCCTGCCCCACATGCCCTGCAATGGGGCACACTTGGAAAGGGACCTAGCACCTTGCCACAGCCTTTCCTGGACACAGCCTCGAAGCCTGGCAGCAGTAGGACATGGCCAGTACCCCATGGGCAGAGTCTCCACTGTCCAGGTCATTTGGTCCAATCCCCAGAGGCGCCCCAGTCCCACCGCCCAGCAGTGTTCCAGGTGTCTGGGTCATAGGTGTGGCTAGAAGTGAGAAGAAAATTCAAAAAGCCACCTCTGAACCATGAGCTGAACTGGACCTGTCCTTCTTGCATGAACTGCTGTTTCTCCTTGGTGTCCTTCCTGAGGCAGAAAAAAAGCAGACACTGTTCCTTCTTCACCACCAGCTTGTCCCCAGGGCCACAGGTGACAGCTTTGGCTTATCCCCACATCTCCTTCAGCCTCGAATACTTGTCCTGCTCACCGCTGGACCCCCACTTCCAGCCAGCAGTGCTCAGCCATGACCTTTGCTAGCCTTGAGGCCCATAGGACCCTGGCCTTGAGGCAAGGGTCTGAAGTGATTTCGGTGATTACTTGTTCTCATCTGCCCTCCTTTCTTTCAGTCTGTTACATCTCTGTCTGTCTCCATCTCTCTCTATTGAAATCTCCGAAACACCTTGGTTTCCTCCTCTGGCCTGCATGGTTGACTGCACTCAGAATACTGAAGCCCCCATCTCCCGCTCTATCCCACTCAGCGCATTGGATGCAGGAGAAGCCATGGCTCAGGCATGTTAGTCCCACAGGGTGCAGCTCCCTGGTGGCCCTCGAGCATGTCCCCATGGCCTCCTGCCATCTCATCACTGCTCCCGGATTCCCAGCATCTGCAAACTCCAGAATGCTCCAGTCCTTGTGTCCCGTGGTCTGCACCATCTGCAACACTTCCCAGCCTGTCAGATCTATGCAGTGTCTCTGCACACCTTCGCACAGGGCCCTTGTTCTGTCTCTTGAGCCCCTGGGACCCCTGCTGCAGTGCTGAGGCCTGGTTCTCACAAGTAGCCATGTTGATCTCAGCCCTGTGTGCGCATAGCTGCTTTGTTAAACAAGGTCACCCCTCCTGGTCTCCTGAAGGCGGCTCACTCCACACAAATGGGACACAGTGAGGGAGGGCTGGAGCCCCACAGCCCTGCCATGGGCTCTGAGCCTGCAGTCAGAACAGCCCTGAGAGCAATGGCAGGTGAGGAAGGAGGAGGTGACAAGAGAGGACAACGAGAGGAGACGGGGTAGGAGCAGGGCTCTGAGGTGGGGAGGAAGGACAGGGTCAGTGACCACCAGCTGCATGCTGGGCTTTCAGGATCAGGGTGCCCACAGGGGACAGGGCCACACACCAGCCCTGAGGGAGGGTGCCGCCTGGGCCAATTCACAAAAGCAGGGAAGTAAGGGGCTGAGTGAGGTCCCAGGGCTGTGTGTGCCAAGCAGCTCCCCACCATGACTTCACCTGTCATGCTGGCCTACCCAGGGCGCCAGGCCCACAAGTCCGTAGCCTGGCTTCACTGTCACTTCCATCTCCGGGTCTAGGTAGCTCCTGGGCCAACCTGGGTGTTTGCATCCCTGCCTGCACACACAGGGATGTGTGTGCAGGTGTGTGTGTCTGAGAGAGTACCATCTGAGAGTAGCAGAGTCGCCAGGTCGCACTAGCAGCCCCTGAAACCATCTCCAGAAGTGGCGTCCACCCACTCGTGCCTGGCCCACTCCAATCGTTCCTGCCCACTTACCTAGTGGGAGCCTTAGAAACGCCGGCGCCCCCCTAAGGTACTCCACAGTGATAGTGACTTCGTCCCCAGCATTTCTCAGGAGATGTACCTGCCTCGGGACAAGCAGCATGATAAACATGGCAGAGGACCAGGCTGAGAAGTAAACAAATCCCTCCAGACCCCTCTCCCCTTTCCAAGAGTGGTTCAGTGTTTCCCCAGAACACTGAGAGTCCCCAGGACTAGGCTGGGCTGAGACGGAGGCCGCACACCTCCAAAGCTTGATGCAGGGGGAACCGGAGCCAGGTCACTCTGCATGACTGTCAAGCACAGGTCCTGCTGAGTTGTCACCCCCAAGCACAGCATATGCTCACATGCTGGTGTGAGCCAGGAGGCTGCACAGAGAGAGCACCAGCCAGTTCTCTGGCACTGGGGTGACCCCCTGGGGACATGCTGAGCCAAGTGCCCCAGCACTGCAGTGCCTTCTAATGCAAAGTGGGGTAGCGCATGTGCCTTCCACAGGTGTGTGGCCAGACAGGGAGCCCTGTCTGCAGAGTGACACACAGCAGCCAGAGGTCCCTGCAGTGTGACTTCCCAGGGTTTCACGCTTCCTCCTCCATCGCTGAGACTGGGAGGACACTCAGAAAGTGTCAACACATAGCAAACAACAATGAGAACAGAAACAATCTAACAAGAAAGAAAACTGTAACATGCGAGACTCACCACTTCCTCGTGGGTTGCGTGTTCCACGTGAATGCCGTTAACCTGGTGGATGGCAAATGCAGAGTGTTGAGCATAGCAATCGATGGAGACAAGTTTAAAACACAATGCAGCAAAGTGGAGACCGGAAGTCTAACGCACTGACCTGCAGGACAGCGTCTCCTACGAACAACATCCCTGAGCGGTCAGCTAGGGGATGGAAAGGCAGCAGAACAGTTAAGCAGCACCACACTCGGTCATAGCAGAGGCCTCAGGCTGTCACAACTGACACAATGAACACGCGATCATGAGTGTGTGCTTATAGGTCTGTGCAGGTGTGTGTGTGCTTGTGTGTACACTGAGGAGCAGGTGCACTGGAGGTGGAGGTATACATGCACATGTATGTTCATGTCCAGAGGGGCCTGTGTGGGGATGGGTATGAGCCCGAGGGTGTTGGTGCAAGTGTGCACAGCTTTGCATGTACACGTGTGTGTATGCATGTGGATGATGATATGTGAGTGCTTGCGTGTGTGCATGTATGTGTGTGGAGTCCATGTGGATGTGTATGCCTGGAATGCACACACGTGTGTGTGTGTGTGTGTGTGTGTGTGTGTGTGAAACACAACACAAAGCAGTAGCGGCTGTGCAAAGCCACAGGGCCCCTGTGGGGAGCATGTTAAGACAGCCCCTTTCCAGACCCGATACACCAAGGCACACGTGTCACCGCCTCCTAAAGGGCTTCCTCACATTAATGGAAAGTCTGGTTCACACTTTTCAACCGACACAGTAAAAAAGGACCCCAAAAGCCCCTTAGCATATCCTCCCCATTCTCTTTAACCAGCATGCAGCCTGCTTAGATTCAGGAGTGTTCCTGGGCGTAACAAAGGCAAAGAGCCTTGCACAGTCAAGCAAATGTGATCTCCCGGTCCTCTGCCACTTCCCATCCTTTCCCCCTGTCACGGGGCCAGAGAGCCCCTTGCAACATGACTGAGCAAATTTCCCCCCATTTTTCCTTTACACAGGTTTAATTTTATAGGTCTTTGGTTAAATATTGGGAAACGTGTAATACTCTTAACACTGGAATACTCTTTAAAACATAAGATTTTTTAAAGAGTTCATGTCAATTGTCAATATCATCTCTAGTCACTGACAGCATCGAGATACAGTGAGAATAAAACAGCCCCACGATGAAGGCGCTGCTGTTGAGTAGCCTGGAAGAGGTTTTCATCCATTCTGCAAGCGCCCCTGACCAATCAGTGGCCACCCGTCTCCCTGGACTTCATTATGTAGGTGCAAGGATATTGTCTCATCTATCCTCACTGCTCCCCTATCTGTCCCCGCCTCCTCCGCCTCCCGACTCTGGTCCCTGCTTCTCACTGCCTTTATCTGTGTCACCCGAGTTCCCGCGACCCCACCCTGAATGTCCATTGGAGGAAATCTTGCTCGATGGGAAAGCATTACCAGCTACGGAAAAGCCTCCGGAGGGGCGCTATTCCTCCCTCCCTTCCTTCCTACCTTCCTTCCTTTCTTCCTTTTGTCTTTTGTCTTTTTTGAGACAGGAAGGGAGGAAGAAAGAACGAACTTGGAAAAGAAGGACTATTAGGGGGTCGAGGAGGGGAAGGAAGGGGTTGGTGGATGACGACCAGAGCACACGCATGGCGTGCGTGGCAATGCCACCGCGAATCCCTTCAGATCTGGATTCTTTGGGGTGCGGAAATCTGAGTTTCCCAACCTCACCCGTCAAAGACACTGGTCCTGTCTCACATCCGCTCCTATAACCTGCTCAGAAATTAGTTGGATGCCTGAGTTTGGGTTTACTTCTGTGTTTCTTCTGTTATTTCACTGGTCTATTTTACACCGGTACAAAACGGTATTGATGGCTGTAGCTTTGTAACACAGGTTTACTTTCCCCTCCTCTCCACCCTCTTTCTCTAGGTCCTCTGCCCTTCTACAGAAGATCTGTCTCCGTTTCATATGATCCTTTACTTTGATCTTAGATTTACTGACACTTTGGGTTTCTCACATATAAGTGAAATCATGTGATATTTAAGTTGTGGGTCTGATTTATTTCACATATCAGTGTGGTCTCCAGGTGCATCTATTTTTCTACAAATAACTCGTTTATCCTTTCTGGCAGCCTAGTAGTCTACTGCATGTAAATGACACATTTTTATTCATTTGTTTGTCAATGACCATATTGGAAAGACTTAAGGCATTATGTACAGTGATACATGCACACCTGTCTCAACAGCAGGTAGAGTGACAAACATGACGACCCAGGCCTAGCCACCAGGGTGTCCCACCCCAGACAGAGCTTGCCACGCCTGTCCATTTGAAGGGGGGCAGAGGCCTCAGTCTCAGGAAAGGAAGGGCTGAGTCCCAAGTTCAGGGAGAGCGCGAGTGATTGCCACTGCCCAGGGTGACTTTATTCCCCACATGTCTCAGACGGGCCTGGTTGGGGTCTGGGTAGAGAGTCAGAAGGCAGAAGACACATGAGCATTTGTGCCTTGGGATGGAAGTGCGGGACAGGATGAGCCCCATGGGAGCAGGGAGCACAGGTCCTGAGGGTGCAGAGTCAGAGGGAGGCCGTGCTGAACACATCCAAGTAGCTGAGACTCCTGTTCAAGGTCCACAGTGCCCTCTGACGGCCAAGGTGGGCAGGGCAGCAGGTGCCGTGGTCACAGTAGACCTGACCCACTGGGTCACTGCCCAGCCTTGAATGGGGGAAGCAGAAGGTTCTGTATCACCCACTCCACACTCTGATCCCTCTGGCCCTGCTGAGTCCCTCGCCTCAGCTTCCCAGGTGTGCAGGGTGCCATGGGCCACTCCAGCCCCTCCAAACACCCAGCCTCATGTGCTCCTGTCCTTTCCACGCATGAGGCCCTCTTGACTATGCATCACCCCACAGGGAAAACAAATCTTCCTTCAGAATTGAACAGAAAATTCTTCATGGATTTTCACCGGTTGGCTAATCTGACTCCCTTGTTCTCTGGTCTTTTTGTTTTCTTTGAGACTAAATTCATATTCCCAAATAAAAACATGAGATGGTAATGAAAAAGGACTGAGAATGTTCACACAGAAGACCTACAGAAATGGACACACTTGGGACCTGTCTCTCTCATTATTAACCAGCCAAGTAGAAGCCTTACAGAGCCATGGGTGAAATTAAACAGGGGTAATGCAAGACCAGGCTGATTCACGAGCTTATTCACAGAATTTCACTTCAAATGCACAAGAGCCCAGAGCTTCTGCCAAGCTCGTCACTTATACATTTATAACCCTTGAGGTGCAACAAGAAATCGTTAGTCTGGTGTACAAGGCTTTAAAAACCTCAGAAAAGATGATCATTTGATTCAGGAACCTGCAAAGCTCTTTTTCCTGCGACCTGGTTCCAACTGAAACTCTATTTTCGTACAAAATGAATTTTTTGTGGTCCTAAGAGAAGAAAAGCTAAGGTATGCCCTGCACTCCTGTCTGTCCTGACCTGTGTGGACAGGGTGGGTCTCCCCAGGAAGACACCCTCCTGCCCTGGAGCCAGCAGCCCTATTAGGGGTTCCCTGACCCTCAGTCCTCAGTTAAATACAATTCTGTCTCCTGAAAGCAGGTTTTGTAACTTTGCTCCAAAAGGAGGAAAGTGTATTATTGTACTTGCTCATATATGTGGTTCTGTGAAAGTGGAGATTCACATAGATATAAATGTCATTGTGAAATGTTTTTCCAAAACCTCTCCTTTCCCCGACAAACACACTCAGCTGCTGTGGGATTCCTGCCCCACTGGGAAATTCACCTTCCATGCTCAAACATTGCTATAGTAAAGTGCTGTTCCCTCTTCTGTGACTTTAGCCAAGCTGGGGCTGGCTCTGGGGAGACACACTTCCAGTGTTAGCCCTTCTCCACCCCTGGGACACAATACTTAACACCACAGTTTAAAGGAGCAGAGGTACAATTTGGCTCACAGTTTCAGAGGACTCAGTCCAAGGTCAGCTACTCCAAGGGTGGAACACCATGGCGGAAGGGAACAGGGGTCAGCGCCAGAGTCACCCCTGCATGACCACAGACACACTGGGGAGCAGGAGCTGCTAATAATCCCAGATTGACTCCCAAGTCAATCAAGTCACCACAAGGAAGCAGAACCACCACATGTGCTGACCCCGTCAGCAGTTCCCCTAGACTTCAGCAGGCTGGGCAAACAGGATGTCCCCTAACAGGGAATCCCTGGTCCTGCCACAGCTTGATGGGGTGGCAGGGCATTCTCTCTGCATGTCAGCTTCAAAGTTTGGGTGAAATCAGGTGGAGGGAATAAGAAAGTTCTTAGTCTTCACCCCAAACCTGCCCATCCCGACAGAGGTGGAGGCCACGTGGTGGGGAGTTGGCTGTGGCTGGTCCCCCTCACCCCTCATTCTTCTGCTCAGGGTGTACAGGCTCACGGAGCCCCTCCCTCCTCCAGTTGCCCTTGACACTTCCTTCTGCAGCTCAGACTACCAGCAGCCCCAGGCTGCCAGATCCTTCACCTGAGCCTACCAGTCCAGAGAAGCCGGGCACACAGAGCAGCTGGCCAGCTGGACCAGTCACCTGGTGCCCCTGGGCTTTCATACCAGAGACTTTTGTAGGCACCATCAATTGATTCTTTGTCTCTATTCTATTTTCTCCAATTTTTAACAGACCTTAAGAAACTCAGTGTTCAAACTCGGAGTTATCAATCTACTCAAAGGAGGCCTTGGTACTCCAAGGGTGACTTAGTACCTCTGTCAAGGGATGGACAGATTAGCAGCAATGACAAAGGCAGCACATGCATGGGACAGAAGGCGTCCTCTCAAACAACACCCAGTTACGAAATTGAAAAGCTGTTCCAATGCTGAAGTGAAATGCTCATTTGTTAGCTGGAACGCTTTAGAGCTGCAAAGCACATACAGGTCGCTGTGGTGACTTTTACCTGCTCGGTCTTTGAATATTTTTGAAATGACAACAGGAACACAGTGCTCAGCACCTCCCTGGAAGACAGAAACAGCAGAAGAAAATTGTTAACCTGCCCTGCACTCTCCAGGTGTGCAAAAAGAGGTTCGGGTAAGGGAAAAATACCCCCTACCTTTATGCTGAGGCCCAGGCCACCCACGGGCTGTCTGCGGAGTGTCACAGTTCTGTGCTTTAAAGAAGTTTAGAAAACAAAAGAAGTTTAGGTTAAAATGCATGGTCAGAAAGTAGATGCAAGCTGTACGTGGAAACCTCTTAACCAAAACAGTCTTTAATGTGTCTTTCCAAATGGCCTCGGCACTATTCCTAATCCTCAGATGGGGTGCAGAACGCAGGGAAACTGAGATGAAAGAAATGTACCCCTATGTCGTACATTACCAGGAACCCACAAAAAGTTCCCCAGAGTGGGCGTCATTCCCGGCTTAGCCATGAGGACAGAACCCCAAGAGAAATGACCGGGCCTGGCTTTCCAAAACACTAAAGACGGAAGCCTCGAGCTGCACTCAACTGCGTTTCTTGGTTTCTCTTACATGAGAAACCTAGAACAGAAATAAACACGAGCGTTCAGCTCGGAAGAGGCGGTGGGAACAGCGGGCAGACGGGGTGGAGTGAGAAGAAGCCCAGGGCAGGGGGAAGAGGAGAGGGAGGTGGGGAACTGGGGTGGGGGGACCAGTACGGCTGCTGTAGCCTTGTACCAAGCTCCCCAAAGGAAGGCAGCTACAGGGAACTGCAGACATACGCAGAAACGAAAAGAAGGAAATCCAATACAACAAGTCTCTTCCCACTGATTCCCAATAGGGTCCTTCTCCATCCTAGCTTCTGCTATGTTTACACCCATTTTTAAGTCACCAGTATGAGAGGGAGAGAGAGAGGCTTCTTCATGTCCTCTGATCACAGCAGACAACAAAAGCCAATAGCAGGCAAGATTGGCAAGGCTCTCGAATCTGGAATCAAGCTCAGGGACTCTGCTGAGTACCTGGGACCACAGGCTTCACTGAGCAGCTCAGTGAACAGCACCTTTGCCTTTAAGGAACCCTGTTATTCAGGGAAGGCAAGGACCCGGGCCTGGCTGTGTGCCTCCCTCAGCCCCAGCAGCCACCAAGGAGGTCAAGTGTGGTCTTAGGAAGGGACACAAAGCACATGCAGTGGAGACCAGCCAAATGGAGCATGTCCACCCACCCCGACATGCGTGCAGGGGAGCATGTACATGGCCTCCTGGCTGGACATGCGGCAGCTTCAGCACATGGCACGTTTGATGGTGCAGTACTCTCTGTGACCACACACAGAGCATGGGCACCTGCTGGGCTCCCGCCCAGGAGGAACTGTTCACACTGCCTTCTAGACTGTGGGCCTCAGAAGGCCACCTGTGGCTACCATGGTCTTACCCGTAGGCCTGTGCTCCCTGTGCCTCTACTGGACACACGTGGTATTTACTTGAAGGGCAAAAAATATCACTGGGCCCACCATGGCAGGGACAGCAGCAGCATGCAGGACTTCAAACTCGTTCCTCATCAAATTATTCATGACAAGTGATACGTAAAAACAATGGAATACTACTGAGCCTTTAAAAAAAGGCTGGCCTCCTGGGTGAACCTGGAGGACATTACGGCAAGTGAGGTGAACCAGACACAGAAAGAAACACTGTGTCCTCTCACGGGGACCTGACATTTGAAAGAGGGCCTCATAGGAGCAAAGAGCACAGTAGGGGTAGCACTGGGGTTGGGTGAGGAGGTGGCAATGTTGTCTGGGTGCAAAATGTTCATTCGGCTGGATAGGTTTTGGTTTTGCAGTGATGACGGTGCAATGCCAATCACTAACAATACTGCACTATATGTTTGGCATTCGCTGAGACAGCAGGTCTCAAAAGACCACAGGCGCTGCAGAAACTACGCTGGGTGAAGGATGCGTTGATCAGCTCGACGTTGGTCATCGCTTCACAGTAGCTGCCCGTGTCACATCACCACACCATGTGCCTTAAACACACACAGTGTTTATTTGCAGCTGCGCCTCAATAAAGCAGAGAGTACCCACCCTGTGGGCAGAGTGTCCCAAGCCACCCTCGGTGGGGAAGGGAGGTGTTCCTTGCAGCACAAGCGGGGTACTTCTCTCCTAAAATATGGAAACTCAACATTCACAGTGAGCATGAACAGGCAAAAGACAACACTGAGGTCAGTCATTCACACCGCCCTCCCCCAGATAAACTCTAACTCCCCGATGTCAAGGGACACCTAGGGGATGAGGTAAAGGAACCAAAGGAACCGACCTGCTCCTTCTCCTGGTGTCACTGGTCACATGACCTGTGCTTCTAAGACAGCCTCCTCCCTTCTCCTTCCTTTCCCCTTCCCTGCCCCTCTTGCCCTGCTTCTCTGCCTTCCCTTTCCCTGTCCATCTTCTCCCCCTTCTCTCCCCTTCTCCCTGTCCGTCTCCCTCTCTGTCTCTCTGCCTCTGCACATTGGGAAACACCAGGTTTCATAAAGCATCAAAGTGCTTAGTCTCCTCTAAGGGAAGCCACTGTTTTCCAAACCCTCATCCAAGCATCCAGCATCTACTGTTTTGGAGCTGGACAGGAGGCTGAGCCAGCCCAGGCCTTCATGCTTTCACAAATGAGCATCCAGTGACTGTTAAGGCTCTGAAATGATTCTGACATGAGAGCCTCTCAGGTCGGTGGACAGTGAGACCTCACGAAGGAACCCAAGCTTCCAAGGGTTCCCCCTGAAACTGTGCATGCCGAAGCAGGGCTGGCATCCATCCCCCTCCTGCTGAGCTGGCGTCTACCCTCTTATTTCATGGTCTCTGCAGTGTGCGGGAGAGTCACTGAGACAGAGATGAACGAGGGAAAAGGCATCTCTGGTTGAGCCCCACAGTTCCAGGTCACGACTAGGTGCCAGCCTTTGGAGTCAGGAGCCATGAGCTTCAAGGCCGGATGCAGGACGGGCAGAGGCCTGGCCATGGCCAGGTCCCCACGATGTCCCATCTGGGTGCCCACCTAGCACACACAGCCTGGTCACTCCACACATCCAAAGCCTCAGTGGCCAATCCAAGGAGAGAAAAAGGGCCCTGCAGAACCATGCAGGACACTGCAGAATCCACGCTCATTGTCAGTCAGGTTTTCCAAATTCAATTCTTTTTTCACCAACAAATGAGATAAAGTCTTTCTGAAAATACTCTGCATTTTAGCACTCAATCCAAAACTGTGCTCTGATACCTCACCTAAGCTTGTATCTTGGAAGCATCACGACAGTGATAGGACCCAGCTCTCTCCACACTGACTCCTGGCTGCCAGAGCTTTGAGATGGGGCTGTTTCCTGTAATATGGGCGGAGGCTGGACCTCTTGTCCTGCTCCTCTGCAGCACTGCCCATCAGTGCTGGGGGGGTTGTGTGGCATGCACTCCTCCCCTCCGAACTCGGTGCAGAACTGAAATTTGTTACCACTGCCGGGTTTAAATTCTGCACTTTCCAGACAGATTTCAGTCAACTCAGGCCTGCTGTTGTGACATTAGGCCACCAGGCCCTGCCCCCACTTCTATTGTTTGAGCTTTTTCATAGTCTGAAAAAAACTCTCATGAAGCATAGTAGTTTATAGACTCTTACAAAAGCATCACGGATTTCTCTTCCCTAGTGCCACCCTTCTCTGGGATTCCGGACAAGTTCAGGGACAAGCAGCCACACCTGCAGCTGGGGATTGGACCCCAGAGCTAGGGACGGGAACCTCAAAGGCTGGTGAGGTGCAACAGACAGGACACCCAGAATCACACAGCATGGGCCAGACGAGGCTGGACATGGCAGAGAGCACAGGGCTCCTACAGCCTCCTGGAGCCTCAGGGGACCCGAGACAGCTCAGGGGCCACTGTGGGTTGTGCACACGGCTGGGGTGAAAGGGGAGAACAGACTGGGCTGGAGCACGGGGCAGCTAGTCCCCAAGGGCAGCGCTCTGTGCTATGCTCCAGGACCCTGGGGACTTTCTTGAGACTGCACGAGCTCCAACCCTGGGCCTCCCATCCTCTCACTCCCAAGGTGAAAATGGGAGACAAGGAAAACAATAAGTCAGGGTCTCCGGAGCAAAGTTCCCAAAGCAGACAAATCTGGACTTGGAACCAGAAGGGATGACTTCACAAACACTTCAAGATGGCTCCCTTCCATCTGTGTTGGTCCCTGCAGTGCTGCTTCCTGGCTAAGGGGTTTGTGTAGGGGAGGCCCGCTGGGAGACCGGAGCAGTGCAGCCCCGCAGGCTGCTCGGAGGAAAGCCAGGGTCTGACCCAGCTTGCAGGTGTCATGCGGACGATGGACTTGCAGGCCTGTGCCAATGAAGCTCTGAAAGCAAAGCTACCCAAAAGTCTTCCCTAAACCAGTGCCCCACGGCAACTACTGTTACGGATCCCGCCCGCAGACAGCGTTCTCCGTGAGTGAGGAACTGTACTACTGAGGGTCATTTTCTTTGTAAGTAACATAACGCTCTTTAAAGGAAATATATTAGCAAAGAAAATAAGAAAGTCAGAGGCCAGGAATTTAGCTTGGTGGCGTAAGCGCCTGCCTGGCAAGCACAAGGTCGTGAGTTTGATCCCCATACCAAAAAAAAAAAAATTTTTTTTAAAGAAAGTCAATGTACCAACCTTAACGAGTATATTCCATTTCGCAGAAAGCATGCTTTTTTAGTCAGTGCTGAGGACTGAACTCCTAGCTCTTTTCTAATGTTTTAAAGTTTTTGTACCAGGAATAGAACTCAGGACCTCCTGCTTGTCAAGCAAGTGCTGTGCCGCTGAGCTGTATCCAATGCCTACGTTTTAATTTTGAAACAGGGTTTCCCTGCGTCCCCCCGACTGTTCTTGAGCTTGCAAACTTCCCGCTTCAGCCTTCCAGCACGCTGGGATTACAGCTGCACCACTCCCGTAGGCAGGCTCCCAGCTAACATTCCGCCTAGGACCTCAGGCCACAGCCCTCTCTCACCCATGCACTTACATTGGCGTCAGGATGAGCTCCACCCACGCAGACCACGTCTTGCTGCTGAATGGTCAGCGTCTCCCTCGTCAGCCTCAGTCGGACGTCATAGGCGTTCTCAGAGCCCTCGTTGTACCACAGGGCGAGGGCAGTTTTGTTCTATGGACACAGGGTGAGGTGGTGTGAGCATAGCAGGGCGCAGGAGAGCTCCCAGGTCGCATCCAAGCACACGCCAGAGTGCACCCCAGGAAGCCACAGTCCTGCACAGCCCTCACCCAAACACCCTGGGCCTCCACAGGAAGTGGGACTGACCACGCCCAGATGCCAGACAAACCCAGGCTGGACTCTGCCTCCGGGGGCAGCCTCGCGGTTCCCTGTAGAGCAACTGAAAGCCCTCAGGACCCAATGCAGGGACCAGGAGCAGCCCTGGGGAAGTCAAGACCCATCCCGCAGCCACAGCTGGGGGAGGCGAGGACCCACAGCCAGCAGACTGTAGGAAAGGCTTCACCCACGGGGGGGGGGGGGGAGATGGGGCTGCACTGTGCTGGGCTGAGCGTGGGCGTGGTGGCCGCAGGCACGCTGTGGAGCCTGGCTAACACACACTAAAATGTTCACGGCGCTTCTATCAAATAAAAATGACACGGTGTCCTCATCCACCTGATTGACTGGATCTGGCACCGTGGGACATCAAAATGACCACGGGAGGGAAACGCTCTTTATCAGTGGAGGACATCAAGGCAGCCAGGACAGCGCAGCTGAAGACCCTCAGGAGAGAGGACTCCCAAACCCTCGATGGAAGAAAGACAGCCCCTTAGTCAGCGGTGCTGGAAGAACCGGCCTTCCACACACCGAGAACTAAAACCAGATCTACGTGTCTCAGCGAGCACTAAACTAAAGTCGAGATGGATCAAAGGTGTGAATAGGAACACAGAAACACTGAGTCCGCTGGGAGAGAGAACAGGTAGAGCTCTTGAACACAGCGGTGCAGGAAAAAAAAAAAAAAAAAAAAAAAAACCTCAGCGGCAGGGGAACTATCGCAAAGAATTCACTGGGATCTCATCTTAATAAAAAGCTTTGGCACAGAAACAGAAACCACCAACAGAGTGAAGAGACAATACGCGGGGGGGGGGGGGGGGGGTTGCCAGCTGTACCTCAGACAAGAGGAATATACCAAGAACTAAAGAAAAATCAACTCCCCCATTTAAAAACCCACTTCAAAAATAAGCATCTGAAATAAATACATACTTTTCAGATGAAGAAGCAGAAATGGCAAATACTTACATGAAAGTGTTCAACAGTACTCGTCTTTCAAGAGATGCAAATTTTAAAAATTCTGAGATCCCATCTCATTCCAGAATAAAGGCTATTATCAAGAAATTAACCAACAACACATGCTGGAGGGGTTGTGTGGAAAGAGGAACCCTTCTCCACTGCTGGTGGGAGTGCAGACCGGTACAATCACTGTAGAAATCAGTATGGAGATTCCCCAAAAGCTAGAACTAGAGGTTCTGACCTACTACTATTTCAAGATTTCACTAGAGGTTCTGACCTACTACTATTTCAAGAATTTCCCTTGTTGGTATCTTCCCACAAGAATTGAAAGCATCACAGTACCACAATATGAACACCCATGTTTATAAGGGCAGAGTTTGTAATAGTGAAATCTTGAAAACAGCCCAAATGCCCATCAACCAATGAATGGATAAAGATGTGGTATTTTTCTGCAATGGAATATTACTCAGCCATAAAGAAGAATAGGCTTGAGACATTTCTAGCTAAATGGATACACCCTGAGACCATGTTCTTAAGAGAAATAAATCAGGCACACATGTTTAAGTATCACATAGTTTCCATAGTGAGAGAAACCAATGTTTGTAAATAAGGACCAAAATGTAATAGATATTGAGAAATGGGAAGAAAACGTCCAAATGAAAAGGAAAACAAGGGAAGAGGAGGAGAAAAGGAGGAAGGGACAAGAAACAACAAGAGAATAGGAGGGAAAATGGAAACAAAGGTTTGGCAACTATGGAGGAGAAAGGGCTGAGCGCAGTGCCCCTGGGCCTCATCCCGAAGGCTGGCATGATGGGCAATTTCTAGCGCCCCAGGCCACCACTCCTGCCACTCTGGATGCACCAGGGTCCAAGGCCACCTCCTGGGGCCCCAGATGAGGTGGGCCTCTTGGGGACACAGTGTCCCTGGTCACCTCTCAGTTCCCTGTGCCATCACTGCCCGGCACACCCAGGCTCCCAGCCCCACTCCTCTGACAGTGCAGGGGCTCTCGGCACCAGCTGGCAATGCAGCTCCCCACCAGTGTGTCCGGCCTCACTGTCCAGCTCTCCACACTGGACTGCAAACTCTGGAAACCTGTGACCACCACTGTGGCCACTACGGAGTCCCCAGTACTTGGGACAAGGCTCAGGGTGTAGGAGAGGAGCGGCCGCAAGGATGCACATGGGACAAAACAGAAGTGACCATGGGAGCTGTGCATCACCTGGGCCCTGGCCCTGGGAAAGGACTTTCCACACCCTAAGACACCAGTAAAACACGGACACTCTCGGGCCCAGGGCCAGGGCACTCGCTCTGTGGGGCTGGAATGCGAGTGAACTCTCCAGGCTGAGGAGTCCCCGAGAGGTGACATGATGTGTTAACATCCCAGGATGCAGTTTGGGTGCACAGGAGACCTGGGAATGGGTCCTGCTCTCCAGCCTCTGCCTTGCTGGGTACAGGGAACACGGTCAGCTGCTGGGCCTGAGTTTCCTCTATGGAAAATGGGCCCATCGTGTGATCATAACTGCCGAGACCCAATGTGGCTCCTGAGGTTGTTGGGGTTAGAGGATGAGAAAAATAAAAGACAAAGCTGGGGTCAGCTGGAGCCCATTATCCTCCTGATGGGAGGAAAGGAACTGCTCAACCAATGCAGCATGTTTATTTGTACCCTCCAAAGATTAACGTCAATTTCAACCCCACTGCCTAGCAACTTGTTTGCCTAGCAGGCCTGGGCCCCTTGTCTTCTTGGTGCTGAAACAGCTTGTTTACATAGCTTGTTTTGGTCTCTCTTTTCTCTGGGGTTGCTTGTTTTAGCCCACACACGTGATCAATCTCCAGCTTCAACGCCTCCCTTAACATAACATTATGGATTACGCTGGGAACTCTGCTAAGAAGCTCAGGAGGATGATTCCAACCATGCCTCCCTAGAAGCAAAGGAGCTGAGTGTCCAGAGGAGTATATCAAGGTTCCCTGGATGAGGGAGGGCATCTGAATTGGAGCTTATGTCCCCTCACAGAGAGCAGTAATTTTCCCAGTCTCGTGATCTTGCCTCGCTGTCAAATCGTAAAGACAAAGTCATTGCAGCCTAAGGAATGCTCATCGTGTGTCTGGGACTCCCTGCTGGCACAGAGAAAGTCCCTCACAAGGTCCCGGTCTCCCCTCGGCTGTGTCTCTCTATCAGATAATGATGCCTCCACCACTTCCAGCCCCGAACATCACACAGCAGGTTCCAGAGTCTTCCCCTCTGCACTGGGCCACCACAGCTGGTGGGGACAGTGGCCAGTGCAGGGCTGACTTCCTGATTCTGGGGCAGCAGGAGGAGCTCGGCCCCCACGACAGAGCTCAGGGCTGGGGCAGCACAAACCCGCTTTCCGTAGTCTCAGTGACAGCTTTTTTCTTGTTCTACATCACCAGCGCCAGCTGTTCTCCAGCAGGATCCCAGAGAAAATCTAATTCCCACTCGCATGAGCCAAGTGATCTTTGGAATTATAGAAGATAACGATCCTTTTCCTCTCGTAGAAAAAGAGACTCTGACGATCCTAATGCCACATCTATCTTGACAACATTCGTGTATGTCTAGCTTATGGCAAAACAGTAGTCCTGCGCAGGGGTGAATCTCTACCTTTACTGCCCCGAGGGATTAGCAAACTTAATACTGTACAAAATATTAAACTGAAATTCAAAATACTGATAGGTTGTTAATGATCAACTCTAAGAAGCACTTTCTCTCCTGTTATGGTGGATATATTGTGTCAGCCTGAGAAGTCTAGAAGTAACTAAGCCACTCAGCAGGGAGCCAGGGTTCTTTCTTTGTAAATATCCTGGTCCTGTTCAAGAAGAAGGCACAGAGGTGGTATGAATGCTACACCAGCCCTGGAGGGGCAGTGTGCAATGTACGGGAGTAGAGAGGCCTATTCCCCACTTTTTCCCTGGCTGCTTTTGCTGGCTGCTACCTTAAAGTGTTGCCCAGGACCATGTCTCCCTGCCTTGGAGCCAGCTGATTACAGATTGAAACCTCCAGAAACAGTGAGCTAAATAAACTTTTCCTTCCTTCATTTTGGCTGTTAGATATTTTGTTTCAGCAAGGAGAGAAAAGTAACCAAGACACCCCCATCAACCTTGTACAGTAGGCATTCAAAGGGCGTTATTATAAATCATGTCTTTTGAAACGCACATTTTGATTTGGTCTTTGGCCTGATACTTTCAGCATGAGGAAACACTGGCATTTTCACGCCTCTGTCACCCCCCCAATGACAGAGACGCCTTGACATTCCCAGCACTGAAGTCACACAACCCTGAGGATGAGACCTGTGTTTAAGTGCTGTAAACACAGCCCGTCACACCCTGGTTAGAGATGACTGATCACTGCCATCCTTCGGCAGTGTCTCCCTGTTACAGTGCGGTGCTGAGCATTTCATTGTACTTTCAGGGAATAATTTATGGCATGCGCCAGTTTCAACCAGCTTTGGTTATGAAGTTTGGAGCTAAAACCTAGTGGAAGGTAAATGAATGAAAGTGGCCGTGTAAAACAGCCATAAAATTTAGAACATATTACTGTCATTTTTTTTTTACATGCTTTTGATTTTTTTTTCAGTATTTTACCACTAATAATTTCTTAGACTAAGCATATAAGGAAAAAACTCAGGCATTGAAAACTCCAGGGCTAGCAATTCCAGTATGGCATCACTCAGCCCCTCTGTTCCACTGCAAATGTCTGGCATGTGGAAACTGCTGCCCAGGGCTTCTCCCTGCTGCTGCTGCCTGTTGTGTGCAGAGGCTGCAGAGCTGCCCAGGAGGAAAGGGTGTGCATTTATCTACACTTACATGAAGCTCAACTTGGAGAAAACATTTTAAAAACAAGTGATGGACAAAAGCGTGGGCCCTGGGCTAAG